AAAAAAAAAAAAAAAAAAAAAAACAAAAGAGAAACAAAACAAACCTCCCCCACTAATCCCAATCTCTAAAACACGGAACAGCCCATCGAATTCCTAACAGCCTACATAACATACGCAAAACAAACATAAACCCAACCCTAACCCGGGAAGCCAGCACAGCCCTCGTAAACGCCTACGTCGCCATGCGCAAACTCGGCGACGACATCCGGTCCGCTGACAGACGCATAACAGCCACAACCCGGCAGCTCGAATCCATGATCCGCCTCGCAGAAGCACACGCGCGCATGCGCCTATCCAGCGAAGTCCACGCCAGCGACGTCGAGGAAGCTGTTCGCCTGATCCGATCCGCGCTCAAGCAGGCAGCCACGGATGCGCGGACGGGGCTGATTGATATGAGCCTGTTGACGGAGGGGACAAGTGCGAGTGAGAGGAGGCTCCGGGAGGATTTGAAGAGGGAGGTGCTGAGGGTTGTGGAGGAGTTGGGTGGGGGGAGCGGGGGAGTGGGGGTGAGGTGGTCGGAGGTATTGAGGAGAGTGGGGGAGGGGAGTAGTATGGAGGTTGATGGGATGGCGTTTGCGGGGGCGGTGAAGGGGTTGGAGGGCGAGGGGAAGGTTACGGTTGTTGGGGAGGGGGCGAGGAGGAGTATTAGGCGGGTTGGGGGGGTTGTTTAGGTGTTTTTATTTATTTGTTCATTTATTTTCCCCCGAAGAGCTGTTGATTGCAGAGAAGCTATTTGGGAATTTGTGTTCGGGATATGATGGAGATTCAATTATGTGCATTGGATTGTTTATGATATGTCAAGGTGTGGGAGTTCAAGTTTTAGGGATGTCAATGGTGATACTGATAGAGTTTCTATCTCCTTGCTGCAGACCTACAGGAATAATGTTGAGGCTAATGGCATTTAACTACGGAAGTAGCTGCTCGGTAAGTAACTATTACTAACTAAATAGTTGACTAGTTATTAAGTAGGACTAATGATGTCATCCCGCAAGAGAGACAACTAAACCCCTTCCAGCCTAACGCAATGATCCTGCATCGATTTAGCCTATCACGTGGTGTGGCAGATCCTTTTGATTGGCCAATGGTTCCCAGCGGCGATCGAGCTGCCGGCCGGCTAGTCACGTGATGGATTAGTCACAGGATTTGATTGGCGAGGCATCTGCAGAGCTTGTTAGGCAACGTCAGATTATGTTGTGATTTCCCGGGTTCCCCCTGTATATTTATTATTTTTGCCCTATCTTTTGTATATTTGTCATATCTCTGTGTATATCGGTGTGTGTCTGTGTATGTGTGTGTGTATGTGTGTGTGTGTGTGTGTGTGTGTATAGGTGTATGTGTCTATCTGCGGAGTATTATAATAATAATAATAATAATAATAATAATAATAATAATAATAATAATAATAATAATAATAATACTTTCTTGGCGATTTACGTCTGTCTGTTCCCGGGTGAAGGAGCTTCTGCCCCAGCTATCCCCAGCGATCCCAGCGTCCCCAACGGCAGCACCACCAACGCCTGCCCAACCGCTGCCCACACCTGCTGAGCAGATATTACTAAATCACATCACCCCCTCCTCTCCTTCGTTTCCCCCCTTCCCCTCCTCTCCTCCCTTCCCTCCCCAATAAACCTCCTTCCAGACAGTGCGTGCTTCCTCCTCTTCGCCTCCACCTTCCACCTTCCACCTTCCACCTTCCACCTTCCACCTTCTACCTTCCACCCTCCACCCTCTCCCCGCCCTCCCATTCCGCCCCTCCCCTCCCCTCCCCAATCCCATTGCCCTTCCAAGGCTGTCCGCCGTGACAATGAGGTAAGCCCGCTCCTCGCCAATTGCAACCTCCCGTTCTGCCCACCCATATTAAGTCAGCTAACAAACCGCGCCCCCCGCGGCGTCCCTTCTGCTCTCAACCACAGATTCGGCCACCAACTGCGCTCCTCCCTCATAAAGGAATACTACTGGCACTACATAGCCTACGACGACCTCAAAGCCGCCCTCAAAACCCCCTTCGAGACCCTCCCGACCCCGGAAAATCCAAAGCCTAAACGCAGGCCATGGACGGAGGAGGACGAAAGGCGCTTCGTCTCCCTGCTCGAGAGCGAGCTGGATAAAGTGTTCACCTTCCAGAAGTTGAAGAGCGATGAGATTGTCACGCGGATCATGCAGAGTGAGAAGGAGGTTTATGCGGTGGTGGCTACGTTGGGGTCTGTGGCTGCTGCGGCTGCTGCGGCTGCCGTTGTTGGGAGTGGTGCGGGTGCGGGTGCGGGTGCTGGCACGGGAGTGGCCTGCAGAGATCTGCAGCTGAATAACGGGCAAGGTTCTGCTGGTTCTGGGACTGGCAGTGCTGGAACTGGAACTGGTGCTAGAGCTGGTGCTGGTGCTGGTGCTGGTGCTGGTGCTGGTGCTGGTGCTGGTGCTGGTGCTGGTGCTGGTGCTGGTGCTGCTGGAGGTGGTAACACTGAGCGACCAACTGATGAGGATTTTCAATTGCTCGAAGAGGATCTCAGCGATATTATTGCCGATGTGCATGATTTGGCAAAGTATGTCCAGCTGAATTATACAGGGTTTCAGAAGATTATCAAGAAACATGATGTGAGTTTGTAGTATCTCTCCTTTTCCCTCTCTTTCTTTTCCTCTCTGTTTCTCCTATCAACGTTTCGATGCGGGAATCGCTGGGTGAATTGACAAAATCTTGGTAGAAACAAACACAATGGCACCTCAAACCTGTATTTGCAGCACGATTAAATGCGAAGCCCTTCTTTAAGGACAATTACGATGCGTTCGTAGTCAAGCTATCCAAACTCTATGATCTGGTCAGGAACAAAGGCCACCCTGTCAGCGGGGACAGTTCTGCGGGCGGTTCGCAGCAGAATTTCGTGCGCGAGACGACCAAGTACTGGGTGCACCCGGATAACATTACAGAATTGAAACTTATTATACTGAAGGTTTGTTTTGCCTTGTGCTTTTCTGACAACGCCCGTTTTCAGCGGTTGTCTAACACGTTTCCATTAGCATCTCCCTGTTTTGGTTTTTAATCCTAGAAAAGAGTTTGATGAACAAGACGCTGCCATTTCATCCATATATTACGACAACCCCCAGACTTGGGAGCTGTATACAGGACGACTCAAAAAGACTGAAGGTGCAGAAGCTATTCGATTGCGATGGTACGGTGGGATGGAGAACGACCAGATTTTTGTGGAGAGGAAGACCCACCGAGAGGACTGGACGGGGGAGAAGTCCGTAAAAGCTAGATTCCCAATTAAAGAGAAATATGTCAACGCGTTCATGTCCGGGCGAATGACCGTTGAAAAGGTTTTTGAGAAGGCTAGGAAGGATGGGAAGAAAAGTGAGCAGCAAATAGCTGATTGGGAACAGCTTGCGAGGGAGATACAATATCGTGTCATCACGCGAAAACTGGAGCCGGTTACGAGGACTTTTTATCACAGAACTGCATTTCAGCTTCCTGGAGATGCTCGAGTACGCATATCGTTGGATACGGAGCTGACTATGATTCGAGAGGACAATCTGGATGGTCGCAGGCGGTCTGGCGATAACTGGCGGCGAATGGATATCGGGATCGACTATCCCTTTCGCCAATTACCAGCAGAAGATGTCGAGAGATTCGCCTATGCGGTTTTGGAAGTGAAACTACAAACGCAGGCGGGACAGGAGCCTCCAAAATGGATTAGGGAGTTGACAGCGAGCCACCTGGTTGAGGCTGTCCCCAAATTCAGCAAATTCATTCATGGAACCGCAAATCTATTCCCGGATTACATCAACCTTCTCCCCTTCTGGATGCCACAAATGGACGTGGATATACGCAAGCCGGTCACGCGCGGTTTCGGAATCGAACGACCAACCCAAACCAGCCAGACGACAAGTGAGGGCCCGCTTGACGATGACGAGTCCGATGACGAAGCAGATAATGAAACCCCAGAGCACGATCAACAAAACCTAGAGCCCTTGACTAACGGAATTCGTCAAAACGGCCACCTTCCCCATCACGACGACAACTACAACAACGACAACGACAACGCCAGGATAAACCATTACGACCCTTCCCAGGATCCCAGCATCCCTGAAGCCACTGGAAATGCCCTCGACATCGAAGAACGCATCGCTACCCAACAAAGAATGATAGGAGGCGACGACTACCCAATATACGACTCCGAAGACGAATCGAACGACCAAGACGACCTCGAGGAGGCCAGGAGAGTTGGCGGCCTGCACTACAAGGTTAAGTTGGCGAAACACTACACGCGTGCAGCGGGGCGGTCAGCTTTGAATGCGTTGAAGTCTGTTGCGCCCATGCCAAGGCCTGCAGCTATTCCGAATGACGGTGGGACCGGGAGGGGGAGGATAATTCCGGCGGACCAGGCGCAGATTAAATGTTTTAAGGCACCGAAGGGGAAACGTGAGTGCTTCCTTCTCTTTTCTTCGTATATAACTTCCCACGTACCCGCTTCAACATGCAAAAATCCCCACCCACACAAATGACCAACTGACAAAAAACAATAGGAATCCACGTCCCCGTCCGCGTCGAGCCAAAAGTCTACTTCGCCGCCGAACGCACATTTCTCTCCTGGCTCGAATTCTCCATCATCCTCGGCTCCATCGCGGCCGCCCTGCTAAACTTCAGCACCGACACAGTCACCCTAGCCAGCTCGTGGGCCTTCACAATTCTGGCGTGTTTGTCACTTGTGTATAGCTTTTTGCTGTATATGTGGCGCGTTGATATTATTCGGAAGAGGAGGGATGTTAGGCGTGTTTATCATGAGAAGTGGGGGCCGACAGTGCTTTGTGTTGGGTTGTTTGTGGCTGTTTGTGTGAATTTTGGGTTGAGGGCTCGGGAGGGGTGGGCCGAGTAAGTGAGTGTGGTGGGCTTGCGGAGGAGGGTGGAGGGGTTGGGTGGAGGAAGAGATGTACGTATATATGTGGTTTCTTATTTTATTCTTATCAGTTTCAGAAAAAAAGGTTTTCTGATTTCATGGTCTCTTTTGGTTTTTCCTTGTCCTTTCCTTTCTTTTTTTTTTCTTTTTCTTTTTTCCTTTTTTCTTTCCCCCCCCCCTTTTTATTGACCTGTAAATCATATCATAATGCATCTTTGTACCAGTGCTTGTACCTAATGAAGTTGAAGATATTTGAGCAAACAATATTTGTGAAATAGGAAATGCATAAAATGACTATATGTAGACAGCAAAAATGAGTTTTATAGTTAGTTGACATCTTCTGGAGACCATAAAGCAGTTGGTTGTGTTAAGAGAGCTAGTTAGCTACTGAGTGAGGTTTAATACTCAGATGGTTCAAAAAGTGAACAAGAGTATTTAGGAGCTGGTCTGACTCTGACATATTTTAAATTTGAACTCTAAATATATAGTCAACAAAATTGACATGAAAAGTGTTAAAAAAAAAAAAAAAAAGAGGAACATAAACAGTTGCCACCCACCACTCTTCTACCGCTTTTTAATGCTAATATCTAAATTACCCAGCAGCCACACTGTTACAAATACACTGAACAGCCCTGTCGCAATCACCAGTGGCTTGCGCAAAATCACAAGCTTGGGGTACTTGTATGTCACCTATCGAAGAGAACGAGGCATGGTTAGCAGTCATTCTTTTCCACGGGGGTTCATCAAAAAGGATAGAAATGAGTGCATGAAAAAGATCAAGTCAACGCAGGAAAGGAAATCAAAAGTGCATACAATAATATGTCCTTCCCTCGCCTCATCCGCCACATTCGTCGCCCGCAGCGTCAACACCGTCCTCCCCACCGAATCCATAAACGTCCTCAGCAACCCAACCTCCGACTCAACCGCATACGGCATCCCAACCCCGTCAACAAGCTCATACTTGACGTCCCTTGCGCCCTCAGGAAGAATCACACGCAGCTTGACCTTCTCATACTGCACGCCCTCGGGTGTCTTCGGGCCCTCGAGGAAGGGCACCTTAAGCACATACGACTCCCCACCCACTCTGCGCAGGAAGCGGAACAAGTCATTATTCCAACCGATGCGGAAACTGTATTTCCACCCGCCAAAGACGGGGTAGCGCAGCTTCAGCTCCAGAAGGGCCTCGCGCTTGTTCAAGCCTGGCCGAAAATGGCTGGTCGAGACATTCCCGATGTCGTCGATGAAATATGCATCGACGGAGCCTGGGCGCAGAGGCACTCGTAGCTCGTCCATGGAGGAGCTTGGGAGTTTTTGATAGGATTGCATCGCCCAGGAGACACGGGAGAAATGGCCGGAGAGCGGGGCGCCGTTGTTGCGGAGCCACAGACGCTCTTCTGTTGCGAGGTTGCCGCCCCAGTGTGAGACTTCGATGTCCCGTTCCAGGAGGGTACAGGTTATGATTGGCTTGGTGAAATCATAGCGGACGGTTATAAGGGAACCGGTGGTGCCGGGGGTGACTTTGGAGGTCTTGTAAGGTCCATAGGTGTAAATGCTGCCTTGCAGTTCGGGGTCCGCGCCGGTCTTCAAGCCGGTGGTTTGCGTGTAATCTGGTACGTTGGTGCTTGGGAATTTGATTTTGGTTTTTTGGTTTTCTGTTGTGTAGACGGAGGGGACGTAGGCGGGGAAAGTGTAGGTGAGATATTGATTGCTCTCTTGCTCGATAGATGCTGGGAGGGGTACGAGGGCATGGAGGATGTAGTATGATATACTCAAGGTTATTTGCTTAGAGGATTTCAGTGTATGTGGGAAACGGACAATGAAGTATTGGATCGGACTATAAGGTGGTTCGTTAGAATGCAGTTCTTAAATAAACGGTCGTATGTAGATGTCATAAATAGAACACAACAAGGGTGCTAATTAGAGACGAACCTCGAGGGCAACAACTCCATAGCCTCCACCTCAAACTTGCCCTTCGCTAGCGCATTCTTATCTCGAACCTCCAGTCCTCCGACCTTACCAATTATATCTGTCGCAAAAGGGAGGTAATACAGGTTCTGCGGTCCTTTATCGGTGTTCTCTACCACAACATTGACGGTTTCCCGAACATAGCCCTTTTCAAGGTTTATATTTCTGAGCAGGTTGATATTCTTAAAAACCTTGGGAGGGCTGAAATTTTTGGGCAATACCAGTCGTGTTGAAGCATATGTGGTCGTATCATTAGAGGCAGCGCCGTATGCGCTTGTGATAGAGATAGTTAACAAGCCGCAGAGCAAAGCTGCAGCTGAGAAAGGCCACATTGCGGCAGAGCTTGCTACCAGACCAAACACACAGCCCCGGACGCTGTAGATATCCCTGAGTGAGAGCCTGCTCAACAAGAACCTAGATATTGGGATTGCAGCAGATGATTGATGATGTCGGTTGGGAGAAGGGGATGGGTTTCTGTGTTCGTCTTGCAGCTGCTACGGCGGGCCAAGCGGCCACAAGCGCAGCCAGCGTTTAGGTAGTTATCGATCTCTGGGATATCCAAACAACATCGACATTTATATAGTCATGTTGAATACGGGCTAAAGACATAGCATACAGTGCGAACACTTTAGTTGGATAGGAAGAAAGTTCTCGGAAGAGGCAATCTGGGCTATTTCAATTCATGGAGTCAACAGGATACTCTAAGGCTGCTTCACGATGCCAGCGCCATGGACTGCGGCTCGCATTGGGAGAAATTCGCGGTTAAGACTCCCAACACAAGTAAGATATAGGTCGTATCACGGGAGGAGACAATTGGAGGAGGCGAGAAAGATTCTGAAAGTTTCAGAAGAGGTACAGGACGCTGTCGCTTCGTCGAAACCTGTTGTCGCATTGGAAACTACCATTTATACTCATGGTACGTCAACCGCTGAAGCCCCTGATATGCTGCAGGTGGCCCCAGCTAAATCAACAATTAGGATTCCCATACCCGGAGAATGTTGCTCTTGCATCCCGTCTGGAATCAATCGTGCGGCGTTGGGGTGCTGTTCCCGCTACTATAGGCGTCCTTAATGGCGTTGCACGGGTGGGAATGGCACCAGAGGATCTTGCCGAGCTTGCCTCTTCATCACCAAATCAAGAAGTGTTGAAAGTCTCCCGCAGAGATCTGGGATATATCTGTGGCCTGGTGAGTTTTTCTTCTCAAAAAGGTAACATTGCTCCAGTATGCCACAACGCATACTAACCAATGGTTAGGGAATGGCTGGAAAGAGAATGAATGGTGGCACTACAATTGCCGGAACTGCAGTGCTAGCCCATCTTGCAGGAATTAAAGTTTTTGCGACTGGTGGCCTTGGTGCGTTGAGAAGTATTGCTAGGCGTTTTTTGTGACAATCTCTAACATCTACCTATCAGGTGGTGTACATCGAGGGGGAGAGAGCACAATGGATATATCAGGTGAGGCATTAAATTACTGTTGATTGCTCAAGACCTCCTCAATACTAAGACATATATAGCCGACCTGACTGAACTTGGGCGAACTCCTATTGCACTCATCAGCTCAGGCTGCAAGAGTTTCTTGGATATCCGTCGAACGCTTGAGTATCTTGAGACCGAAGGAGTTCTAGTTGGAACTTTTGCAGATGGGCGTGTGGGTAGCGTGGATTTTCCCGCATTTTACACTCGAGATAGCGGAATAAAGACGCCAAAGGTTATACACGATGAAGTGGAAGCTGCTGCTATCATATGTAAGTTCCGTCGTTGCACATAAATTCACTTTACGACCTTATGATGTTTCCCACTTTGTTCCATGGTATTACGGCATTCAAGAGAGGGAGAAATGTGACGTATCAATAACTTCCTAGCTAACAACACACAGATGCACAATCGCGTTTGAACATGTCCTCCGGTATGGTTTTTGCAAATCCAGTGCCAGAAAAGTTTTCATTCCCGAAACAAGAGGTCGATCATATAATTGAACAAGCCCTGGAATCCTCTCAGCTTGAAGGAATATATGGCAGTGATAACACTCCTTTTATCTTGTCCAAGATTAAAGAGTTGAGTGGCGGAAAAAGTGTAGCAGCAAACACGGCATTAGTTGAATACAATGTCGAACGTGGGACCAAAGTTGCAGTGGAGCTTGCAAAATTGGAGGCGGGACGTTCTGCTGAAAGAAATCGGTGAGCCGGCTTTGTGGTTACTGCGATTGGAAAAGCTGGCTGATTTGTGTATATATTATGCTATATAGGCATATGCCAGGATATTTAGGGACATCTCCGCGATCGCCAGGGTCCCCTACAACTGGAAATACTATCAGAGAACGATCCATTTTCACAACGGTTGACACCAAGCCAGCCCGAGGCGTTGCGGATAAAACCAACGTATTAGTTGCCGGCTCGCTTGCTATAGACCTTGCTTGCGATTATACCCCCTTATCAAAGACTGGCGGCGATACTCCTGCTCTTCATACGTCCAATCCGTCAGTGATTAGCCAGAGTCTCGGAGGAGTGGGACACAACGTAGCGCTAGCGGCAAGCTACGTTGGCAGCCCAGTTCTCCTTTGCAGTATCGTCGCAGACGATCTCAGCGGTCGGGCCGCGCTCGCTGCTATTGAAAAGTCGAGAGCCAACATACATTCTCAGGGCATCCAGATACTAAGTTCAACCTCCGGCGTCAGGACAGCTCAATATGTCTCCATCAATGACGCAAAGAGAGATCTCATGCTTGCAATGGCAGACATGAGCATCATGGAAACACCCGAAAAAACCCTTAATTTTGGCAGCTTCTGGGACCCTCTCGTCCAGCGCGCTAGACCGAAATGGGTTGTAGTTGATGCAAATTGGAGTCCTGATGTCCTCTCAAAGTGGATTTCACTGGCTAAGTCCCATGGTGCGAAAACCGCCTTTGAACCGGTGTCTACCGCAAAATCAGCCCGTCTTTTCACAAAATCACAATCAACCTTGAAACCAGTCATCCAGCCTTCATCCACAATCCCAAATCATACCATTGACCTTGCAACACCTAACCGCTACGAATTGGCAGCCATGTACACCGCAGCGCGAGACACCGGGCTTTTCGAAAGTGCCGAATGGTGGCGAGTCATCAACGCCCTAGAGATGCCCAGCAGTGGCTCACGAGATAGACTCATCGCCCTTACGAATTCTGAACTTGTAAATGAAGGGATACCGCAGCAAAGCATCCAGCTCCTACCATTCATCCCTTGTATCATCTCTAAATTAGGACCCCAAGGCGTCCTACTTACACAGCTCTTATCCCGAGGAGATGAGCGGCTTCGTTCTGCCGATTTCGCACAGTATATCCTGGGGCGGGCGTATGCAGATGATACCAATCCAGTTGGGGGTGTGTATATGCGTCTCTTCCCAGCGGCGGAGGTTCTGAGGGATACGGATGTGGTGAGTGTTAATGGCGCTGGGGATACGTTGCTTGGAGTGATTGTTGCGGGGCTTGCTAGACTTGAAGAGACAAATAATGGAGAACTAAAGAAGTTGGAGGATATCATTGCTGTTGCTCAGAAGGCTAGCGTGGAGACGTTGAAAAGTGCGAATGCTGTGAGTGACAAGATTTCAGACCTAGGGAAGTTGTTGCAGATTATCTAGACATGGTCAATATCTAGCTGAAGGATGAAATATAGAGTAGCTGAATCGTTTTGTATGTATCTATGTATGTACATAGAACCGATCTACTTTCAAAACTGCGAGAAGAGGACATCCAAGTCAGCATCATTTAGTCAATGCTCATGTACTTAAGAGCGCTCTTTTCACTTATCGTTGCGGGTTTGAGATATCCACTTAAGGATGTATGAGTAAGTTGCCAAGAGTTCCAAGCTCATTCTAAATGAGTGAGGGTTCCCGGGTTGAAGTATTTGGCGTAGAAACGGGAAATTTTGTCCTTACAGTATCCTACAAGAAAGAGACTGTCAGTCAAATGAGTTTAAAAACTAGCCCATGGCCCGACCAAAACAATAGTTCTCTCAGCTGACGAGGAAAAACATATTATCAACATACCACCCGTCATAGTCGGTACAAATTTCAGGTACGTCCTCATTCCATCGCCCCCCTCCACATCCTTGGAAAGATGTAGCATATTGACATGCCGTTCCCACACTGCCTCCATACCTCAATGTTGATATCGACATAATCAGGGCTATCTAGTTCCGCGAAGCGGGAATTTGCGTTCATTTACGTGTAGCAAATGGTTCCCCTGCCTAATTGTTGCGTACTGGTAAGGTGGATCCCATAAAGTGGTGAGGGGAGGTTGTCCGTTCTATTTTGGAATTCGAGTAGGGTAGTATGCCACCACCGCGCAGAGTTTGGGAACTGGCTTTGTGCATGCTTCTAGGGCCAAAGCGGCAGCTTCATCATATGCTAAAGAGGAATTATATTTTGTCACTTATCACAATCATATCCAAAATTCAAACTTCTAACAGGTTTTTGGTTGAAGATATAAAACAAAACAGAACATTATGTCAAGCATGAGTCTCATGTCCCAGCAATGGCATATGTGTCCACGAGTTCTAATGGCTCCTCCAACGCCTGTAGTTGATGGTTGTATTCCCGCTGCATGCCATTATACGGCAGATATGCGACTTTATAACCATCATCTTTGAAATTTTGAATCGTATGCTGTTCAAAGTCTCGAGTATCGGCCGTAATGACAACACGACCGTGGCTTGACTCTCCAAGAAAAATGTTTTTCGCTCAACAACACTATGCAAAGAAGTGCATCGTATGGGGTTCAATTGCCCTTTGATGCTGTTCGCCCGCTGTCGGATGCCGTCAACACGTAGTCGCCGCCTCATTACAGCAGATCAAGTAATAGTGTGCAAGAGTATATAAATAGAGACGGATCGGTCCGGTTTGCTCTCTAATCTTAGCTACACAGATGTAATGATGTGCATTGGGCGGGTGTCCAGGACTCCAGTTACTGATGTGGGCAGACACATCATGGAGCGATCTCTAAAGATCCTTGGATGAATAATATAATGTTTAGTCGTTTACTCCATCTCTTAGGCGGAGGCTAAAGGCAAACAATTGACATTAAACTGGTGAGTCATATTTGCAGCAGAAGTTTGTCGCTTCGAGGTTCTTTACTCTGACATCCCAATAGCCATGCTGAATTCTCTCTCAAACCAGCAAACCGGAAGTCTGAGGAAATAGAATTCTAGAGCTGGTCTCTAACAGTCAGTTTGAATATGGAAACAAACTTGAGAAAGATCAAAGAAGGTATATTCCATCAAGGATGTTTGTTCAATGTCGCCGCAAGGAAATTGTATTCTCTCGATGGATAAAAAAAATATCATATGAACAAAAGAAGGAAGAGAAGATAAGATTGGAGAAAAAATGGAAGCCGAACGCGGGGGTCGAACCCGCAACCTTGCGGTCACACGAAGTGATCCTAAGAGCCGCACGCTCTACCGATTGAGCTAGCCCGGCTGGCTCGTTGAAATCAGAATCACTGACAAGCAATATCAACGGCAGTGTCTATAAGGGCTGCACGAACTTTATTACCTTAATTCAACTTCAACTCTCTTTATCCACTACTGAACTTCATCGTATTAGTTTGCAAATATCTCCTTCTAGGAGACATGAAAGTGGGGATTCCAACTTATCAACTTCAGTATTTATCTGCTTTGAATTTTTCAACTGGGGACTTGGAGATTTCAAGAGTGAAACGGTAGTTATAAATCTCAAGTCGACATGGGCTCGAATGAATGAATTCACTGGAATTACCAATCCCCTCCTCTTTTGATTACTTTTCGATTTTCCAAGATTGGAAGTTTTACATCTAAGGGATAGTTAATTAGTTATAGCTATCACAATGCTTATTTAACAAGTGACCAGGTACAATTGGTGAGACTTAGTAACACTTCTGAGCGCCCTGTTTTGATGAATTGGGCTTTCTTGCATTCCCACTCCGGTTTCATATATTCACATGCTTTGGGATTGGAGTTTCATCTTACATTAGTTACTTGCTCAAGGGCTGGATATTTCTGGGCTAGTGGTAGTTCGATGACCCTTGAATAGTGTGTCATATGGGTTTTCAATTGCAACCCTAGACAAACGATACCTTTTTTCGAACCTTTTGCCTGAGAAAATGAACACGGCATAAACACTTTTATTATGATACTCGAGTCAATTTATCATTGTGGTGGAATTGAGAACCAAGTTCTTTTAATTCCTGCTCGTTTTGAGAATGCCTATGTCCATCGTCTATTCGAATATACTCAACGCAAATATTACTATCATGCTTTATCTACACTCTCTTAGCCCAGACCGGAATTGGTAATGCTCTTCACTAAAGAATAAGGGCGTACATACTGACAAAATTAGAGTAAATGAAGAAGCTTGATGTTGTTTCGGATTGGGAGGATTTGTTGGCTGTGGCTTTGATTTTAAGGGACGAAGTTGTACATGAATATGCAGATATCCATAGTTAAGGTACAGCAGGATAATGTTTGGGTACTTCTGTTCTTTAAATTGCGTTTTTCATGGGAGTCGCGATGGCAGCTCTCGGCATCGTTTCCCTCTCATACCTTCATTCCATGTTCACAGACGTTATTTAGCTTCCCAACCGAACCATTCGTAAATATTGCAGAGTGTTAGATATTGCGACTATCAGACCTAGTCCAGGTACCTGCATGTCGGCAATCTGTAATTATCCACCACCCAATATTTTCTTCGTACACCGTCCCATTCCTTGTCAAGTTGCGGGACTCTTATTTCCTCCCAATCAACATCAAAGCCAGCTTCAAGTAGGTCCATTTCCACAACTTTCTGATAGACGTCGTAGCTTATTTGCCGGTCTGCCCCCATTCCATTAAAGAATCCCCATTTCCCTTCTGGTTCAAGAAGGCCAATAACTTGCTCCGAGAAGAATTCCCGGAAGTCGGAATAGGATTCTGCAAAAGTGTCGTAATAAATTGCATCGAAGGTTTCTCCTTCATTTATGAGCCTCGGGAGGATGTCCTGCCATCTGCCCTCGTGAATTGTAACTCCGGGTTTTTCGTGCCAACCTTTGCCTTTCATATCTGCAATGACATCAGGGTGGGCTTCAATGATGTGATGGGTAATTGGTTGCTGAGCTTGGAAGAGACTGTCGATGATTCCCATGCCGTGGCCAATGTTTAGAACACGCAACTCGGGTCTAGGAAGAAGTGCTTTCGCAGATTTAGCCATGATATCTGTTTCCCAGGCCATCATTATACCGTTTTTATCTTCATCGAGTAATCGATCGTGTCGAAATGTTAAGTTGGATTGGAGGTAGTGAGAGCTGCTGACATCTGGCTCTGCTTCGTCTGCCATGTCTTGACCGGTGCTAGCATTTGACTCCGGTACGGTTTGTGGTTTGTCAATCTGTGCTTCTTTTTCCTCCGATACACCAGCACCTCCCGCCTCTTCGTCGTCGGCATCATCCAAAAGCACTTCATAGCCATAAAGTCGATTAAGCAACATCTCGGCGCGTACGCCCGCATCAACCATTAAATTATAAAGCTCGTTGAGTCCTAGCCTCCTAGCCAGGCAGCCAGGGGTTTCGCTCTTAGAATCCAAGTCATTCCATATAGCTCCTTCTTGCAATAAGAACTTCACAACGTCGCTTGCTCGGTCAATCAGTCTAGCATCTGGTACCGTACTAGAATCACCATTTGTAGTCCCATTGGGAACTTGGTGGCTGTCTGCTGATTCCTCCGTATCCATTTCACAAGCAGCAATTGCAGCGTGAAGAGGAGTATACCCAGTTTCAGGATCTTTGACATTCACTGGGTTTTCTGCCTTTTCATATTCGCGGATTAGTTGGCGCAGACGAGGAATATCATGCTGCGATGAAGCGAGAAGGATTTCCTGTGCGTCAGTGTCCACTCTTATAGGCCCCAGTGGATCATTCAAATCCTCCATGACTGAATAGGGATATGTCTTTTTCCTTCACCCTCAGTCTCCTGTCACTTTAACCTGTCCCCGTTCGTTGATCTTATATTTGCTTAATCCTCGTTTCATTTCAGGCAGGGCATGTTGTATGTTGAACAAGACTTTGATTCTTTGGGATTCTCCTTTTATATATATCAGTTATATGGGAACATAGACTATATATTCTCATCTTGTAGATTTTGTTTATGATCATATTCAATTCCCCCTGCCAAGTCAATATCACATGACCAATTTCGTGCTTATATAAGTATACCCTTCAAAATGATTTTAGTTATTACCCTTTTTGGCCTAGCGGCGCTGATATATCTAACATCGATATCAAGAACTGCAACGTCGCAGGTGATCTGAAAGTGCATACATTATGCCTCGAACCTCTCACTGGACTTATGAGTAATTTAGTTTATATTTCAGATTGACGCTTGTCCCTGATTTCTTCAGTTGAGCGGAGAACTGGCGCTAGTGGCTGCTCTTCAGACACTTGCTCGCCAACTTGAAACTGACCTGGAACTGGCAGATTGTGAAGCGCATTGTCTCTCACCATTTTGCCATTCGGATCTCAGATCCTGCTAACACAACCATGGCAAAAAGGGGAAATTGACGCATTGATTTATGCCCCCGGTCCCGTCAACTGTCATAGGATGTCCAAAGCAGAACATGGAAATAATATGAGCACTCCTTATTCCCGTCTAGGAACCCGCTCGACAGATACCAGGAGAGGGAGACCCTATGCATTCCTAGTCTCAAGCGATAACCAGCAAAGCTTGAGGGCGAATGATTGATTCACGCCAGTTCTCGGTATCCGAACCCTATAGGTATGCCTACCGAAACCGGACTTACTCCCATATATCCAGCAACTGGCCGAAGTTTGCGTTAGACAGTACGGCGTTGAGTTTGAATATGCCGCCAATGTGAACTAACCCCGCTTCTTTCAATGATTACACATCGTTTTCATTTATAAGGAGGCGAGATTGTCTCGTAGTCAGGCCTTGGGCACTCTTGATCCTGACTGAGATTTCCAATCTAGGCCATCTCAAACTCCAACTTTTTTGCACTATGACAGATTTCGATGAAAGCTCGACGTATTAGGAAATCGGTTTGTGACTTCCGGCACGAATCGAGCATGTAATCTGGGTCTGTGTTTGGGCCAAGCTTCGCTGCGCCGCTATGAGAGATCTGCCGCTGAGAACGTTGCTTCTCAGTGTTCTTGGCATATGTTGATAGCTACACGTAACGTCTCAAATGCCTTAAAGCGACATCTTGGCCACTTTAAAAACGTCTCAAGGGGGCTGGTTTTGGGGACTATCTCATGTCGACAATCTTGCTAACCATCTTTAGAAACAGTGAAGCTGGAAGCTCATTTACCGAACAGAGCGTGAGTGTTTAGGATCGTATGTAAAAAGGATGCCTTCCCCCAAGATCTTCTCTTTTCTCACCTGGTTCGGTATCATCTACAATTTTGGAAGTCCACTTCGCTCCTCACTCTCATTTTTCAGATATTCTATTCTCCGGTGTGCTGGTCACCACTCATTCATTCAATCGTTCGTGTAGTTATACATACCTGACTTATTGTTTTATTTTTTACAGTTTTAATATTTTGTTCTGTCGTTCATTTATACCCCAAAAGATTAAGTCATGAAGTCCCTTCTACGCAGCGCGTTTATTGGAGTTCTTTCTGCAGCAGGTGTCTTCAGTGCACCGCTAGAAACTCGCCAGCAAGGGATTACCGATATTGATATCCTGCAATTCGCCCTGACTGTATGTATCCTGTATATTGTTTTTACTGCCTTTAGGATAGGCCATGGCTAATGTTGGTTTTGTTAAATACAGCTTGAACATCTGGAAAATGTTTTCTACAAGGGTGCTTTCTCTCGGTTCACACAGAATCATTTCCACGAGGCTGGCTTCGATGCTAGACTGTTCAATCAGCTGAAATTTATCGCCCAGGATGAGGAGGACCATGTTGTGTTCATTACCCAGGCTCTTAGGAATGCTGGAGTGAATCCTGTTTCGGCTTGCGAGTACAAGTTTCCGTACTCCGACATCCACAGCTTCCTTGGCCTGGCATCAGTTCTTGAGGGTATCGGTACCTCCGCCTACTTGGGCGGTGCTCGAGTTATTTCAGACAAGGATATCCTTACCCAGGCAGGTGCTATTCTTGTCTCAGAAGGCCTCCACCAGTCCGTCTTGCGAAACAGCCTGAATTTGATATCATCTGCCAAGGTTACTGGCACGCCAATTAATGCCAATGCTATCTTTTCCCTGGCTGCCTCCTTTATTGTCTCATGCCCTCAGCAGAACGTCGCTCTTCCGTTCAAGGCATTCCCAAACCTGAGCCCAATCGAAGCCGGCCCCTATGCTGTTTCCGCACTTGCCCAATTCCGTGTGGGAGGTGATGTCAACTTCGGCAATGGTGCGGTCTTCCTCACCTTCGTCAGCGGTCTAGATATCGTCAGTGTTCTGGTCGAACGTATCGACGTCGTCCTGATCGTTGCCATTCCATCGGTGATTAGTGGACAATCATACGTTTTCCTCACCAATACTGATGCCCAAGGTTCCATCGCCGACAATATTATCATTGCTGGCCCAGCTATCATCGAGGTTACCCCTGGTGCAGCCTCAATCGACCTAGGAATCTTATAAATGGTTCCACCAACGCCCTATCAACATGATTTTTCCCTTCTTTTGGAAGCTTGTGGATCAGTAATTTCGAAGATGGCATTACCAAGGCATCCTCCTTCCTGATTTTCCATTTGACTCCAGTTGAAAAGATAGCCGCGTAAATCCTGCAATCCTGCTGTCAGCAGCGCCTCATACCCCAAACTCCGTTTCTGGTCCTTGGTTTAATCATTCCGAGATGTCTAAATGCGCGATTCCCTTGTACCTATTCCCATGTTTCTCAGCGAAATGTGCGGATATCCTCCGGTCCTTTGAATGTCACACTTATTTGGAAAATGGAATATTCACTAAGATGGATTATCTGAGGATGTGCGCTATCTGTGATGTTATTTTCTTACTTATTTGTAAACCCTGCATTGATGCCCTTCTTTTCATTCTTCGCAGCACACCATTGTCTGTTTCTTGTTATTTACGATTCTTTTCTGCGACACCCCTCTTTTTTCTTTTTCTTTTGGGGAGAAGGTTTGGGGAGAAGGTAGGGAGAGAATGAAAAGTAAGAAGTGAGGTCAGAACGGGGAGAGATACGAACCTTTTCTTTGTATTTTGCGCTCTATTAAGATTTACTGATAATTGCGAATATTTCCATACAAGTTAGTCTGTTAATCTAGGTAGTTATGTCTCTAGTGGCAGACGAACGTAATTAGATATTATGGATATGCAATTCTTAGAGATATAACTACCTTTGTATGTAGGTATGTACGTTAGGTAGTTAGGGGTGTGAATGTCTTACAAATCATTGTGTTTTCTATAGAATTCTGTATGTTTATTTGGGTATAGTGTCACAAAATTTCGAGGCAGACTGTCAAAATTTCACCTGTCTTGCAATGGCATTGGTGACCAGGGGCTTCTCATTTCAGAGAAATAATGGAAATCTTGAAAATAAAACAATATTACTTCCCTGGGCCTTCTTGTTGTTTGACGAACCGAACATTTCATAGTGAATGGATCGTCCACTAGCGACACAAATATGATTTGAATTAAGATACATGTATTAGAAGAAATATATACGTCAGGCAGCGGAATACTCAGAGGAGTGCTTAATATTGGAGATGTTTGTATATTTCGATCCAATTTCCATGAAAAGTAATAGTAACAGTTAACTAGTGGCAACAGTACAACAAGAGAAATAGCAATTTGCCAGATATTTATACATGCACTCACCCTGGAGATACGCTTGGCACTTTCGAATCCTGAGCGGAGCGGGCGGAGAAAGAAAAATAAAGTGAGGAGAAAGGGAGGTTCCCAAATCTCGTACATATGTCAATTCAGGAACACTTTCCCTTTTGATAAACGCTGAAAACATGGTCCCCACTCCTCAGACGCTTAGCAAACAACTCTATCATCTGTCAGCCTACCCATCAATCGTTTGCTTTTCATTTTCAGCTGTCAGAGGAGTCTGGCTTGATGTTAACGTTCAAGCCCAAGCCCTCCGAATCAAGGTAGAGCTTGTTCTTTCCACCAGCTTCCTGTAAGATCGTAGCAATGTTTCTGGCGTTCTCAAGTTTCCGGAGCTCGATGTAACTCTTGCTCTTCTTGATTGCATCTCCAATCAGCTGAGCAGAACGGGCCTCACCCTGTGCACGCACGACGGTGGCTTGTTTCTCTTGACGGGCTTTGTCGACGACGAAAGCAGCTCGTTGGGCCTCTTGCTGGGCAACTTGTTTGGCTTCTACGGCAGCGGTAAATTCGGGTGAGAAGGCAAGATGCTATTGCCAAGGGATGTGTGTGGTCAGCTGCAACGAAATGTTCAGAGACGAGGAGGGAGAGCAGTTATTATAGACTTTTTTTCCATACCGTTAGAGAGACGTCGTCAAGGACAATGTTGAAGCGAGCAGCACGTCTAGAAAGATTGTCACGGACAAGTCGGGCAACGTTCTCTCGCTGTGTGATGAGCTGACTGGCGTTGAATTGCGCTACAACAGCCTTCAACACCTCATTGACAATAGAAGGAAGAACTCTCTCATCGAAATCAGTTCCGAGAGTACGATATATCTGAGGTAGAGCCTCGACTCTTGGACGTGAAAGAACACGGCAAGTGATGTTCACCATTTGCAAGTCCTTGGTGCCGGTAAGTGATGCAACATTTCTGGGCTTCGCACGAACGTCGTAGATGATAGGGGTTTCGAACCAAGGAATTCGGAAATGGGTTCCTATTCAAATAGTTTTAGATTATGAAATTTTAGCACACAGTGGATAAATTGATGCCGAACCTTCATTATAAATCTCCTTCTTCACACCACCTATTCTCGTATACTTGATTGCTCGATGACCACCGTCCACTGAGAAAGACACCAAATGTGTTAGTCAATAAAAGAAATGGATTAAAAAAAAAAAAAAAAAAACAACAACAATTGAAGCAACCGTAGGCGTCCATTAGGTAGGCTCACCGTTAAAGAGGGAATTCATAAAGACATATGCCCCCAATCCAACTGCAATCAATGCTCCTGCACCTCCGAAAGTTTTCCTACCACCCCCTCCCGGAAATCCACCTCCAAATCCGCCTCTAAACCTCTGCTGCTGCAGGGACTGTTGCAGCCTTGCCCATGTCTCACGAGGATCCCCAGCCATGATGATGCCAAAAGAGCAAACAGTGCGGGAAAAGAGAGATCCAGCCAGTTTACTAGGCTTGACTGGCGGAGATCAAGAACTCGCTGCTCTGCCGATGGGATCAAAAAGTTCTGGGTGAATTTCACTAGTCCGCTTTAGGCAAGGTGCGAGTTTGGCGGCTCCAATGATTGTACGGCGTGTGTTAGACGCCTCAACCGCAGTTCTCTACAAAGCTCCAGAAGACGTAAAGTAATAGGTCAGTTTCGACTTTAACCACCTGGAGGTAGACAGACCCATTCTAACACCCATCCACCAACCTGAGCACTAAAAACTAAGTGTTGGCTTTTTTTAAGAATATTATTGTCGGTTTTCGTCTCTCAAATTAAAATTCGAACAAACACCTATCTGATTGTGCGCGTCGTAAAAATGGCCCCAGATCGCTTCGGCAAAAGCGTTTTTCTTGGGAATATCCCATACAGTAATCCAATCTCTTCCTGGTCCATTGCGCATATCTTATTTCCAGTTGTAGCGTTACTAACAGGTTTCTCAGACCTTACAGAAGAGCAGGTGAAGGACATCCTCAGCTCCGCAGGTACAGTTACCAAATTCCGGTTGATGATAAACCCCGAGACCGGAAAGCCTAAGGGATATGGATTTGCCGATTTTGCGGACGCAGACGCTGCTGCTTCTGCAGTGCGGAATCTGAATGACTATGAAATCATGGGTCGCAAGATACGAGTGGATTGGCCACATAACAACGAGAAGGACTCTGTTCCCCCTGACTATTCGCAACAGTCGCAGATGGGAATGATGCAGGGGATGCAGGGACAAGATCAGTCACAGCCACCTTTACTTCCGCAACTACCTCCAGGGACTGACCTACCTCCAAATCTCACCTGCCCCAACGCCATCTCACAAACCCTCGCTTCCCTCCCTGCTCCTCAACTGTTAGACGTCATTACCCAGATGAAATCACTAGTAATGGCAGACCCAGCTCGCGCTACGGAGCTATTGAGACAGGCGCCACATCTAGCTTATGCTATATTTCAAGCGCTATTACTCATGAACCTCGTCGACTATAGCGTGCTTGGATCTGTTGTTGAACAAGCTTCCCAATCACAACCACAGCCATCACAACAGACTTCTCAGATACCTCAGCAATTCCAACCGTACCCATCAGTCCCAGGTCAAATATCAACCCCTCCCATACAACATACTCCTTTCGCTCCTCCTACGATGCCCCCTCAACCCCAACAACAGTCCCAACAACAAGCGACCCAACCTCAGATACCTGGGCACGATGAACTGCTGCAGCAGGTGTTGAATATGCCACAATCTGCCATAGATGCACTGCCGCCAACAGAACGAAGCCAAATAATGTTACTGAGACAACAATTGATGCAGGGAGGAATGAGGTAGTTTGTGCTATGGGCTATGGGCTATGGGCTATGGGCTATGGGCTATGCATCATTTCTCATTTTTACAATTTTTTTTTTCTTAAACCCAACCTTAACTCTTATGGCGGATGATACGGAAATACGGCGCAATGGTGGAACCTTGATATTCTTTTTTTCTCCTTTTTGGAAACAATTTTTTGTTCACCAAGTACTAGCGATGTGGGGCACACTCAGGGCAAAATACATCATTTATTTATTATTCCTTGGCAGTATTAGGCCAACAATGACACAGTATCATTTTGTTTAATCTTGCAGATATTGCGGAGCTCGTGCGTGATGTTCTAGACAATCCCGTGGCTGGATACATGCCACATGCAGCCTTTAAACCCCTGATGAATCTCTCTAAAAAGGTCCTGTAATTTTCGAGGTGAACGACAAGCCCTTGAAGGTTGACGTGGTTGGATAGGACTCTGGAACTAAGCAATCTCACTTCATTTCACCAACATCACATTCCATCTCTCCTGGGAAGTATCGCTTCAAAATCCCCTTTTTTCTCTGCTTTTCCTCACCCACAACTCACAAAGGCAAAACCGGGGAAGGTTATTTGTTGCCGGGTAATTTCACAAAGCTTTAATCGAGGGTAGAACCTTACCTAATTCTGGGGTTCAACTGTGGGAAGCGCGCGGCTGGCGTTTAAAATAACTTTAAGGTTGACGACTGCGCAAAAACGATTGAGAATTTCATCATCTCGAGTCAACATCCGTCCATTTTCCACCGAAACCGTTGCTCATGTTATTCAAAGCAATGTATTCGATGGACAAGGAGTTCATATATTATCTACTCATCTCATCCCGCCCTTTTTTCTCAATGCTTCACCACTAGTTAAACGGCTTATGTTTTGATCCATGTCCGCCGTTGCTTTTGTCTCATGCGCTTTGCTCCTTCGAGGAGACAGGTGGTTGGTGCATTATGCCATGGAAGATTATTTTGGCGTCTGTTCTCATCATCCCACACTCTTTATGTGTTCACTGGGTTATTGCTAGAGTTTGACGTCCTTTTCGTGTCATTTGAAGACATATTTCATTTCTTTATGGCATCTGGGTTAGGGTTTCTTTATTGCTTCCCTCAATTCAGAAACGGGCACTGGTCTCTTTTTCCTTACATACCTACTTCTGGGGGTCAGCCTCCTATTAGCGATTCAGCGTCGATTCGCCCCGTTTAGGAACAGGATCATGGATCATTCAGTTTGTTCTCAGGAAAATATGTTTGCATTTATTAAAATCGAAGATAGCGATCTCTATCTATTCATTCACCCGGGAACAAACAGCCCGTTGTTGGGTCAATACTTGTTGGTCTTCCCATTGGTTAGACCCGGTAATCAAATATGCAGACGGCCGATCTGCAAATACTGATTCACTTATTGGTTTGATCATGAAGACAGCCCAATTTCCTCATACTCCTAGGCTTCCGAGGGTATAGCGGGATCCGGTGAAACTTCTTGGAGTTTTCTTCTATCCAGGAATGGATATGTATTGCTTCCTGAGCCCTTGATTGGGTCTACCTACCGGCATAAAGTATTAAAATGTAAGGATCTGCATCACAAGCAGTCTACTGTGGATCATTTATGCGAGGATGCAGTGGGACCTTCTTGAATGACCCGGCAACACTCCTGAGGTTTTCAGTGTGCTGGCTTGTTTAATTTGTTGATTTGATTCTGATTGTCTGTTAAACCTCTCTGCTTATCAACAAGCATCCCTCTTTCATCTGCACATGTGCCTGTCACTTGTCTTCACCTGCGCTACTCTTTTCCTTTCCATTCCCTATATCATTGTGCTGTACCTTGCATACTTTACTGCAATATTGGAGAATTTACGCGTCTTCCAATTGGATTTGCTTGCCTCTGGATGAGACGACTTCAAACTGCCATGTAGCAGACCTCAATACTTGACAAAGTCTTTGAGTAGAGCCAATTAACCGCCGTTACTGTCTTAATATGGAGATTCAGGATAAGGGGCTGTGTCCTCCCTTCCACATGGTCCAGGATTTCAATATGGAGGAGGCTCCAACTGATCTAAGTGATAGAGGATCCTCCGCCTATTACAATGTCAATCATGATAATTGCACTTCTCCTGATATTGACTTGGAAACTGAGACTTCTGTGTCCGGAGATGTTACTCTCAAAGATGCCAATGGTTGCGAAGCAGATGATGTGAACATTTTAACCAATTTCCCACCAGAGATATTGAGAGGCAAATATTCATCGCTACCCGGCAAGAAACCCAAGCCTGGTCTGAATCTCAGTCTCCCACCGATCAGCAAAATTGAAGATATATTTGATGACATTTCTATCAATGCAGAGAGATATGGCTTTAATAGCGTTCTCGAACACATTGGTTCACGGGAGCTTCGCGTCGCTACCATGTGTTCCGGAACCGAAGCCCCCCTCCTCGCGTTAGAGATGGTGATTGACAGTAAGTCGCCATAGAGTGCTCGGTTTACCTTTGCTGATAAAACGATAGGTTTCAAGAGGATATTTGGGAAAACGCTCAACATTCATCACCTATTTAGCGCAGAGATTGATCCTTTCAAGCAGTCTTACATCCAGCGGAACTTTTCCCCTGATATCATTTTCCGAGATGTCAATGAACTAATTGCTGATGACGCGTAAGAAATTTCACACGTTGAAAATGGATTGCACTAACCTGATCAATAGAACTACTGCATTTGGTTCTCTTCGAAAAGTACCTGCAGATTTGGATCTTCTTATTGTTGGCTTTTCCTGTGTGGATTTTTCGAATATGAACCTCCATCGCAAGACTCTTGATGAAATGGGTGAATCGGGTCATACCTTTTATGGCGTCTTGCGATACACCCAACGTTGCCGGCCACCCATGGTAATTCTGGAGAACGTTTGCGGTGCTCCGTGGAACCACATCAAGGATGCTTTCAAGGAAATGGATTACCACGCCTATCACGTTAAAGTAGATACGAAGAACTACTATCTGCCCCAAACGCGTGAGAGAGGCTACATGCTCTGTATCGACCAAACTACACTGGTTACTCCGGCCCCCGAGGACTCTAAACCATCTGCTTTTGCCAAGATGATGAAAAACTTCGAACGTCCAGCAAGCTCGCCTGTCACCCAATTCCTACTAAAAAATGACGATCCTCGTTTGCAGGACGCAATAGATGACATATCAAGCAATCCAATCAAGGACCGCCAAGCTGTCGATTGGACGCGGTACAAAGCCCGGCATCTCAGATATAGAATGAGAGAAGGTCTTGGAGATAAACGACCACTTACTCGCTGGCAAGGTAATGGAACCTGCCAAATGCCTGATTTTTATTGGCACGGGTGGAGCAAGGCGCAGACAGAGCGCGTTTGGGATACTCTTGACGTAAATTTCTTGAGGAGCATCATAAGAGGATTTGATATTAGTTTCAAATCGTAAGTCACTTCATGACTCGTATAATTTCGTGTTTTATAATATGTATTTAACTTATATATAGTCGGATCATTGATCTCTCTCAGGGGATCGACAGAGAGTTGGATCAGCGTGCATCCGGTATTGCTGGATGTTTAACCCCACGGGGTCAGCATTTTGTCACATCCCGAGGTGGGCCTCTCCTAGGTATCGAATCTTTGGCCTTGCAAGGTATACCGATCGATAGGCTCCTATTGAGCAATGATAGTCAACGGGACCTCAACGATCTTGCAGGAAACGCAATGAGTTCGACCGTTGTTGGTGCAGCGATCATGAGTGCATTAATCATTGGATACAAAGCGCTCTCGCCTAACCGGGCTTCTCTAAATAATTATAAAAGACAAAAACGCTATATGCCTGGGATACAAGTTATTGATGATCAAGCCGTGAAGATGGCCCCAGTTCAGATGGAGCAAGAAACCGTTCTGTCTCTGCTCGACATATTCGATGTTGGGAAACGAAGTTCAAGACTGTGTATTTGTGAAGGGCAGGTGCTGACGAAAAGAACGGACATGCTGCAATGTTTGAAATGTGGTCTTACGGCTTGCAAGTCATGCGGCCGCAATCCTCCCCATGCGTACTCTGCGATTCCTAAGGATCAACTGAAAAATCGTGTTTGTCCCACAGACTTCGAGACCCAGCTGAAGAAAATACTTCCGATGAGGCTTCAAGTTAGTGGATTGTCCTTTGCTATGTACCAAGCACTGCAGGAACATAACATGTCGGCAGAGGTTCTGGCGGCGTGGGATGATTTTTACAAGGTATTTCTTTCAGCTTTGGGAGATGAGCTTCGGTTCCAGGGGGTGACTCGACAGAGATCCTGGACAGTTACGTATCAGGGGACCTGGTCTGTTTTAAAGCTCATTTGTTCTTCTGTGAGGTTGCAATGGTTCCTCTACCTTATCCCATCAAAAGATGAACCAAGTAACTCCCCTCTGAGACAAATTTTACTTTGTCCTATTGCTTCCGTGGTTCCATCCGGCATGAATATATTGAACGGAACCTGGCGCGTTAATTCTCCAGTTAGTTCATATTTTGATATTGCCGTTTCTGGGAAGGGAAATCTTGTTCCTTCTATCGGATCTAGAGCCGGTTTGAAGCACTCGAATTTTGCCAGCGCGATGGTGTGGAATCAGATCAACATATCTGCAACAGATGCTGCGGTTGCAAATCTGGAATTTGACCTTCGTGGAGATTACGAGCTTCTTCAAGACTGCGGAGCTGCTAGTGGAAGCCTGCATAAGAAGATCCCTGTTGACTCTGATCCTCCTATCTACTTCTTTTTGGATCCAACCGAAATTGGCTCTCCAGAATTTGATTCTTGGGTTTTTGCTCTTGATCATGGACGCTTAGGTATTGGGGAGTCGCGCATCACGATAGCAGAGGTGCGCCCGAATTGGGACGCATCTATTGTTTGTCAGGAACCCAAGACCGTCCGTTGCTGGTTCCGGAAGACTGCGGCAAATGAGGCCATATCTCTTGACGTTTACCTCCCTTCAGTACTTCCTCTATACCAGATTCCAACGTCTCACTTCGTTATTCGAAATGACGGGTCAAAGTGTCTTGATTCATATACAACGATACTGACCTGCTCAGTTCCAGCGAGTGGTACCGAATTGGCTTTGGAGCCTGGCACATGGGCTGCATCGAATCTGATAGAATCACCTGCAGTGCTTAAGAAGCTGGCGTGGCTGCTCCAACGAGCCAGTTTCGTGAATCAATTTGGCGAATGGAGTAGTATCGTCTTGAGCAACGAAGAAGACGACAACAGAGATTGTAGTATATGTGCTCCTCGAAAACCTCGACTAATGTGGACTTTAGACGATAGAGACCACGTATGTGCTTACGAGAACCCCGAAGACGCTGCTATCTATGAACAAAATATTAAGAAACGACCCGCGATATTTCTTGGTTTTACCAGCCTTGGTAATGATTCCGTCTTGCATGTCAAATTATGTTTGAATGTGATGACTCTAATTCATCAAGCAAAGGGAAAGCTTGTTAAAAAGCATCAAGTGTCTCTGAAATGGCGCTTTTGCATTGACAATATTGGTTTTCTTCGCCAACGAATGCCTCCACTCAAGGAGAAGAATAACAAAGACGACCCAGAATCAGCACAACCCCCTGGTTTCAAGTTTTTTAACCTACGTCCCGAACAACTACGATCGCTTACATGGATGAAGGAACAGGAAAACATTGTTCAGTCTTTTGTTGAAGAGGAGGTTGTTGAGGCTATGCTTCCAGCTTTAAATTGGAGAGCCGAAGCGAAAGCAACCACTGAACAATCTATTCGTGGAGGAATTTTGGGTGACGATGTTGGATATGGAAAAACTGCCATCAGCCTTGGTTTAATTGATTCTCAATTTGTTAAAGATTCAAACGATGTCCCTGATTCAACGGAAGGAGCTATTCCAATCAAGGCTACCTTGATTGTCGTTCCCCAGCACTTGATTGACCAATGGTCTCATGAAATTACAAAATTCTTGGGGAAAAAGTATAATGTATTGGAAGTAAAGTCAATTGCCTCGCTACGTCTACTTACCATTCTCCATTTTGAAACGGCTGATATTATCCTAGTTTCAACCTCTGTTATTCGTGGCACGAGCTACTATGACAAGATGGAACTCTTTGCTTCGACATATGCGGTGCCAAAGGGAGATGGCCGTATTTTTGATGAGTGGTTGCACGACACGATGATTGGTGTTAGGGATCATGTCAACATGCTCATGACAGAGGGGTCTGATGCAGTTCTTCAGAGTATGATTAGAAAGCAGGCTAATCTCCTGAATTCTGGAATATACTCTAAGTTCAAACCTTCGAGGAGGCTCAAGGGTCAGAAGTTCAAAGAGCATCTGCTGAAACTGAAGGAGAAATTGCAAAGCAATGGGGCCGATAACTCAGGAACTAACACTATAGATAACAACACAGCATCGGGTTCAACTAATTCTGTGCTGAAATTGCAGCACGGGAAACGCAAAAGAATGCGAGAAGATGATGAATACCAACCTGATATAACCACCAGTGGCACCCAAACAAAGAAGGCAAAAGGGAAAACGAAGTCCACAAACGGAGAGCCCAGTAGCGAGGCTGACAAAGCATTTCAACTTCGAAATTCGAGAAACGATTGGAGGAAAATGCACTCACCTTTGATCCATATGTTTGAATATAGCCGCATTGTTATCGATGAGTTTACGTACTCTAAGGACAGGAACTACTCCTCAGTGCTGGCTATCCCTGCTCGTAGGAAATGGATTCTGTCAGGAACGCCTCCACTAAATGGCTTTGCTGATGTTAAGTCATTCTCTCCCTTTCTAGGGATCACGTTGGGTGTCGATGATGAGGAGAGTGGTAAGACTGAAAATGAAAGATTGAAAGCCGTACAACGGGAGCAAACAGGTATCACAAAGCGTATGTAGTCTAAGGTCCTTCACAGATACTGACTGCCAGCTAGATGCGGAGCAATTTCAGCCCTTCGTAACTCGCCACAGTGCAGCATGGCACCAGAGACGGCATGGTGTTGCTCAAAACTTCCTTATCCAATTTATGAGAAAGGTTATTACCATCACGTAATATATGTGTACGATAGCGTTGAAATGGAGAACTAACGTGTCTAGAATTCACCGGGCATCGACGAAATACCATGGACTGAACATATTTGTACAGTTGTTTTGGCATCACGCGAACGGGCGGCTTACCTCGAGCTGTTTATGCAGCTAATGTCCCAAAATTTAAAGCTTCGTAGGAACGGAAGAGGTCTCTACGATTTATCTGCAATATCTCGAAATGATGCTATTCTTGGAAATAGCAGTGGACCTGAGGAAGCTCTGTTAAAATGCTCCTCTTACTTTGTTCCACTGGAACAAGCAATGGGAAAACAATTGATTAACAAAAAAGATCTGGCGAAAAACGATGATTCTTCGATTTCGTCTCACTCAACCAGCGTTTTTGATGGCGACGAGGGCAGGTATTCGGCCACACCCGAAACAGAGTCGACCTCCGTTTGCTCAGGCAAAGGAAATGCTGTCTTTGCACGGGATCGACAGTTTGATGACCTTGTTCGAGATATATTTGAAAAGCTCCGCCATGCTTTTTGGCTAAGATCGAAAATTGAAGGCATGACTTATTTCGATACCCTGGTAAAGCATATAGAGGGAAACGGAGCTGGTGACTTGGGAGTCACTGAGTGTTTCCAAAAAGCGGTAGCTGATGTGCAGAGAACACGAACCCTTAAAGATGGGAAATACTACTATTCAACACCGCAGGAGGTAAAGGGCCCCAAAGGAAATCAACCAAAACGGATTGAATACTAACGTAGTGCACAGAAGAAACAAATCCCCTCCGACATTCGCCTCGAATACCCTAAGACTCCGTCGGAATTTCTTAGTGACCTAAACTCATGCACTGACAGTTTGCGCAGACTAGTTGACGAAACCTTAATTCGCGTGAGAGCTGCCAGACTCTTCAACGTTGTCCGTTCATTTCAGGTCCGATTACCTGACGACGTATTTGCTTGTTCCTCTTGCTTTCGCCGCCTCAGCGATCCCACCACCCTCTCTATCCTGGGTGAATGCGGACATGCCTTTTGCGAACCATGTATCGAGATAGCCAGGGCCAAAGAAAGATGCCGGCTTCCCGCTTGTGGCGGTAATGTGGAAAGCTTCCGGATTATCAAGTATTCTGACGTTGCTTTTGTGGACAGCAATGAGAATGGTGATGGCATAAATGAGCAATGGCAAGTATATGGAGGAACAAAATTCCTGGAACTAATCAGACTCGTACGAAATACCGATAAAATTCCAGCGGACGAACATGTTCTCCTCTTTATACAATTCCCCGACCTCATGAAGGCTGCGTCCGCCGCGCTCGGAAAGGCAAATATTCCGCATCTGATGATTCCTGTCAATGATCGCATGGCATCTTCTAAAATTACAGAATTTCAGAAAGGGACTGAGAAAGTAAAGAGTAAAGTTCTCATCTTGCATCTTGGGAACGTATCAGCGTCTGGACTGTAAGTTGAACATAACCTGTAATCCTGTCTCAGTTACCCCCAATTACCTACCACCCCATTTTCCAATAAACACTTGAAATGCAAGTAATATGTTGTTTGAGTTCTAACCTCGAGCCTATATTTTTTTATTTACTTATTTCACAGAAACCTTCAAAACGCAAACCACGTTATCTTCTTCCATCCCCTATTCGCCAAGTCTCAGTATGACTACACTTCCGGGATGGCACAAGCTATCGGTCGATCGCGCCGGTATGGCCAGCAGAAGCATGTGCACATATATCAGTTCTTGGCTCTGAAGACGATCGAGGTGAATATTTTCGAGCACCGTCGACGGGAACGCCTAGTGAAGCGAGACGGACAGTTTATATCATTACCAATTACTGTGATGCCGTTGCCTACCGATGAAGCTGAATGGAGAGGAAGTTCTTTGGACGGTAGTAATGCTGCTGATGCTTAAGTTTTTGGGAGTGTGTTCTGTGTTTCTATTGATGTTGGGACAATTTTTGTTTTTGATTTCATCTTTTTCATTGGTGGGGATTGGGAATAGTTATTCTCTGATCCCGCATTGGATTTTCAGTCTCCGGCCTTTCACGAAAGGATTTTAGGGTGCCATAGTAGTTTCATTTCTTCTGGAGTGGATTTTATAAGATTCTTCATGTTCGTTTTGAGTTCTTTTCAGGATTGCCTTGGAAGTTATTGGGTTGAAGTTGTGGATTGAATGCATTCGTTTACAGAGATTGTGTATGTGCGAAGGACTTATGCAAAACCTCAAGAAGCGTTGTACGGACTAATAACTAATAAGTTTGTTGTTCTGTACTAAATGTCCTGTGGGATTCATGTGCTTTGGCTGTGTTTGGGGATCTAATTTGTTACTTATTCCATATAGGCTGCATGGGCTTCTAGGAGCATTTAAAAATGGAGGTAGGAGAAAAAGCTTATGACGCCCTAAGCTACATAATATACAGACGTCATGCGAGAAAACTAAAGATGCAGCGCCTTTTTAACACGTGTCACCCATATTAACCAGAATTTAAACTTTATGTTTCCTTGCATCTTGAAATACCCATTCCCATTTTTATTATATGTTTTATTCAATTTTAGAGTTCCCCATCCTTCCTCATCCGATCCGGACTCCACGACGGATTCGTCAAGTTCGTTAAGCCAGCACTGTTCTCACATGATTTTCGGCCGCTGAGAGGGCCAGGTGCAGGGACCTTGACGGTAGTGTCGGTTTCCGCTTGCTTCAGGGCGGTTAGAAGTGATACCACGGATTCTGGGGTGAGGTCCTCGTAGTAGTCGTCGTTGATTTGTACCATGGGGGCATTCACGCAGGCGCCCAAACATTCGACTTCGAGGACAGTGAATAGTTTGTCTGAGGTGGTTTGGCCGTTGGAAACTCCAAGGTGATCTGTGATAGCTTTCATGACCTTGGCGCTGCCGCATCCACCTAGTTGGCATGGAGTCTAAGGAAAACGGGACAAAATAACCCGGTGCGTTAGCAAAGGGGAGTCTCCATGGAACTTTGATGATTTAGGTAATAATAGTCGTAAAATTTAAGCGCCCGCAACATACCGTTGTGCAAACCTGGACGAAGTATTTTCCTACGGGTTCCCGATTGTACATTGTGTAGAATGTCGCAACCTCATAGACTCGCATTGGGGGCATCTCCAGCAACCGTGCGACCTCATTCATAACGCTGATGCTGGTAAAACCATGCTGTCGTTGGCCCAGATCTAGGACTGGCATGACTGCTGCTTTCTTATATTGCGGGGGATATCTCCGGAGTATCTCATCAATAAGTTTGAGGTTCTGTTCTGAGAATTTGAATGGGATGTTGGGGTTGTTTTCGGGTGTGTTTCGATGCTAATTGGCCATTATACGTATCAGCATATAATTTTCAAAGAATGACGATAGCGGTACATAGGGAATTGGACATACAACTGCTAGTGTTTCGCTCCGGAGGGGCGCTGCAACAGTGAAGGGGCGGCATTGCCGTGTTGAAACGCAGGAGAAAAGGGCACAGCGCTGCCTCAGAGAAAAGGGAACCAGTTTGGCAGCCATAGGTGGCGGTATAGGGACCGACAAGGTCAGTTCCTGAGCAGCCCCCTCAGAATTGAGGGCTTCGATAATAATGGCGGGCAATTGGAAGTTGGAATGAACGGGGAAGTTGATAGATCCTTAACCACAGCAAGAAACGAACTGTATGGGTTGAAGTTTGGAGGTATACCGATGGGCCAATCAGAGGCTGCGCATTACCGTCTTATGTCATCGTCCGCAGACATCAACGACTGGTCAAACACAAGAACAACTGCAAATACACACACATTCACACCTATTCTTTTTTCTAATTTTATCTGCTGTTCAACGGCAAGGGCAGAAGCAAAGAGGAGGAAGCGTGGAAAGGAGGAAAGGGGATGCTCCTCGCCTCTCTAGGACGCACTGTCAGGATCTCGTCACTTTCCCATCGCTCGTTGTTCTCCCCAGCAGGCTCCATCCAATCCCATCATATCCGGTCCTACGTTTCTTCGCCTGTCATGGATCAAGACCGTTTCAAACTCATATTTTTCGCCCCGCTATCTCATGTGGAAGCCTGTAAAGATGCTGTCTTCGATGCCGGTGCTGGGCAGTACCCACAAGGAAAATACAGCCGGGTCTGTTTTCAGTCTCCGGGCACCGGCCAGTTTCTCCCCGGAGACGGTGCGAATCCAAACATTGGTAAAGTCGGTGCGCTCGAGTTTGTGGAAGAAATGCGCGTGGAGGTTCTTTGCTTGGGAAGATCTACAATGCAGGAAGCTGTAAAGGCGCTGATTAAGGCTCATCCGTACGAGGAGCCTGGTTATGAGGTTTACAAACTGGAGAATGTTTGACGAGGTGAATGCGGAAAATGTTTGTGGACGTTTTCTTTGCCTCTCGTGGTGAACCAGAAGATATGCCCGACTATCGAACGAGTTATTTACCTGATTATATGATCCCTCGACCACTCAGTGCTTTAGTCTCATCTCTACGGGCAACGTCCTAGACTTTCGTCGTATTGCGGTTATGATGAAGCTGCACAAATGAGAGAGTTGACAAATATTCATCCCTCAGTGGCTATGATTTGCTATGTCCCACTAGGGTTTCATATTCTGTTAATCACAATTAAGGAGTGAAAATACCTCTCGAAAGCACTTCTCAAATGGTCCTCCATTGTTTTTGTTCCTCGCATGAAGCGTATCTTCGACTAGTTTGCGCACTGCTTTCATGTTCGTAAGGAACCGCATGCTCTGAGTTTTATATTATAATACCCTGAGAATTCCTAGAGATTTGTGACCGCGGAACATAGAGGAATTACTCTCCTCTATATAAGGTAATGCGATATCGACTGGATATGTCGAAGAAATATGGCCATTTACATTGCCATGTATGTGCATAGAGCAACAGTAGCCCGATATGTAAGCATAGATGAACATATCCATAGATGATATACAATTTTTCGGTGCTTGTTTACACTGCTTGGTATGAGATTCGTAGATCGATGGTGGGGTAACTGTTAACTATATATTTACGGAGTATAATTTTGCCTCTTGGTGGTTCGACGTCATCGAAAGAGTCATCGAAGAAAGGAAAAAAAAATCGCGGAACAAATACTACCATTAAAGGATAACTACCCAACAACCGATACCAACACTACATGACAGGGATCGCAGTTTCATGATATTTCTATTACATTTCAGAATTGTCTAGCTTTATTGGCTTGATTTGAATTTGGATTCTACTGTCTTTTGCAAAAAATAGTACGTATGGGAACATGGCCATGTCCCCGTCTCCAATCCAATGGATCTCATCCACGAGCGCGGTTGGTCTGGAATTATCGCGGAGTGTTCTAACTAGGCGTGTGTATCTTAGTATCGATTTTGCGCATCAAACGCCCGAACGACCCGCTGCTACGTAGTATATTTCGCCGTGGTTCGTCAAGAAGACGAAGCTTAGCCTTAGGCGTCTGCTACAACGGCTGCCATAAATTCCTATCGCCTCTTCCCCGCTCTCCGGCTCCTCACTGCGCAAAGAGTTCCCACAGCTATGGTAGCGCGGAATGATGTGTTGATGGAGACCATGAATCAATGCAATGGGGAGACAGGGAAGAGGATAACAAGGGTTTTGCCCGTCCACAGTTTAAATTTTTCTGCGCAGGATACTACCAAACAAGTAGTTGAAAAATGGACTGTAGAATTGGAGAGAGGGAACCCGGAGGCTAAGGCTCTACTTGAAAGCGCAGAAGCACTGCGAATGAGCGATATACCAGTGGCATTCCCTACGGAGACTGTGTACGGATTAGGTGCGGATGCGACACGAAGCGCGGCTGTTCAGGGCATATACAAAGCCAAGCAAAGACCGGCAGACAACCCCCTCATCGTTCATGTTAGCTCACGGGAGCAATTACAGCGCATCCTGCGATCGCACTCATCAAGACCTGACCATGGTAGTTCCGACTCGAGAAAGACGGGAAACCAGGAGAGAGAAGAAACCAATCTCATCCCGCCCATATACGAGCCTCTAATAAGCAAATTTTGGCCTGGCCCATTGACTATCATATTACCGAATCCAACGCCTTCCCCTCTCGCACCGGAGGTTACATCTACACTTACTACGTTTGGCGCTCGAATGCCATCTTCTCCGCTTGCAAGACTCCTCATACATCTCACGGATAGACCACTTGCAGCCCCGTCTGCAAATGCCTCAACAAAACCATCTCCCACCACGGCTCAGCATGTGTTTACTGATATGCAGGGACGTATTGATATTATCCTGGATGGAGGTCCCTGTGGAGTTGGAGTGGAAAGTACTGTGGTTGACGGACTTCTACACCCCCCAGCAATACTCCGTCCAGGAGGTATTGGTATTGAAGAGATACGGGCGTGCCCTGGATGGGAGGACGTGCGAGTTGGGTATAAAGATGGCGCATTGCAGGGTAAAGAGGCACCGCGGGCTCCCGGAATGAAGTATAAGCATTATTCCCCGAAGGCGAAAGTTGTCCTGTTTGAGGCGGGGAAGGGTATTCAAGCGGTCAAAACCAGGCTGCTTCAGGATCTAGCACGGGATACTGGTGAAGAGAAACATGGCTGTAGCGACGTTGCATCCTCTTTCCCTCGTGTAGGGATAGTCAGGACCAAATGTTGGAAGAAGGGATTGGGTATTCCTAGTTCCCCTGAATATAGACTAAACGATGGCTCAACTGGTTCAGAGCCATCGAGCATATCCAATGCCCAAACTGATCCCCTCGCCTCTCCACCCAGTGAAGTTCACCAACAGATTCACCTGCGGCTTCTCCCTTCCGCAGAACTCAACTTGGCTACCCCCGTTGAGCTCTTCGATGTTAGCATTGGTCGAGATACAGAATCGATTGCAAGGGGCTTATTTTCTGCTTTACGCGGTTTAGATGAGGAAAATGTCTCCGTAATATATGTTGAAGGCATCCCGGATACAGAAGGGGATCTTGCGGCTGCGATCATGAATCGGTTGCGAAAAGCGGCAGAGGAGGAAATTAGATGACGAAGACGGATTACTTTTGAATTGTTTTCGGTCTGGTGATATAGATTCCTATTTTGCTTCTCTTCGATAGAAGGGGAAATATAGATTTTTAGTTAATGATTTCATTTCTTCCTTGCTTAAATCATCAGTGGCGCTTCTTCACCTGTAATATCATTCAGCCCCCTCTTATGCTCATTATGCCCCTGATACAGTATGTTCAGGGCTATGAAGCGATATGGCAATAACGAAGAAAGTTATGAGAACTTATCTCCTGACCAGGACCTTTTGTTTTGCCTGCTATCCAGATCGAGATGCAATTCGGTTCCTTGGTATATACATGAACTAGACAATCCATCTATCTGTACATCACACAATTTAGAAAAAATACTCTGCCTCTATCTCTTACTTCCTTTTCCCTTGCCTCCTCCCTCCATCGCCTTTCCCTCCCCCGACTTTCCCGCTTTTCCCTTTTCCCAATTTCTCACCACCACCACCACCACCGGAAATAATTTTAACCTTTCCAACGGGGATCATATTCACGATCTCAGCATCCCTCCATCCCTTTACAAGTTCCAACTCCATGGCAGTAAGCTGCTTCAAGGAAGCCTTGTCCTCTTCTCCATTCAGAACTTCATCCTCACCCTTGTCCCCACGGGTGTCTCCAAGAGTAGACGGATCAGCATGCAGTTTCCCCATATCTCTTCTCCTATCTTTCTCCATAGCATTCACAGTAGCAGTGGCATCAAAAATCCACTTCCCCAAAATCTCTTTGACAGCTTTTCCTTTCTTGACAATCCCTGGTTGTAGCTTTGCGCGATACTTATAATGCCCCAACGCTGCCCAGGGTGCACAGACAGGAATCGCCGCCAGGACCTCGTCGCCAACGACTGGTGTGCCGACCAAAGAGGGAAGACAAGATAAATCTGCCGCAGTGTCTGTGTCATCGAACTGCGTTTCACCACCGTCGCCTCCTTGTTGCTGCAGTGCCTTGTAACGTTCCCGTTCAGCCTGTGCTGCTCGATCATGTTGTTCTCGACGACGTTGCTTTTGCGCCTCGAGCTCTGCCTGTCGCTCCGCTTTGTTCTTCGCGGCTTCACGTAACTTATCCGGCTTCGGTGCTGATCCGAGGAGGCGGAGAGCGAGTTCCCGGTCCTCTTCGTCTTGGTGTTGGTATTTGGTTGCCAGCTTTTTGCTCTTACCCCGTTTGCCGCGGATGTTAGAGTTAAGTGTGTTTGTATTGGTGGTGGTTGTAACTGATGGTGCTACAGATGGGGTTGGAGAGCTTGATTGGGATTCGGCATCGGCAACTCGGACAGAAGTTTGTTCGATGAGGACTCCCTTTTTCAATTGACGTCTTTCTCGGGCAGACAGGTGCTTAATAGCTTGTCGTTTGGTGATGCCAGGTTGCTGCTCAGAGACATCAGCTTCAGGTTGAGTAATTGGTTCATCCCCTCCCGACTCTAGAACCACCGTTTCTTTGGTCACTACCGAATTGTATTCCTTTTCATCATCAGTGTCATCAGATGGTAGTTTCTCTTCTCCATTATCACCGCCCTTATTTTCATTGCCGCCGGAATCGTCTGGTTCAGACTCCATGCCAGTTAACAATGGATTATCGGTTTCCTCATCCTGCTCATCTGAACTATCATGCTCTTCAGATGCAAGGCTTATCTCCTTATTGCCATCTGCTCCCGGGGCTTCTGAGTCCTGTTTTGAGTGTAAAACTTCATTTGCCTGGACCTCTTTCGCAATTTCCACGATAGATGGTTCATCCTGCACTCTGAACTTCGTATGGTTCTTGATACTATCTTCGCTGATTTGAAACATCACAGCATACCCAAGGAGAAGCTGAGCAGGAGGGAGCTGATGTTTCTCGCCCCGAATCACAAAGCCGCCAGTTCCTACGAATTCTCCTGACGGTGCGGTTTTGGATACCTGGTCGGCATTCACCCACCAGGCGCCCATTACAGCTTTAGAGTCCCACGCGCTCGAAGTCGCTACGCAAAGGTTGCCTGCTTGAGAAAGAGTTCCAGGTGGAATAGGAGCATCTGGGGTGCCAGGTTTATTTTTGACAAAGATAGGAGTAGCTCCTTGTACGTCAGCATGTACATACACATCCCCCTTTTTAAGATATCGTCGGTAGAGTATTTCGGTTTGCTGAAGGTCTCGGCCACTGCTTAATTTGTTAGCACGGCAAATGAACTCTATAATAGCGCGGAATCAGATGTAACACCCACCCCAGGACAAGATATCCATCCGAAGACACAAAAAACATGAACTTTTCAAACCAAAATGGCGTCCTTGTAGGCCGCAGGATTGGTTTCTCTTGTTTCAATGCATGCTTCAAATCCGTAGTTACCTTCTTTTCTGTGCTCTTTATTGCCTTCTTGGTTGATTTGAGCGTCTTCTCTTCCTTTACTGCAGCAGCCTTTCTTTGCTCATAATACTGTCTTGCGTTCGCCCATGGCGAAATCCCAAGATCAATATCGATAGAAAGTAGCTGCTGCTGCGCCTTCTTTGACCTTTCCAACTTCACTTTATTACCTCCATCCTCATCACCACTCTCAGAATCCTCTTCCTCCTCATCAGACTCGTCCGCCGGTTCTTCATCTTCCGTAGGCTCTCCCAATAGTAGAGTAACCGTATTCTCATAGAGTTTCAAGGGCAACTTTATAACTTTAGCAACAGGATTCTGGCGGCTTTTTTCCATCTCGATTAATCGGGCGATTTCTACCCAGTCCATCCCTTGTGCTATCAGACCGTTGACAGCATTGATCGCCTCCTCAACACGCAGCAAATTAGCTTCAATTGCCTGGGCCTTGCGGACATGCAGTTCCTGGACTTCCTTCAGTGCCCCAACACGGTTTTCTTGGTCTTTCTGTGCAGCTTCCAGTTTCCTCCTTGCGATTTCCTCACGTTCAGTAAGTCTGTATTCAAGCTTTTGAGACTCAACAGAAGAGAAGTACTCGTCCACAGCTTTGTTGAACGTATTAAACGTCAAAATTGTCATGCCAGGCACATTTTCAAACTGCTTCGGCTTGAAGGGGTGAAAATCGTGATACAGCATATTTTTTGGCTTGGGGGAATCAGTATCAGCCTCTGTGATCGCTTCTCCCGTTTTACTTTCTCCCTTCAAAATTATATACCCCGGCGTGTCCTCCAAAGTGGACAGTCTGGCAATAACATTTTCCGCCTCCGTAAGCACAAGCATCAGCCGTTTCATCAGTTCACTATCCTCCAGTGCTTGTTTCGGTTCCAAATTAGCGTCGAAACCAGCCGCATGGAATGAATGATCTAGAAGAAGAGCGGGATATTCGGGGAATCCCCTCGAGATAGCCCGCTTTAGTGCTTCCGTTTGCCTTTTTTTCCCCCTCTTGTTACTTCCGGGACCCTCTACTGCACCACTCTCTCCTTCTGCCTCCTCCGCCCGTTGTAATGTCTCCCGTAACCGTTCAATAGACAGCGGCGGCACCCCATTATAATTCTGCTTGTTGGTAATACCATATTGCAATCCAACTCTAACCTCTTCTCTCTCACCACCACCATGCACGATTCGATGTAATGCAACGATTTTGTAGTCTTTGTCTGTCAGGATGATATTACCCCCGACGTAGAACTCCAGGAGGAGATGGAAATTGCCATCGCTAAGTGCAATATCAATGATCCTATCTGTACCCAGTTGGGACACGGCTGTCACTCTCCTTGTTTTCAGGAACTTTCGCAGGCGGCTGATAAATGGTGAGGGGGCAGCAGCAGTCGTCCGAGAGTATTCTGTAAGGTGGCACCTGAACCCGATGTCGACGATGAGTTGCTTCCGTGTGTCTGGTTTTGCAAGTTTAAAGAGACATATGCGCTGTGGTAATCTATATTAGTAGGGAGCTTTGGAGATGCTTATAGAGGGGAGTAAATGGTTACCTACTGAAGATAGATCATATATGTTGGAAATTCGCAAGCCGACCAGAGCGCGTGAGAGCTCCTGTGATATGACCTGTTCTAGTTAGTGTATTGAACATGTATATTTAAAAGGAACACCTTTAACACACTTTAACATCAAGAGAGGAGAATCTCTGCTTCATTTTTATAGGATTTGGGAATGGTTCCCTGGCTGACTCTTGTTGCGCAGGTTTTTGATGGCCGGATGTTAATTATATGTCTTCACAAAAAAAAAAAAAAAACCCAGGTAGGAGAGTGACGTAGGTGGGGCGGTGCTTGTCGGTAGTTATGCCATAATTGAGACCACGACAACAACTACATCGAAAATTGAATAAAATAACAATATATTTAATAGATCTCCAAGTACATGGGAAACAGTAGAAAATGCAAAAAATAATTTGAATCCTCTGTTAGGTCCAATCTTGCAATGCTGAGCTAAATCTATCAACACCAAACTGCTTGATCTGATGTGGGTAGAAACACCATAAAAAAGAAGGGCATAATAGATTCATAACACATTCAAATAGAGAAACAAATCTATTCTATAAGCATATAGCGAATATCAAAATAAATAACACCAGAACGCCGTAACCCGCAGCCGTATAGAACCCGCTGAGACAAAAGAAGACCAAAAAAAAGATGACTGCCAAATCAAATAACAAGGAGCCTGACATTTTCACAGCCCCTGCCGCAACTGCTCCGCAATCCGCCTCTTCCCAAACTCCCACGCATTTAACAAGCCCTGTTCCGACAGATCAATTCCCTTCATATTTGGCATATCTTGCGCCGGAGCGCGGCTGACACGCGAGGCAACGTGAACAGCATCCGTTTCCAAAAAGATGCCATCATCAATAATCTCGTCAATAGCCAGCGAAACAAGGTCGTAGTTTTCAATAATGCTGCGCTTGTCGACGCCGGCACTATAGATAGTCATGTTTGAAATGATCAGTTGTCGCGGACCAAACAAACGGAGTTGTCCAAAACACGAAAAAAAATTGAAAATTGAAAATTGAAAATCGCACACATACCGTAGCAAAATATTCAACGTATCCCTCAGGGCAAGGACGACATTATACAGCAACACCTCATTCTCCTCCGCGGCGCCAACGACGTAGAGCATCACATCACCCTCCATCTTGAACACCACGACCCGATTGTCGTACAGAATGATATCGCTCGTTTGCTTTACTGTTTTCTCAAGCAGGCCCTTCTCAAATGCCTTCTGGTCCTTCAGGTTGGGGTATGGGTTTGCGCCAGGGTAGTCTGTTGAGTTGGCTGAAGTGCCAGCGGGACGGTGTGGAGGGGAGTAGTATTTTGCGAAGATCCGGGACGAGTCGTCCGTGGACATGATGAGGATCGCATTGACGGAGAAAAGGGACATTGGGGCCAGCATTTTGGCTGTTGTGATATTGTGTATTTTTTACTCTTTTTTCAATGGGGATTCGTTGGTTTACGATTGTTCAGATGATAATTTTGTTGCGGATGAGCTGTCGAAATATCACGTGATGCAGAATCCACCTTTGGTGCCCCTTTTTCTGTCTGGTAGACTCCTACATACGTCCTCATATTTATTAACAACCATTATTGTTTCTATGGTAAATGCCAGATCTGGCATACCTTATAGGCACATTAGTGTATATGTATATGATTTGCAAATGTTAGATCAAATGGGATTCTAGCACTGAAAGCCGTTGCTCCTTGAGACAGTTAAGATTGTTTATGTTTAAACTATAGATTTCCCTCCCACCCTCTCAAAAGATACATATCAAGCGAAGATATTTGTAGTAGGTCTCAAAACGTAGGATTACAGGGGAAATTGGAAAGAGTGTAAGATATTCTCTCCGCTGAATATATAGACTAGAAAACAACGGGGTTAAGGGTCGTATCAAAGTTAGACGACAATGCAACGTAGAGTAAGTACGTCAATAATAAATAATAATTCATATCTAAGAGTTGGGAAGGGAAGGGTGAGAAAGAAAAAGGAGAATATATAATCCAATACCAGACTCAAAGGCAAGACACTAGAACAGCAATACCCAAACCTTCACTAGGGGGATTATAGGCAAATATAACGTGAACGGGTCATTGGAGGGGAGGGCAACGCCAACAACATCTATCCTAAACCACGACATGAGACTCCCCAACATATGAACTGGAATATTCATATAGGACACTGGCAGTAATATCTGGCCAGGAAGAAATTAAACCATATATGCTGTAATGTAGATATCAACACTGGGAGCTTAGAAGCAAAGGACATGCAAAAGCGGGAGAAGTGGTGAGAGAAATGATACATGCAATCAAAAACCTGTGACTTCCACATTATCTCAAATTGGTCTGTATAATAAAAATTGGCCGTTAGAGCAGATCCAACATGCACAACGATATCAAGGAAGAAGCTATGGAAAAGAGAAAATCAACGGTCATGAGGCGTAAAAAGGTGCTAGACCGAAGGGAAAGCAAGATGTAAACGGCTTGAAAGGGGTTGAAGCCAGTTCATGTGGCCGAGGCAACACCAGGAAGAGGCTCCGTTTGACCAGGACGATTGAACCAGGACATCCAGCTTCCGCGATTCGCCTTCTTACGTGCCTCCTCATCAGCAGCCTGCTCATCACCTCCTTCCAGCTCCTTGTTTTCCTGAACAAGACGCAACGGTCGCAATTTATTCTGCGTCATTACTGCGCCAGTATAGTTGTTCATTCCCGGGCCTGAAAGTGGGGGGCTGGATGTGCTTTCGGTTGTTGAGGCTACCTCACCACTGCGATCGCTCCTCACGCTAGGCGAGGTGCTCACGCGTCTGCTTGAAACAGATCCAACGGCGACAGAGGAGCGTTTTGCCGCCATGCTAGAGCTGGAGAAGAACGCACCTTGGCCCGAGGAGAATGTAGGGCTAATTCCGGGACTCATTGGGCCATTGGACGGGGGTCCACGATACATCTGACCCACGACCGCAGCAGCGGCTCCATCCGCTTGGTCCGATCGTGTCCTTCGGTGTCTGGAACGTCCTATGGGAATACTTGGTGCTGTATCAGGATTCTCATTCATGGTAGGCTGGCTCTCGATATGAGGTTCGTCGATTGTTGACTGCGTGAGATTGCTTGCAGTCCGTTGCTTGGGCTTGGGTCGGGTGCTTTGGCCTGACACCACGGATCTTGCCCGTTGAAGCAATGTCTGTCCGGCACCTTCGGTCTTCTCTCCAGGAGGGGGGAGGCAGGTCCTTGTCGACATTGGCATGTCTGGCCGTGAGCGAACCAGGACGTTCACTGTCATTTTTGTCTAAAATATGTTCAAATCCCTCGGTTTGGAGGAGGCGTCCTATTATTCTTTCAATATAAAGGGTCAAGGCCTTATTTTGATCCTTAAGGGTTTTGATTTCTCCTTCGAGTCGTCGACGAGAGTCAACATCTCCACCTTCACCAACCGAGTCAAGTTCATCCGCAAGTGATCCAAGTCCGCTACTCGCCTGTTGGTTTTCCTGGTAGTTCTCATGCATGAAATCTCCCTTGGAGAAATCTCCATTCAGCGTTTTCTCACTCAAAAGGAGCTGGTAGCTCTCATTATCTTCCATCAGACGGGCATTTGCCATCCTTGCTTCAAGAAGCTCCCGCTCTAACTCATGGTGGCGACCACCTCCCATATTTTCCATTTCGACGAGTTTGATCTGGGCTTCCGCTAACTCGAGCCTCAGGGATTCGATGAGTTTGTCCTTCTGTAAAATCAGCTTCGAGTTGTTGCGGGAAGGACTGCGCTGGAGCTGCGAAGATGGCGCAAATTGTCCATTTTCGATGTCTGCTGAGGCTCTTTTCCGAAAGCTGGCTAATAAAGCGTTAGTATTCGTGGGGTTGTTACATATCAAATCCAAGTAGAGGAAGAACTTACGAGATCGGGAGAGATTTCGATCATTCTCGACGTTCATGCGGAGTTCCTTTTGCGCAATAGTTTCTTTCAAGCGCTGGATGGTTGACTGCAAATCCCCCTCCCGTTTTCCCTGTTGCTCTTTCTCCTGAGCCATTCCAGTTCGTTCAGCCTCATGGGCTTGCTGTAAGTCGCGGATTTGCCTCGTGAGCTCCTTGACCTCCGCCTGAAGCGCATTTAACGAGACATCCTTTTCATGTGCCTGCTCTTCTAGTCTTGACTGTTCGCTAACTGCTTCATCGAGTCGCAACTGCAAGACACCTAACTGCTTCCGGTACTGATCTGACACGGTTTCCGCTTTCTTAACCTGTTCTTTCAGCTCGTCGATGATGGCAGCATTCTGAGCTCTCGCGTCATCGTCTGCGGGGTTTGAAGGGTGCCTGGGAACCGAACTCATGCTGAGATTCGAACGACCTGCGCCCGGTTTACGCGCCGCTGCTCGGGCGGAGACGGGACCGGGGGATTGTCTCGTAGAAGGGGACCTACCTAGGCCGTTCACCGAAGAGTGCGGAGACTGTGGGGGGGTTTGACTGCTTGGTGAAGTTGCTGTAGCGTCTGTGGTTGAAGATCTTTGACCGGCTCCACCAAAAGACGCCTTTTTTGATGAGTTCGACATGACTTGGGTTATGTAAAGGAAAGAGAATGACGCGAATCACGCATGTGCTTGAAAGAAAAAAGAAAAGAAAAATGGGGAAAAAATGGGCTGCCAAAACTAGCCTGATTGAAATGGTGGCTATCGAGGCTGAAAGAGTCGAGTGAGGTTGCGTTGTCAAAGAAGAGGAAACGAGTGGTTGATTGAGGCTGTGAGCTGAGCTGGCCAAGCTTGATGCCCAAAGTATCCCGAAGGGTGGCAGCTGACAATAGGTCGAGGACAAATTCAGAATAGCAGGAAAAGCAAAATATTAGGATACTCTTCCGAGTGAAAGCTCAAAAGGTACATAGGGGCATAGTGAATGATGAGTGAAATTTATATAAAAAAAAAAAAAAAAAACGTCGTTGTTGTCTGCTTCTATCATGTTTATATCTACATGTAGAGCCCAATTTCCCAGACAGGATGCTGACCTCATCCAATGCGCCGTTTGGACACGGTACATTACGCTTCGATACCGGAACCGACAGCAAATTGACAGCAGTTACGGATCGTGACACAGCCCCCGCAAAGTCCAGGATGTAATATCATGACGCGGTAATAATACCAAGTAATCTCCCAGCAGCCAGCCTTGGCACGCTATTCCTTTCTGGAACTATGCTATTTATTATCAGCCAATCAGCTTCGGTGCTCGCGTTTTACCTTGGACATTTGAATCTGCAGCACGTGATCCGTTCCGAGCTAGAAGAATAGATGACTAAGCCAGTCTTCGTTGATGGAACTTCCCGAAGGCTTCCGTTGGCAGTTGATCTCCAACAACACGACGAGACGATCAATACAGATATCTATGCATGGATGATGCATGGGTTATGGAACATGGGCAGCCGGTATATTTGGTGGACTGCAAACAGCAGATAGCAAACTGCGGTGCCGCGGAGTTAATAGTGTTTTGTTTCCAAAGCGCATAGGGGTGGTTTATTCTCCCCCGTTCTTGGCTTTCCTTCAGGTTTCCAACATTGAACTATTATTTCTGTCCCCAACAAGGCTAGACAGATAGTTTTGCTCTTTGGAGAAGTCCGGAGATACCCTTTTGTTTTCCTTCTGGGTCTTTGTGGTTGGCCCGGCCCAGAACGTCTTGGACAGCTTGTCTATTAATCAACAGGGTATCCAGCTCTTCTCTCACCATCCCACTTTTTTCTGATACGTGACTAAGGCTCTTTGATCGTTTCTACCATGTTTTCGCTTGCCCCTGTTCTACTATTCATGTCAAATCCCTCTCTTTACTCTATGAAGCTCTTTCGCCACTATCATATGCTTTTGTTTCGGCTATAGCTTGAAAGTTATGACAATACGGATACTTTTTCCTCCCTATGCACAAAGGGTTGTTCACTGTGATATTATTATTGACTTTTGTTGGTGGAGTGGACATTTACCCTCTGTTTCGTCTCCCGACCGCCCCTACGTTGCGGCTCGTTTGGTGCAGTCCCCGAGATCTTGTATTAGATCGACAAGCGCTGATGGATGGCTATGCTGCTGTGGTCACAATGCCAAAGCAGTTCAGCCACTTGACGACCTTACATGATTCCGGCTTGAGCTCAGGATAAGCCCAGCTTTCCATTAGAAATACATAACGCAGCAAATTATACCAGCCCTTTCCCTACAAGCAAAACTATTCTCTCCACGCATTCAGTGTTTGACTCCTTTTGGTATACCCGCCAGCACTGATATACCAACTGATCAAAACGGCAACGGTGACAAGGATTGTATACCATTTCAAGCTTTCTTTATTTGGATTTTGGTTATATATTACAAACCGTCGAGCACAATGGAATTTCTTTTGCCTAGGAAGGGCTAGATGTTTGAGGTTTGACGCTGCAAGCGATTCAATAGGCGTTCGACCTCGCTGATAGTTAAGTGGCATTCAATGTAGTGTATACCCTGGATAATATACAATACTTTAACTACACGTTCACATCAAAATCACCTGCATCCCAGTATCAAATCCTCAGAGAGTCGTATTACTCCGTTGTTAACTTTTGGAACTGGGTATGATTACATAATCAATCACATTTTTGTTAACTACGTTAGATAAACCGGAAAAATATTTTCCCTCGTTCCGCTTCCCGCACAACAAATACGCCCCAAATTTCGCTGGACCAAGCGAACATACCTCTTCGATATAGCAACATCCATTCCGTGCCGGAGCGCAAAACTCACAAATTTTAATTGAACACACTTAGAAAGTCTTTTGACATTCTAATCGCGTTAAGATGGCACCAAAGAAGGCTAAGAAGAGCGCCGAGAACATCAACTCGCGCCTTGCGCTTGTGATGAAGTCTGGCAAGGGTGAGTCCAACATGAATATAACTTTTTCTTAAAAAAAAAAAAAGCCAAATTCAACCCCTTTGGGATTTCGAACGTGACCAAGAGCCGGGACTGATTGATTCATAATCCAATATAGTCACACTTGGCTACAAGTCTACCCTCAAGGCCCTCCGCTCCGGCAAAGCCAAGCTCGTCATTATTGCCGGCAACACTCCTCCCCTCCGCAAGAGTGAACTTGAATGTAAGAATATACCCACCATTTTTCTTCTCATCTATTCTCGATGAGTATGTATGATGAGATGCGAAGTAGCGATGATGCTAATTATATCTTTTTCGACTCATTTAGACTACTCCATGCTTTCCAAGACCAGCGTCCACCACTTCTCCGGAAACAACGTAAGCTAACTCTTCCCAAACCCACCCCCCTCCCCTTCTTTTCTCGTCTCATACATTCCCCTGCATGCTACATCGACCGGTTCGGCTCGGCTCCACTTACAAGCTCCAAATTCATTGCTGCCAACACGACAACTGGCGTCAGGCTCAATGAGCCCAAAAGACTACTGGGTTGAATGAGTGGAGCTCGAGCTCTGAGCCGGACCATGGAAAAAAAAATGTAGCATGTCTACCCAGCGAAGAAGCTTTAACATGTATCCCCTAACAACAAAGCTTCGGAGGGTATCGATCACACGCTGACTATACTTCATCCTTTTTATCTCCGTACTCCCCCCAACGGGACGGGGTCGGGAATTATGGAATTCTTTTCATATTTTACAGATTGAGCTTGGAACCGCCTGCGGAAAGCTCTTCAGATGCTCCACCATGGCCATCTTGGATGCCGGTGACTCCGATATCCTCTCTGGCACTGCTGCTTGAATGGAAATCTCATTAAGGGATGGGGAGGGGCGTTTGAATTGAGGATAGTGTTTTTTTCCCTGCTTCTTCTTGCTACTGGAAGTGGTAGTGTACCGTGTGACCGGTTGGTCTTAGTGTTTGATGTTGGTGGCATGTTGGAGATAGATAGTGGTCTTTGCAGCTACTTTCTCATCTCCTCGATCTGGTCTTATCCATGTATGTACTGTATAAGCTACCTAAGCGTAGAACCGGACATGAGATAATAAAACACTAAAAGATACCATGGGAATTATCACAGAATGCAAAAGGATTCTAATGGCTATGCCCATACTTGAAATCACTTCAATGGATGGCAGGCAGTCGCTTAGCTACGTTTCAATTTTCCTAGTTCAATTGTACCTGAACTGATGGAAAATCCGTCAAGTCAAAATCACAAAGTGAGAACTTATAGAACTTATTTAAAATGTGTATTCATAGAAATGGAGTCTATAGTGTAGGAGAAACGAAAGATGGAAACCCGTTATCTGTTATTATCACTCCTGATAACCGTATAACTCCCAAACCCAAGTTCAGGCCCTAAATCTCCCCTCTCGACCAGCGGAAATATATCTGATTCGGAAAATACCTGTCCATCCTTCCCAAGCGAACTCCTCACATCCGGAGAGCATGGTGACTGCGGTCCAGCTGCGTTTGAAGAAAATACTCTGCCTCCACCATTATTAACAATGTAATTCCCACCGTTATTACGCGCACCCCTGGTGCCATTAGACGAGGCGCCAGTTCGGTCACCGAATAGTGATGGGAAGATTTTGCGAAGCAGAGCGCGGATGGCCGGCATGCAAGCACATAATATGCTGGCATGACCTTCAATCGTGCTCCAGTAGCCAGCGGGAACGTGATCCCCTGTGAGATGTCAAGTAAGAAGGGGGCGCTAGAAAAAGGGGTAGTATATTGTGAGGGGATTTGGGGACCTACAGGTTATGTTCCGGGAATTCCCGAATTGGAGCAAAGCTTGAAGGCGGATAGTGCTGACGATTGTGACGCTGGTAGGTGTTTTTGGTGGTTAGATAGGGGCCTCAAATGTTTCTGTTGTTGTCTGTAAAAAGGGGGAGGACAGTAGGGAAACTAACAAAAATCCAACACCAAACATGAGTAGAATTTGGAGCTTCTTCTTCATCGATAGAGACAATCCAAATAACTCCCAAGCTGGCATTGCGATAATCACAACGTCTAAAACAATATTTACAGCCGCGCTTATCCAGCTGATCAGATTGATGTTGCTGCACCTGGCAGATTGATGTTCGCCGTCCCAATTCTTCCAGGCCATGTCGACTGGGGTGCACTGAAACAATGCTGCAAGAATGAGAGCAAGACAATATGCAATGGTGATGCCCATCGCAATCCAACTCGCGATTCTGAAATTTTGATAAGGGAAGATCCGCAGGTAGAAAAATAATATGGATACTTTCGTTATGTTTATTGTCGCAAAGTACATTACTTCTTGTACGTAATATATCTATACGATTCATGGTAACGGGGGAGATTGTTAGTAAAGACCATACTTTCACTGGGTTGGCAAGACATGTAGTGGAACGGCACACCTTAAGGATATAAGTAATATCATCGAAGGGAACATTCCATATATCTTTCCCCAGACCGGCATTGGCAACTACAGAATTTTAGAATGGCGTCCAAGTTATAATGGAAACTCCATTGCTGATGACAAGCAGGTACTTACGAGTAACTGCTAAAATGCCTAGAGGTATCCCGAAAACCTAATGAATCGTAAGTAGATTGTTGGAGAGGATGGATTTGAGCCGATCGGTTGAAAGCCTCACCATGGAGACAGAAATGGCCCAGTCATCTGAGTGAAACTGTCCACCGAAGTACGGCAACTTCGATATCATGCGTAGAAGAAATGCAGTAAATGAAACAGCAAATCCCACCACTCCACTGATTAAAATCAAAGACGTCCTATCCCGTTCAGGGTGTCCGCAACTCTTCTCCGAAATACGTTTCGCCGCTTTATTTCATGGTCAGCAGCCACTCTAACGGAAATTCGCTGCAGTATCAGCATCGCGTGGGCTCTTACTGAGAGATTCTTTAATTGTGCAGTGACCCATAATGCAGTTTTCGAAAACAGATGTTAAATTGGCGTTCGAGCAAATACATGTTGGGTCTTGAGCCAAGCACGGGAATTCTGGTGCCAGTTGCTTCAAACATCGCGTCTATGATATTTTTGATTGTTAGGAAATGTACGTAGGGTTGGAAATCCTGACGGAAACATCACGTCTCATCGCAGAGTGACCGAAATTGAGAAACCTACGGCGCATTTTGGCAAATCGGCAATCGAATCTGCTCGTATTTCAACGCCAGACTTTGCAGATGTGGCCAAGGCGGCCGAGGCCACCAGGGCCAATGGAAGCCAGCACAGCTTCAGATTTGCAGTTTATCAATAACAAGTTGGTAGAGTTTATGATATGATAAATAATAAGATCAGCATTAATAACAAACCGGCGATCACTGGACTAATTCCACTGGTTCAAAACCAGCAGTCAGGGAACAGCTTGTCGCATAAGGTCTGAGCCAATTAATCCGATCGAAAGGGAGAGATGGAAGTAAAAGAAAGTTACCTGATGCCAGCGAGAGAAGGGGGGGTTTCTGATATGTATCTGGATAGATCCGCATCAACAGTTGGCCATCGGGCAAGATGCTGGGCATGCTCCAATTTTCTCCTCGGCATCCGGGCCTAGCGGGGCAACTTAAGCTGTTGTTCATTCCATCTAGAAGCATAGGCACAGCCGAGTAAATATAGAGAAACTGGGGGGGAGAGGGGGGGTGGACAGAAAAAAGAAACATCATTGGAGAATAGAAGTTGCCGAAGAATTAATGTAGTCCCTGCAATTATCAGATTGCCACCATGCGGTCATGAACTCCCAAGGGCCAGGATAGGCAATAGGGAGGTCCTCGGGACCTGATCAGGAACTGGAGCATTGAACCCAAAGATCCGAGAACGATATACGTTAATCCCTGGTAACCTGGTGTCCCTAGGTTCTCGGACAAGAGTCGCTGTGGGTTGGTGGGTCATGACCCATTTTTCACGAGTCATTTGAGGCTAAAGCATTTGAAGTGAATGGCCACCAGCCAGGCCCCTTGAAATCTAGCAAGGACCCATTTCTCACGCCATTAAGGACGATTGCATAGAAAACATGTGTCCCACAAGCTTTGTCCGAAGCTCATAAATTTCCTTCTCAGTTTTATTCTTGAGACCCTTTTCTGAATTATTGTTGGTGTGTGGAAAAAGAATGGATTCGGGCGAAGCGTGCTGCGTATAGTTTACACCGATGGTTGAGCCCCAATGTCCGAGTAGCATGTGGTGCCGATTTTAGCGTCAAACACTCGGATATGCGTCTTGATTTGGAGGCTAAAGAGAAACAGCCTGCGAATGGATACCACTGCACCAAACGGGGGCCGATAATAAAGCTGATGAAGGATGAGGAACAAACATCCTAGAGATTGAAGTTGCTTCATTGAGAAATAGCTGCTGGAGTCCTGTTCACTAGTAGCGCTAATCCCAACGTTGGAAGAACTCGCGGCGTTACGCATGCTTTCTAGAAAACAAACGATATGACCCCGCTTGCACGTTTGTATCAGGATTTGAGTGGTTCTGGGTCTTTTGTATCGGGCTATCAGGTTTTTAATGATAATACTCTTTTCAAATCTCCTTATCTGCACCTCATCGTGCATCGATTTTGTCGTCTTTTATGTTGAAAATTCTTTTCCAGTGAAAGATTGTTATGCGCTCAATACCAATCAATCGTACTAAAATCCATGTGGCTACCCAAAGGTGGGAAGCCCTAAGTGCGCCTAGTCATGCCCTGGTTGATTACCGGTTTGCTTTCTCCAGATACTCGTTTAGGCACAGGTAACCAGTGGTTGTCCCAGGGAACTTTGGAGGAGGAAATTGGGAGAGAGATTGATCTTTATCAGTTAGACGTTGGTATGTGCCTGTATGAATGTATGAACATTGAGATATTTGAACCGGGAGCTTGCCTCCCGCGTTAACTACCACTGTTCGTAAAATGCGGCCATTGGTCCATGGGATCCAGATAGATTTGGGCATCTGGCATCTATCTACCAGTCTCGAGCTTGAATGCTAACTCTCCTGTCCCTTATACGATTTTGTCTCCCAAAGGCAGGACCTGGGAGCATATTTGCTGGCGGAAAAGAGGCGGAGGAAAAAGTTCCTGGCCAATGTCTTGTTGGAATGGTTTCCAGGAATCCCATTGTCGATACCATGTCCACAGAAAATTGATGTCATGTGACTCATAGTGGATGGATTATTAATCTAAATTCCAAAAACAGATGTTAGGGTTTAGGGTTTATCACATGATCTCACTAGCCGCGATGCTTGGAAATCAAAAAGGGCAAACCTCCAAGTCTTTAAAAAGCAATCCACGACGACGACGACGACATCTTCAACATACATCATCCGGTTCGCAGGAGTTGCTGTCATCACCATCGACTATCCGACAAAATGGCCCGTCGTCCAGCCAGATGTTACCGTTACTGCAAGAATAAGGTACGATGTTACTTCTGTTCTGTTTTTTTTCATTTATCCCTTTTGATTTTCGACGGACACATTGTTGTGGGAGAATGGCGAAACTTCGCCGCCAACCGAGAGAACTGGTCGCCAACGGGTTCTGTTGAAATTGCTTCTGCATTACCAGCTCGTAGCGATGAGATATTTGTTTGTTGAATGCGATGCGATGTGGCGAACGAAATTGTTAATGAAAATGAGAAACATGGGAATCGTTTTTATATGTCGCACTAATATTCATCATCCATTTTAGCCATACCCCAAATCCCGCTTCAACCGCGGTGTTCCCGATGCGAAGATCCGTATCTTCGATCTCGGTCGCAAGAAGGCCAATGTCGATGAGTTCCCTCTGTGTGTGCACATGGTGTCCAACGAGTACGAACAGTTGAGCTCTGAAGCTCTCGAAGCTGCCCGTATCTGTGCAAACAAGTACGCCTCGCCACTCCAATGGACATCTATTATACCCACCTAGTTCCATTTGCTGACAATTGTATCACAAATATAGATACCTCGTCAAGATCGCCGGTAAGGAAGGTTTCCACCTCCGCGTCCGTGCCCACCCATACCACGTCGTCCGTATCAACAAGATGTTGTCATGTGCTGGAGCCGATAGGCTCCAAACCGGTATGCGCGGTGCCTTTGGTAAGCCTAACGGCACAGTTGCCCGTGTCAACATCGGCCAGATCCTTCTTAGCGTTCGTACCCGTGATGCCCACCGTGCCACCGCTGTCGAGGCCCTGCGACGCTCCATGTACAAGTTCCCCGGTCGCCAGAAGATCATTGTCAGCAAGAACTGGGGCTTCACCCCTCTCAGACGGGAGGAGTACGTCCGTCTCAAACAGGAGGGCCGTGTTAAGATTGATGGTGCTTACGTCCAATTCTTGAGAAATAAGGGTAATATTGAGGAAAACATGAAGCGGTTCCCAGAAGCATATGAGAATCTTTCACAGGTATAGATTTGTTAATGAATGGAAAGAAGTGGCATTTTTTTTATCTATGTTTTTTATTCCCTGTTTGTCATACAAATCTAAATTTTCAAACAAAAAATAAAGAAAAGGAATATTATCCTTGGGCGTCTATCCTTTTGTACGTTTTAAGAATTTGGAATTGTTAACTGTTCCTTGGAACTTTGCATGCATAGAGAAAGTTTACAACGTAAATAAACCACACGTATAATTCAAGCACCAGCCAACATACATACGATCTGGATGGAAAATCGTCGCATACAACATGTCTAGCTCAAATTCTCACAACTTACCCATCTCTCACTCTTAGGTATCCCAGCTGCTCTGCACGAGGTCAGTGCAGTGTACGGAGAAGCCACCGTGGCATATCCATTAAGTCCCACTGTAGCTAGAACCCGAATACAATAAATCACATCCAGTCTTCCCACCCCTCACCATAGAGCTATATAACTTCTCCTGGACGCAGTAATAATCACCCTCGTTCTAAAACCACGATCTACCCTCCAGCCCCTGTTATACCCATTCACGCACATCTAGATTTCCGCGAAAAGGTTGGAAAACTTTCCGTACCCATTATTAAATGGTAATCTTCTGATTCAACAGCCTATATGTCATACCAATCTTCTCAATGGATGACCCGGGCTATATGGAACATACACGTTCCAGTCAAGGCAACTTCCGCCACATGGGATTCAAAGGGTATGGAGTTGCAGCGTCATGGCTGGTCGATTATCTCCTGATTCTTCTTGTTACTGGACTGGAAGTTAAATTTTTTATTTATTTTATTTTATTTATTTATTTTAAATTCATGTGAGAGCTTTTTAGTGGCGATATTCTTCGTAACTTTTATGCACAAATGCAAAAAATTGTTGTCGTCAGAGTGGAAGCAGTGGAGAAGGGATCTAGGACATATTTAAGACCAACCTCTTAAAGCCATTAGTTACCTGTCTTGGAGACCTGTATATGTTATGAACAATGGGAGTCCCACTCCGATAGAAGCTGTCTGCTGTTGGGCATTGAGCGGATCGGGTACCGCAAATTTATGATGATTTTGGCATTCAATAGCACACTGTACACACTGGAAATTTGAAATTGATAGACAAACCCCAAGTGGGAACGGAGCACGGTTATGAGTGGAATGTATAGCCCGTATAAATTATGTGTCGAGAGTGGTAGCATATGCTATTATTGAAACAAAAATATGGAACTAACCGCCATATTATACTCCTTTAAATATACCAATGAAAGTAAAATGCACTCATCTTTTCTGTGCCATCCTCCTCTCAACCTGAAGAAATCATGTTCAGGTTTCGTTCCCCTTCCCAGCCCACCTGGAGCCTCCCAAACCGATAGCTGTAACGATAGCAGACATTTCCTCAAAAACTCAATGGGCATGCGAACAGTACCTTGAGAAGAAATGCGCACGCGAAGAATATATGAAATGTCAGGTCAGGCAAAGGCTAAGCTAGGCCATAAGAGAATAAGGGGAAAATCACACGAACGGTGAGCAGAAAATGTATCGCATGTAATGCATTATCCAAGAATAAAAGTATGATAAATAAAATAGGTTAAAAAATAGTCCCCCCAAAGCCCAACACCTCATAATATCATTACTCAGACATCTCCCCAACTCCCCATCCCTCCAACAGCCGAAACAACAACGCTTCCGCTCCCTAAACTCCCCCCAATATCCCAGTAATGTCGACTCGACCCACTGCCAACCGTCATCGTCCGCTTAGCAGAGACAACGGACATCTTCGAACTCTGGCTTGCACAACTAGAGCTGGTGTAGCGGATATGATGGCGCAGGATCGGACTGCCCCCTGCCGCTGCAGCAGAGCTAGAGACAGACGCTGGAGGCTGTCGTGCTTGTCTCGTCATGGGCCGTTGCATTTGGGATTGTGAACGGGCATGGGCACGCGCAACGAGTGGGTGGTGTTGGCGGATTATGGCAGCGCGGAGGGATGGGTCTTGTTGATTTGTTGAACAAGTGTAGTGGGTCATGTCTGCGGGAGCAGTGGATGTGGAGCTGCGATGCCATGGTGAGGCACTGCTGTAACTGTTTTTATTTGTGAAGGGGATGTTTTTCCTAAAGCGGTTGCGGAGGAAGTGAAAGACCATTTTGATATCCAGTTCGCGTTCCCAGTACTCACGCTCGCGCTCGAGGAGGGCGGCGTCGGATGGGGTGTCGCCTGATCTGGATTGTGCGTTTGTGGGAATTATTGATGTTGTCTGCATGTTTGGGTTGAGATGGTAGAGAGGCAATTGCTCCTCAATTCCGAAGAGAGCGGTGTGATGAGTGGTAACCGCATCTTGAAGGGTCGGCTTGAATTCATATTGGGGGGGGTATGCTGAAGGAACATTTGATACTGTATTGTTGGACATGTTGCGCGAGAGAGGTGGCTGCGTGACAAATGACGTGGAATTGGAGGGAGAAAGAGAAATAGGCATGCCGGCATACTGGTTTGTGATAGACGAAGAAGTGCGAACATAGGTGCTGAACGTACCTGGGTGTTCACACAATTGATGGACAAGAATGCCCAGCTCACGAGCAATGCGCTCCAGGAGTCTCTCATGCCAGGTATCGTCGGTTTGCAGCGCATCATCCACATTTCTCATTGCCTGGTCCATGTCCAACGAGCCACTTAAGCTTTCCACTGTAGAATCTGTATGATCGCAGGTTCTTGATGTTTGATCTTGCATGTCTTTATCCATCGTGACCAATGTCTCTCCCAAAATGACCGAAAGAAGTGAATCATCGATACCAATCAAACCTCGAATAACATTACGCGTTACTCTCCTCCAGAACGACTCGTCAGCTTCGGCATCATCCCGCGTTTCCACTACCCCGCTATCACCAGTCGTGAGGGGATCAGTCTGATGAAAACAAGATTCCAAAATGGCATCACCGAAATCGCTTCTGGAGATTTGTCGGGCCAAGAATCTTTCACTAGTATAGCTTGCACGACCATTCCTTCTCCGTCTCGTCTCTTTCTCGATCTCCTGCAACAAGGCTCTACTTTGTTCCATTCTCCATTGTTCAATGCGCTGCCATCTATCATACTCTATTTCGCGAGCCTGTATTTCTTCAAAAGTATCCAAATGTCTCTGGACACTAGACCGCCTTCGATGCCTCCATTCCCCTCTTCGCCGCAGATTGTATTGTTCATGCTGCCAGAGTTGGTTTTGGACATCCTGGCTACAGGCTGGGAATAAACCCAGACCATCATGAGCAGGGAGAATGGCAGAATCATCGTGGACAGCCTGGGGAGCGTTCGCAGTGTGCACGGATGTTGCCCTGTAAATAGCAGGCTCACGGAAGGCACGCAGTCCATCATCCAGACTGTCAAGCTCTGTGGTATCATCTTCAAACTCTCCTCCATCAAACTCATCATCTTCGGATTGGGCTGTGGTGTCTAATGACCCGAAATCACTGACCCGTGACAGGCCAGCGGTGCGCCGGGTTCGCTCTGTAAAGGTAGTATGGCTGCGAGCCGTGGTGGAGCCAGCTTGAGATGGAGAGAAGAGGACCCATTCTATCGACTCTTCGTCTAGTTGTTGTTGGGCTTGATAGTGGAGTGCAGTCGTGGATGGGATCTGGAGTAGGGACCGCTGGGAAGCACTGGTATATGGCTGCTGTCTTTGTGGAGGATGTGTAGGTAGGAGAAATGCCATGATTTATAGCAGATGTAGTCAGTCGGAAGAGGTTGACGAGGGGCGTGGATGGAGGATTCGTTGTCTCTCGTAGCGTCGAATAACTGAGACGTTCATATATACCAGTAGTATAGATAAGAGAGATGGATGGAGTAGATGAAAGGAAGGAAACCGAGAATTTATGAGAAAGATATGTAAGTTAGAGGATAAGGTCAAGCATTCCAAAGAAGTGTATAAGCATGAATAATAATAATAATAATAATAATAAAAAGAAATAAACAATATCCCAGACCGGAGGAGGAGGGGGGAAACAGGAGAGGATGGATTGCCTGGGGAGAGCCCAGAAGTTGGCTGACGTGATGATGTATCTAGGTTCGAATGATGCTGATGTTGACCGGACGGCTGACCTAAACCCAATGCAGGTGATGTGGAGATTCCTCTCAGACGAACAGCCAAAGGAATTGAAAGAAGCCAAGTCAACACCCAAAGAAACAAACCCACAACCTAGGGACGAAATATGGGGCCTGATAAGCATCAACTGACGCAAGCCGCCGAATCCTATAGGCTGGTGGGTCGAAAAGACTTAAAACTTTCTATGATTACATCCAACATGCAAGAATCCGCGGCCGGGATTTTGGGCGGTGTAAGGTGCAGCAGATGTTTAAACTAACAACCCACTCACTGCGTTGCGGCAGCACTTGAGAGTTATCCTTCAAGCCATCGTTAGTTACTCCGCATTACCTACACGATAATTGATGGCAAGTCGCAGAACATCCAGCAGTACAGTGGGGAATAAGACCACCAAGTATCCTTACATTCTGTCGAGATTGCTCTAAAAACAGGCGCATGTTTCAAAGCTTCTTTTCATGTTCATTATTTACTATTGGTACGAAAAAATGAAGTTTGATTCAACCCTGAAGATCCCACTTCCGCCGCTCGTATACGGAGCATGGCTTTAAAGAATATAAAATAAAATATAAAATAAAAACAAATAAAAAAAATTGCAATGATAGTCGAACCCCGAACAAATTATCAGTGATTTTTAAGCCCCTAACCGCAGGAAGATCCCTCTTTCATGCACAGCATTTCCCGAAGATATACGGTTGACCCCCCGACTCACCGGGAATTGCTGTGTCCGCATCAGTTTCGGCCCCCTGGAATAAGGAATGCTACGATGGACCGCCGCTGCAGGTGGGATTAGAATATTGACGACGACTCGAGTTTCCCTGTTGCTAATATTGAACTATTGGATAATCTGACACCGTTAACCCTGCACGTCGAGTTATTTTGGGGGATTTTTCGGTGTAACCTTCGGAAAATTCAAGAGAAGATAAAAGATAAGAGAAGATGCACATAAATGTTTACCCAATTTCAAAATAATTATTCCAGAACAGTGTTTCACTTTGCCGAATTTCTCCTTGGCTTTTTCCTAAAGTAAAAGTCTCAGCTCAACGCCAAAATGACGGGCGGGATGATCAGAGTTGTCCGTACGAATAATACCGGCTTGAAATGGCTCCCAAACCTTCCAACGTAAAAAGAATCTTACCCGTTATCCGGAACGCGTGGCTCCCTGCTGACAACCCGATCAACCTTGGAAAATTGGGATAACGGCTTTTTCACTGAATTTTGGTAACTAGTTGAGGCCAGTGTCTCATCAGATTTCCTTTTCCACTCATTCCATGCCCTTGCCAAGCCGTTGGACTGCAGCGGCACAATGATTCTAGAAGCTTGCGATACGAATCTCCGACATGCCTCCGCCATGGCCTGAATATTAGCTCCCATGCTCAAAATTGAACAGGGCAATGTTTTCATGCGTACGGAGTAGCATCGGCCGTGATGGGGGTGGCTCCCCTGCTCTTAATATCCATATCCATAATGCCAGCTCTATTGAAGGTATGTGTTTGGAAAGACCACTAACGGCATTTTCGATGATCGCAGCGCTTGACGGCTCAGCGACGAGCGGCTAATAATTGGATGATAACGTTACCACAGTTATTTTTAGAGCCGTAATAAGACCTCTCCAATAGGCGCTCTCGAATGAATCACTGCTATTTGAAGAATGTTCGAAATTCCATCGGACAGGGCTTGGGTGTTAAGAGTACAGTCTTCTACAACTACCATTTGAGCGTTTGTCGTTATATGATAGATAATTGACTGTTGGAACAAGTTGCTTTCACAGAGCTGCTTTTGCTAAATGACGAAACTTGACATGTCATTTTGAAGAAAAGAAGCAAGTTTATTTTATTGTGATAAATGTCATGCTTGTTTTTCTACCTCCAGAGATCCCCAAACAAAGAAATATATCTGTTGTTAGGGTCGGTTCAATAGATCTATCGACAGAGTTTCGACCGAATGTGTATTTGTTTAACCTCTTTAAGTAGTTATGGACACTCCCATATCCGAGATGGGTTGCTCTTCGCATAGCGTTAAATGCTAATAAATACCATTCAAGCATCGCAAAATGAGCTACACGAGCCCACTAACTGCCTTAATATTGGATATAGGTGTGGTACAGGTAGCATGAGATAATACGCAAGTACCCCTGGCCCACATCGCAACAGGATTCCATGGATTTGAAGCCAAGTATTCACGAAAAAGAATCGTCCATCTTCCAGCCTACTATAACCCCCAACTTTCAAAATAAAAAGTCCTTGTCCACGAAGATGCCTTGACTGGTGGTGGCAAGAGGCAGGATTCCCTTAACCGAGATTCACGATTCATTTTGGCTCTCACTGTACTTCATTCAGATATGAAATTCAGTTTGCCAATATTTATCTGCATTAGATAGTTCCTACAAACTTCCTTGGTAAACCACAATACACATACCCTGAAACGAGTGGAGACACGAGAGCAGCAAGTGGGCTCGTGCTCTCGACAGGAGGTGGGTAAAAACCCCAACCTAGTAGCTCCCATGGTCACAGGTTTCAATACGTCCCCAAGTTAATCCGATGAAAGCGCAGAATTGCGAGAGTAATCGCTTTCAGGAAGACTAGCAACATGGCTAAACATGAGGCTAGGCCATCCGTGATGGCAGATGTATCATTCGATCACGATTGATGACGAGTTAACGAAGATTCATCAATAAAGCTAGTGCTGATGCCAGGTAATTCTCATATCCCCACTCTGGCCGTCAATATCTTCCTTCATACCCTTGGCAGCCGATACTATCATTCGATTACACAAAGGTAGCTAGAGTGGGTTATAAAAAAAAAGGCTTTAAGGGAGTGGATTGGGGGCATGGAAAGATGAACCAAAAGCAATGTCCAAGTTAGACCAATGATAGAACCTGTATTGCTTTCTGTTACACAATGCTGTAACGCGCACATGTTTTTGCACAAATGACCTAGATGTCATGAGCGACTGTCCTCCCATCCAATCGGCATCCAAACTCGCTCGGTTCTAATTCACGACTCCTTTTCCGGATGGATGTATGGCCAATCCTCATAGTCGTGCTAAACCAGATTTCCAATCTGTAGCGTTGGTTGGCTCACTGCTTCCTTCGCTAGATAAAGAACTGGCGGCATCAATATTAATAAAATAAGGAAGCTTTTGCTGTGTATTTCCCCGATGGCGATGGGCGGGTAAGAATTTTAGGGCTCTGTAATCATATTCAGTGGTTCCGTTGGCGAGATAACAGTCTGTTTCATGCCATGCGTGTTGCTGCGATTTGTGGAGGTTGATTAGCACGTATGGTGGAAGACATTTAGAAAGGTACCTTAACGTTCTGACTTGCGTTTGGCTATGAATAAGTGTTTAAAGACGACATGCAGTGGAGAAGTGAGTGAAGCGTGTTTCACAAGGTCGACGACATGTCTGGGGTATGTTGGCTCAATTAAGCTTAAAATTTAATCTGGGGTTGGTCGGCCCGAATGGTCTGTGCGCATTTCATCCCGAACCAGCAACACGCGATTAAACTGAGAATGTGCTCTGTACCATATCCATTGTGCTGGGAATTATCAAAAAGGGACACTGTCAATTATGCTATTGCAATCTATTATTAGGGATTCCAGATAACAGAGACTACATCCTAAGACGTTTCTAATCTGCCCCCGAAAACCTTGTTTAGCTTCTTCATTCCCCAAACAGAAAGAGTGGAAATCGGCAATACTCACAGGGTGACGTCGCTCCGGTCAAACGCTGTAACAATGTTCCCTGACAGGCCGATAAAAGGAGTCTGTGGGTGCGGTTCAGGGATTTTCTGAGCCATCCACCGCGGACATAATCGGACATAATGAAACACCCAATTTTTTTGATTGCTCTTCACGAGAATACCCTCATGCGATATGAGCATTTAAATCAATCGGAAAGGTAATCCTTATCTTCTCCTGCTAGCCTCTAAACCAAAATCCAATCTTTGTCAATCAGCCACTCATTCCAAATATCAGGATAGCATTAACGGACCCGCCGGAGTCGAAATCCATCCCGAATAGCTCCGCCGCCATACAGTCAGAAAACAGGCGCAGAGATCTGACAGTCGCAGAGGAGGAAAGACCCGTTGCAACCAGCAGCCCCGATGCCTCACGGAGCTATTTGAAGCACGATCACGGGAGGAAAACAGGTGTTGATAAATGGCGAGGTTTTGGAGTTCCTAGTGAAGTCAGTAAGGTTGCAATAGAGCATGAGGACAAAAAAGCAAGAGCAAATTATAGTTGGTTCGTTGCAACCAACTTAAAAAGTTAGTTATTAGTCAGCCCCAGAAAATGATTCCCGTAATATATGGTAACTGAAATACCGTAATATTTCACATTTTGTTACACAGATCCTTTTTTCATCTGAGCATCAGAACCTTGGGCTGAGAAGAATGAAAGGACAAACACCATCTTCTCAATGATACAATGTATGAATGCATGGGAATATTCTTTTCTGATTTGTTTCCCTTTTCATTGTACTATCATATATAGCTTGGACTTTCAATTTTGTTTATATCATGACAAAGAAGAGAACATTGAAAAATAGCTTGGATGCTGGCCTGAAATCACTTCAGCAGCCACATTCTGCCAATATCAACCAGAGTGATGTGAAACCATTGCTTTCGCTCGAAAGCACCACAATGAGCAAGAAACGTAAAATAAAGGAGGATACAACCAGACCAGGGAAGCATAGTCCTGACCAAAAGTGCGTGATGTTCCACAATGGAAATTCATCAGTGGCAACAACAGCTGCCATTGAGAATGTTCCCGTAGCAAGGGATAACTCTACGAGCAATAACGCCATACCTATTCCTCCGTTGAGTAATATAAGAAATGTTGGCAGAGACAACAGAGACAAAAGACGAAGAGGTCCTGGTCATGCGCCTAATAATGCATCTACGTCGTTAAAAGACCGGGCGAAATTGCTCTATCAAAGCCGCAAAGAGCTGCCAATTTTTCCCCATGCAGATGAGATCCGCAAAAGCCTCCAACGCAATAACGTCACGTTGCTCGTTGGTGAGACTGGCAGCGGGAAGAGTACGCAGGTGCCGCAGTTTTTGGTTGATGAGAATTGGGCACGCCCCAAAAGCGTCAAAGTTCCTGCTTTAGCGACCAAAAAAAGAGGAGCGCCGGTTGAGGGCGAGTCAGAAATTTCAGGGATGAATGGCAGTGATCTATTGGAGAAAAAGACCGTTATGACGGATATCACGGTTGGTGGATGCATTGCCATCACCCAACCCAGGCGTGTCGCTGCCGTCTCCCTGGCGAGGCGCGTTGCGGAGGAAATGGGCACTCCACTGGGAAATTCCCACCCTGCGAGTAAAGTTGGATACTCGGTGCGGTTTGATTCTTCAACATCGCCTAATACAAGGGTAAAGTTTTTGACGGAGGGGATGTTGCTTCAAGAGATGTTGACGGATCCTTGGTTGACGAAATACAGCGCAGTGATTGTCGATGAAGTGCACGAGCGGGGGGTTAATGTCGATCTTATTTTGGGGTTTCTGAAGAATATGGTTTCCGGGAAAAACGAGGGAAGGGGTGGATTGCCGCTGAAAGTGGTTGTTATGAGTGCCACAGCGGATATGGAAAGCTTGATAGGGTTCTTTGGAGAAGGGTTGAAGAAGAATCAGGAAGAGAAACATCTAACGGGCTCTGAATGGAGTGGGATATCAAAGGAACATGGAATTTCGGAAAGTGGCAAGGTGAATAAGAATAGCGACATTCCTGACCACAACGGCCCAGCCCTGACATCGTCGAACGCCGTCTCGGTCTGCCATATTAAGGGCCGCCAATATCCCGTCAAGGTTATCTACTCTCCTGAGCCTGTTCACGATTTTGTAGACGCAGCTCTCCAAACAATCTTCCAGGTCCACATGAAAGAACCGCTCCCAGGTGATATTCTGGTATTCCTAACAGGACAAGAAACGGTAGAATCTCTCGAAGCACTCGTCAACGAATACGCCGTTGGGATGGACCCAGCATTGCCAAAAGTTCAAGTACTTCCCTTATTCGCCGCTCTGCCGCAAGCGGCGCAGCAACGTGTCTTCATCCCAGCTCCTCCGCGAACCCGCAAAATCATCCTTTCCACAAACATCGCTGAGACGTCCGTCACTGTTTCCGGTGTCCGCTACGTCATCGATTGCGGGAAAGCCAAGATGAAACAGTTCCGAACACGCCTGGGCTTAGATTCGCTCCTCGTTAAGCCCATATCAAAATCTGCAGCGATTCAACGGAAAGGTCGTGCAGGGCGAGAGGCTCCAGGTCAATGTTACAGGCTTTACACAGAAAAGGATTACTTGGCACTACAAGAAGCGAACACACCCGAGATCCTACGCTGTGACTTGAGTCAGGCGATTTTGAATATGAAAGCAAGAGGCGTGAATGACATTGTTGGGTTCCCTTTCCTGACGCGTCCGTCCCGGGAAACCCTTGAGAAAGCGTTACTGCAGCTCTTCAGCATCCAAGCACTGGACGAGACAGGGGAGATCAGTGTGATTGGCGAGAAAATCGCTAAGCTCCCTCTCACCGCGCAGCTGGGTCGGGTCCTGCTCGCCAGCGCGGAACAAGGGCCTGACTGCTTACGCAATGCCATTGATATCATCTCATGTCTCAGTGTTGAGAATATTTTCCTGAATACAACGTCTGAGGAGAAGAAGGGGGAGGCGGAAAAGGCACGACGGGACCTGTATCGAAGAGAAGGGGATCACCTGACGATGCTTGCTACAGTACGGGCTTATGTTGCTGAAACCTCCGATCGGAAGGCATGGGCAAATAGGCATCTCGTCTCATATCGGGCAATGCAGGCGGTTATGGTACGTGAAAAATATTATTCTCTTTCAAATTCTACTACTATTCCTCACATGGAGAGGTAACCACCAAGACTAACTAACAAAACGATGGGTATGTTCTGTTTGAACAGGACGTTCGAAAACAGCTCATAGCGCAATGTCGACAAACCAAACTCCTTCCAAACGACAAAGACGCCACCAGCGCCATCAGCAATAGTCAGACTATCTCTTCATCGGAAGAAGACCCTGTCCCGATCTTGAAATCCTTCCTCGCTGGCTTTGCTTCCAACACTGCTCGCCTCTTCCCTGATGGCAGCTACAAAACCATAGTTGGCAACCAGACTGTTGCCATCCATCCATCGAGCGTGCTGTTCGGCCGTAAGGTCGAGGCAATTATGTATGTTGAGTACGTGTTCACGAATAGAAGTTACGCAAGGTGGGTGAGCGCTATGCAGATGGATTGGGTTGGGGAGGCTTTGGGGGGAGGGTCAATGGTTTGAAAATGATGAAATAAATACCCCGTGGGGGGGAGCTTTGGACCTGAGCAAAACATCGTGTGGTGCATCAATAAATTTACGAATTTAAATCAACGGCTATTGCTTCCCATGTTCTGCACCGCGATAACCCTTTCGCTCCCACATATTTATCTTACCACACGACGCTTAAAAAAAGTTCACTACTTCAATGAAAGTGGTGCCGAATTGATTCCCCAGCCAGGAGCCTGCGTCATAAAATTCACCTTTTCCCCAAGAGCTTTCAGGATTTCGCAGGAAAGCTTTGGGGTTAGTGGAAAAAGGCTTGATGCCCTTTGGCCAAATGATCCGATAACTATCACTCGTTAGGATTGTTGAGTTCTCCAGAATATCAGATCTCTGGCAGTTCATACGGATGGTTTCAATAATTTTTATGGCTGGTAGTCTACATAAAACCCCTATCATTTCAACCTCTAACCCCTTGACTATGAACTACGTCCTGGAAAAAGTAACTAGCTAGATATCTGGGATGCAAAGGGGAGGGAGATTGCAACATGATTTCAAGCATCTGCGCCACCTGACCAATGACACAACAGCATTAAATAATAAGCGAAGAAAATTATTACCACTTATCGACCTCCAACAATATGTAAATATCTGGCATGTAGTTACAGGACGACCTTTAAAAAAAATTCTCGGAAAACACACTCTCTCTAATCCGCATCCAGCAGTGCCACAGGGGGCTGATTATTTACTTGAATTCCCCCTCTTTTCTTCTCATTGGTGTCCCAGAACGGGAGCGTCCATCCCCCTTTGCTCTCTGGTGTTGCCAGCCAGAGACGCATGAGATGTCTCCGTGGGGCAGGGGGTGGATAGTCTTTGTATTCCGTGCGGGCATGAAGGATGTGGGAGTTAGCGAGGAATTGGATATCTCCGACGTCGAGAACCATGTGGAGGGCGAGTCTGAGACAGGTCTCTTCGAGAACAGTGAGCGCCTCGAGTTGTGCGGGAGACAATGGCGGGATGATGCCCTTGTCGGAAAAGCGGGTGAGGGATCGGACAAAATATGGATCCCACCTGTGGAAACAATTTTATTATTATTATTATTATTAGACATCAATGCTTTCTGGAAAATAATTTTTTGGACTCGAAAGGAGGGCCCCACATGGTTTGAGGGAGGAGGTTTTGTTGCTCACTTCGCAAATACCCGCCCATCCTCCTTTGGCTCGACGTAGAAGATGCAGGCTCTTATATATTCCTCCTGGCCAATGCTGGTTTCCCCTTTGCGGTCTATATACCAGATAGGCTTCGTGAGCGTTTCAAGGACGTCCGGTCGTGTTTTGGCGATTACGTTGTACACCAGGTGTGTTGAGACGATATCGGACTCCCCACCCTCGAGCGCTTTTGCGATGCAAAGAAGTCCAACGATATCACTGTCGTCCGTGTGGAAGAATTGTCTGTCCCCATGCCGGAAGTGATTTAGCACCGGCAAATCCCATGGTTCAGAAGGAAACAACAGTCGAAAATATAAACACACACCTTGCGTTTGTTCTATATATGCGCACTTTGTCGGTTTGCGTGGAGTCCTCTCCCAGGTCCTTGACATGGCCAAGGACATGGCCACGGCCGTTTTGACTGACGAAGTATCCCAGATATGTGCCCAATCCCATATATGCCACGGCAGACTTGTGATTACCCCATTGCTCGACGGGAAATCCCTTGAACAGGATAAACCCTCTGCCATTGATAATGTCCTCCCTCAGCTCTGCGAGAAAAGATGAGAGTTTGGGGAGGGGGAAGTTACTCTGTGGTATGCTTATCCTCGGGTTAGAAATTCCCCGGGCAGATTTTGGCACACGCACACGTCCATTTCTTCGGTCAAGGGTTAAAACTTTGGAGATTAGTTCAGCGTACAGAGGAAAAAACCCACCTTAGAAATACCTGTCAGAGAAATTCTGGCCTCGAGGAAGGCATCCGCAGCCTGGCTCAACTCGGCAATCTGTGCTTGACTGAATCGATGCATCCATTTCTCAGGATTATTCGTGTAGTCCTCGGCCTTCCAGACTGTCCGACCGGTTATCTCTTTGGGGAAATCTGAGAATGGTTTCACCTGTTCACAGATTGGGGGATGCTGGCCGCTGGTCTTGGGCCCGTCTGGGAATAGGTGCAGTGGAAGGGGAGTGCCTTTGAGCTGGTGAAGGGCCACAGATGAATTTTCGCACTGGACAGGTGCCATGATTGGGATAATTTGTTATGAATGGGGCGGGTATGCTGATGGAAAGTTGATAATAAACCCAGAAAAGCATAGGGTAAACAACGCCCCTTTTATGTTTTTGTGTCCTTACTGTCGCGGGATCAGCCTGCAACAGTATTTGTACATTATGGCTTGCTGCAGCGTCCACCAAGGGACAATCAGGGTCGAAGTCAACTTAGTTAATTGTCATTTTATCAGTTGAATGCGACCATTCTGCATGTAAAATGGGTATTCTACTGGGCGGAAACACCGGGTTGGGTGGAGAGAAATGGGAGAGTGGGGTTAGACCCGGGCTGACAGCTCCTCGTAAGAACATAGATCAGAGGGGCGGATGGTGCAATTGATCGGTCTTCTGTTGTGATTCCATGACTTAGTTTATAGTTAATTACTTGACCAGTGGACGGTTTTGGATGATTGATGTTAATTAACATTTTAACTACATCGCCAAGTGGGAGGTTAAACTCGATTCTGGCTGGCTTCAACTTGGGGTTTTTCACCCTTGTTTTCCTCCGCCGAAACGGCTTCGGTGAGTGCTTGCAGCCAACTTCCTTGTATTTACCCCGGAGCTGCATGCATTCGCCTATGGTGTGCCTCTGATGGCAAAACCAGGAGTTGCCCGTATATAAATTATATATATTTGTATATTTATACTGTGGCAATGGTCGCCCGAAAGGCAAAGGAGAAAGAGATACAGCGGCTGCAGAAAACGAGCAGGCGTGATCAGGCAGCATGGCGGCTTCTGATATGGCCTGTTTGGTGGGCAGTTTACTACGTTTAGGCCAAAAGTGCTCGGGGAATAACTAAAGAACAGCCAAAGGACGCGCAGAGTGAGAGAGAGAGTCTACCAGTCTACGTGCTCTCTCGCCCTCCACCCCTCACGCTTCCTTCACAAGAATTTCCCCAAAAGAGCCATCTTACGGGCCCTGCTCGTTCTATAGAGATAGAGATAGAGAGAGAGAGAGAGAGAGAGAGAGAGAGAGAGAGAGAGGAAAGCTACTCAACCAACAGCGATTTAACTCTCCATGAAGCGACAACCCCAACTTTCCCTTTCCGTTGGCAAGGAACGAACCAAGGTGAAACCAGCCAAGGCGGACCCTGCAGAGATAGACTGGGAGAAGGGAGAGCACGAGGGTTTCGTTTCGATCGCAAACCATTCTCTTTTCCTGTCAGTCTACGGCCCAAACCGTCGCTACAACTCACCGATTGTGATCGTATTGCCCGATGCAGGATGCAGCTGCAGACAATGGACCGCCGTTCGGAAACTCATTCAACGAACAACTCGCGTTCTGCTCTACGATCGCTCTGGCTATGGGGACTCTGAGGAAATGTCAAACCCTACTACGCCCACTGCTGAAAATCTTGCACTCGAGCTCGATTCGCTTCTCGCTGGGGCGGAGATCAGACCCCCGTATATTCTCGTCTGTCACTCATACGGGGGGATCATTGCTCGGGAATTTCTACACTTGAAAAGGTTCAAGGGTGAACTTTGCAATGTCATAGGGATAGTCTTTGTGGAGGGTGATCATGAAAACACTCCGGCTTTAGCACGCCATCCGGGTCTACAGGCGCTCACCAAGGGACACGAGGATCTGCTCGAGATCGCCGAAACCGACGACGTCGTGTTGGATAAGGAAGATTACGAAGCCCTTGTAGAGGAGTCTCAAAGTTCTAAACTCCATGAAATGGCAGATGCTGAGTTCAGCCAGATTGAAGAGAGCTGCTTGGAACTAGGGAAGAAAAACCAGTTGGAAGCCGATCCACCCATTCTCGGGTCGTATCCTGTCAGTGTCCTGAAGGGAGACGCTGCAAGATCTCATGAGATATTATACGAACTTGCTATCAAGGAAGGGAGAGGAGCATCCATGGCACCCCAGGCCGAGTGGAAGAGGGTAATAGCTGATTTTCGGGAACTGGATGAGTTCCTGCAAACGGAGAATTTGAAACTGTCAACGAAACATTCCTACTCGATTGCAAGACGTGGTGGCCACAACATCCATCTTACGGAACCCAAAGCCATATTGAGGGAGGTTAACTGGGTGTTAGATAATACTTGGCGCTAGACAGGGAGGCGTTCCATTGGAGAAGGTTTGTTTAGTTGGCCTTTTGTTTTTTCATTTGGGGCGAGAGGCGCTGTTTTCGTTGATGGTATCCTTTCCTATTGGACGATTATGCAGCATCCGTTGAGTGTATGGATAGAAATGACCCTTCGTTATGTAGTTTGTTTGTTCAACCTTTTCAGAATGTCTTCGGTTTATGTTCGTTTCTCGCCTGCACATTCTTCTCCTCACGCTCGAAGCGTCCACAGAACGATCGTGTCCAGTTTAATTAAGAATAGGGCTTTGTATTTTTAATTCTCCACACTATGTGAAATGGCAAGTATTAGCTAGCTCATCAACGTTAAAAATGAATCAACCATTTCGGCAGGAGACACAAATTCCAGGGCTGGTCCTCCCGATTGCATGAAGCAGAGAATCTCCGTGCAAAGGAGCCGTAGGATAATAGTATTATGACAGACATGAATCAAAAACTGGCGAAACCGAGTACTTCGTGTATGATTCAAATCACGTATCCACGGATGGATACTGATGTCTTCACGACCTGAAACTGAAGACTGGCCCAAGGGAAATTCAGTGATAATAAATTATTCAAAGGGGTACTTCTTTCATGGTGTTATATACCTTGGTAACTAGTGGAGGGAGGATTGAAGAAAGGAAATAGCAAAGTACCATATTGAGAAATTCGTGGTGAGGTTGAGCAAGACAAAAAAGAAACATGAAGAAAACAGTAAGAGGTTTCTGAAGTTGAAAGAAACTTTGGAACCTGAGAATGCCAATATATATATAATAAATATTAAAAAAATTTCAGACCCAGATAAGCAACAATTAATAAAATTACAAGCATATCATGAAACAAAGGAAAAGTAGCCAGCTTACAAAAAATAAAGCATTTGCAGGAGAGTTTCTTACAACTGAATTGTTCCAGCTTTTAGTGTCAAGGTCTAAATACACGGCAGGATCAAGGACAACAGACCCCAAAACTACGCACGCTATCCCGTAATTTTCCGTAAAACGAAATCCAACTTTCATATCCCACAGCCAAGTTTTATATATCCCGAAAATAAAATAAAGATAAGAGATAGAGAGCCGATGCCGGGTGGATCGTTATAAATCAAAAAAAATAAAAAAATAAATAATAATAAAAGGGGGCCTTCCACCTACATCACCGTACACATGGTGACATGGTGATCGACAACATATTTGCTCCCAACCTTTTGTCTCACTGCGTAAAAGGGAGGTGCCCGGATTATTCGAATCAGATTTCGATCATACTTCCCTTTCATGTTGCATATGGGACACGTCTGGGGGCAAGAGGTTATGGTGCACCCCACACGGAACGGAAGGATGTTTGGCTCCTTCAGCATCGAGCAGTTGTCAAAACCATTTCCCTTTTTGCATGGGTGACCGATAGTGAACCACCGATGCAAACATGTAGGCGATTTGAAAAGCACGGGTCGACACATGATGTGTTGTGTTGTGTAGACTGTGCTAGAGAGTGTCGACGCAAAGTTTTTGGAAGAGAAATGAGTGATTGCCCTTAACAGAAGCAGGGTGGCTTTGATGGATGGGAGGGAAAGTATCAGTGACCAAACGACGAAGATCGATAGTGATGTATGTAGCTCTCTGTCCGCCTTGGATACCAATGGAATCGTATTCTCTTGATAGAAATGGATCTTGGATATAGAAGAGGAGAGGCTCAGGTTTTTAAACCATGCAGAGGGGAAGCACAAATAGCATCAAACACACAACATACTTTCGAATCTTGGGTGGTGAATGCCCATAGTGGAGAGGTCGAAGTTGTACACAATATATTCTTCACTCTTTGAACTGTAGCAAAGGGTGTGAAGTTAATGTTTAACAGCGCTGATAAATGATTCAAATCAAATCGCAAACAGTCAGGGAATAAACCATTGAAGGCCCTTTCATGCTTGGAATTAATTTTCAATCTTTGTTTTTAATGGCATTCATAAGTTCGTATAGCTGGCCAATCTGTTGGTCTAATAAGATACAGAAGTATAGGGTTAGTAATGATACGCTAGCGCGTCTGAAAGGGGTGAGGCGAAACACAGCCTGTAAAAGACAAAAGGAGAAAAGAGAAAGAAAGAAAAGAGAATAAAAAAGTACCACTCATTTTATCAATTTTCGCTTTGTCTAGCTTTTCTCCCTGCCAAGTGTCTCCTTCTAGTTTTTGAGCATAGCTCTGCCACTCTGTCAGAAATCCAACCTATTCCGCGATGTCAGTCTTTGCTTGCAAATGCGGTCATGAAGGTTGGCAAAATGGCTTACAATATGGATAGGATTATCTATATTCCTGTGAGCTCGGAATTCGCTCTTCACGTATTCATCACCGAGAAGACGCATATCCTTTGGAAGCTTTTTCCGATGGGCTCTTAGCAAACGACGATAGAGCTGGAGCGGTGGAAGTAGTGCAAACTGCTGTCCAGCATTTGAGAGAGTGGGCAGCGGATTAGCCATTAACAGCCTAGGGGACGCCCTCATTTCGAAATACTGTAGTCAAAATAGAAGTTGAATGAAATATAGGATCCGAAACTGTTAGAACTTGAGCAGCACAAAGCAGCGTGAAGGTTGGAGCTTTGTTCAAGGAGAAAGAGGATGCATGGAAGAAAGGGAAAAATGAAGAAAGGAAAGGACTAATTGTCCCAGGGCTGTCAGAATGAAGGTGAGAAAAAAAATCAATGACCTCTGATCTTATATTGCTGCTCGATATACGGAGTACGCTATGTATTCATGCATTGAAGGGCTTTGCGGAGACTCTCTCTTCCAAGGATGGTCACGATGTCTCCGTAACTACTCGGATCACGTGATGTATAATTTTCCAATTCCAAATGCCCCGACGCCAAAAATATTATCTTGACAACAACTGACTGAGCACAAACCTGGGAAGAGCAGCAAGTAGTCAATGGCGGCATTTATCTTACAGCGGGGTTTAACATCATGAGTTAAGCTTTCCGGGGATTCGTTCAATAATCTAGCCATGCTTCCAACCCCTTCAACCTCGCACGTTTGTTTCGACACGATCTATGAACCAGCGGAAGATAGCTATTTATTCCTCAATACACTCTCCTCCGCTATAGAGACTGCTTGGCTAAGCCGTAGATTCAATGACTCCGGCGATAACTCTTCCAAGCCGTGCTCTATCCCCAACTACTCCCCTCAACCACTTGTGGTGGAGGTCGGCATAGGCTCAGGCGTAGTCCTTGCCTTCGTGGCCGCAAACGCCATTCACATTTTTGGGAGGAAGGATATACTCACCCTGGGCACTGATGTGAATAGTAATGCATGCCGTGCAACACGGCAAACAATTCTCGACGCCATTAGTGAGTCCCAGAAGCACGAACTTGGGAATCCCGTTGCCAAAATGTCGGTAGGACCCTTTTTCCTGTCATCTCTTACGGCGGATCTGTGCACACCTCTCAGGCCTGGCTCGGTAGACGTCCTCATATTCAACCCTCCATACGTGCCCACCCCGGAACTACCAGATATGCCATCACCCGAAGTGGAAGACTCGGCCCCGGTTAACTCATCTCGGTCTAAATTCGAGCACGAGTCCCACCTCCTATCCCTTTCCTATGCTGGGGGGAAACTTGGAATGGAAACTACAAATCGGCTTATAGAGTCAATACCAGATGTTCTGAATCCAGCTCGCGGTGTTGCTTACGTGTTACTCTGCGCTCAAAATAATCCGGATGAAGTGAGATCGCGTATCGCAGGTTGGGGATTGGGCTGGATTGCTGAAATTGTGGGGAGCAGTGGTGCCAAAGCTGGTTGGGAACGGTTGGTGATATTGCGGATTTGGAGGCAATTCAATGCAGTAGAAATGAAAAGAAATGGTTTCGTAACATGATTTAATTTCACCAGCCCAGCGAGAGGGTAGTGTTTACATGTGCAAGGGTTACAGACCGCTCGAATTGACCTGTTCGTCAATCGAATGGACTAACATACTTCACCCACCAAAATGTTTCGGAGTTAAAAAATGTATATTAGAGCATGTCCATTCAAAGAGGCCCTTGTTAAACTCGTCTCATTCCGTAAGTTCGCCGACTCGAGTAGCAAGCAGAAAAAACAAAACCAGCATAAAATAAGACGAAGATTCATGAAGCCATCCATCCAGATCCACACATGCCAGAATTGTTGCAGAAAACAACAAAAAAAATTATAAGGCAACACAAAGAAACATCCTACATCATTGGGTTCTTCAGAGGTGATAATTGTCGTTGGTTCAGACGCCCAGATAAGATTGGAAACTCATTGCAGTAGAGAACATGGCCTCTTTCTAATCCTTTACTCAAACTCCCATATTGAGATATTGTCAGGTCAGAACCCTCGCCCCCGTCCTCGCCCTCTGCCCCTCCCGCCGCCTCGGCCTCGGCCACCGCCTCTTCCCCGTCCGCGATCCGTCTCCTTCCTAGCTTTGTTCTTTGGTTTTGGAGCATCATCGACGAGTAATGTATCCAGCGGAAGGCTGTCTGGGAGTATGTAGTATCTGATTGTCGAGCCACGAATGTTTATTGTATCAAGGGAGATAGGGTCGCGGCCTTTTGTGGTCATCTTGACTGTTCGCAGCGCCGTGTTCATTTGAGGAGAAACGGATGTGATGGTACCATGGAGAATGGTGCCTAATCAACTCCACAACAGGTTAATAACAACAAGTTTAAAAAGAACCAAATAGTTTATCATATGGAGGACATTGCGCTGGAGGCAAAGGTCACCAAGGGTCAGGGACGGAAGAATGGATGATCGCGTGCACATGGTATAGCAATAAGTGGAAAGAGGGTACCATTTTTGAGCTCAATCGTCACTGTTTCATTCGCACACTTCATGAGAAAGCTATATCAAGCGAAATTTTATCAGCTGGCAATCCCAAATTTTTTGGCAAAAATGAATAGAAAGCTCCTTGGGGGAATGTCGAGGGATGAACACTTACCGTACGAGCTTCATGATGTAATGTGTGCCCGCTGGCACAAAAGCAATTCACTGATTCAACGAACAATATTGATCCTATCCCGCAAAACTCGTGTTTCGGTGGAATTGTGGAGTAGGACGGTCGAGAACCACTGAATTGCAAGGTTGATGCCGCGACATGATGTGCTTTGGAGTTGAGGTCGACATTTCCCAAGAGCGGCCAATCACGTGATGTCAAACCTCAACGCGGAAGTCTGTAATTTTTGACATCAATTCAAGCCGAATATATTTATTTATTATTTTAACACTCTACAGATTTTTGTTTGTTTCTTTCAAAGTTATGGACAACATCACAACGAAGCTCTTGCACAAATTAAAAAGAATATGCCACTTCTTCAATACGTAAGTCCGCAGCCTGCTCTGCTCATTAGTTGATGAATGTTCTCTCTCATCAGCAAGTTAAAGCTTTCAACTCTACAAGTCAGATGATTAACATTCTCTGATCTTCAATGAAGATCTAATCGGTTTTCTTCCTTGAAAACGTTAGGGTTTTGTGTCTCTTCAATGAAGGACACACCATGGCCTGCCCAGTTACAAATTTGTTTCTTAGGTTGTCCTACATTAGTTACCCAATGTGATGGGTAAAAGTAAAGCTGTCAGGCTGCTTTCAGTGGCAGCTCACACAATCTGTGCATATCCGCCGAAGACTCCCTTTCCCATAGAAGCAAATTATATATATTTTACTTGGGAATTTACCTGGCCGTGCCTACAACAACTGTGGATGTTTCAGAGATTGGCCTAATCGGCTTTTTACGTCTCCATAAGCTTAAGGAACTACATCACTTTGCTAGGATCCTGGATAAGTGGCCTACCAACAATGCGGAAGCTGCAAGCCCATTTCTCAAGCGTAACGATTCCTGCGGATGGATCTCAGATGCATCAAATGATACGAACCGGCTTTGGTGGAACCTACATCACAACCCAGGGAAAATCAATCTTCAGCTGAGGCTCCATCTGATTTTCTGTGTCCTGTTCAAGATCCTGAAGTGTGGACTATTTTCTGTCCTCTGCATTCAATCTTAGAATGTGACACAGAAGCATTTGTGATGCTGTTTCTGATCAAATCATTGTCCTTCACTGCCTTCTAGAGTTGCACAGTATTGAACATCCTACTAGAGTTTGACAATGAAAAAGGAAAAAAAAAATATGTACCTTTCTCATCAAATCAGAAAGTTATCATCTGAAACCTGCTGGCTTCATTGAGCAGGTGTTCATCACTCACACTTCTCTACTTTATTTTAGCACTTTTTAAATAAAATTTTTTGAAGTTTTGCAGGTTAAATTGTACTTCACTCTATAAGTGTTTTATTTACTGACAGTTTCAATTTTTGTTGAATCTCACCTATTTACTTTCATTAATGTAGTAAACCAATCAGATATTTCAGTGAAACAAAATATATAATTTGAGATGCTTGCTAATTTAGTTAGAAAAAAACAAAATACACAGAATTTAACACCAAGTAAAAAGCTTTGTTAAAACAAACGCTTGTAAAAGTAAATTGACAAAAAAAAAATCCTTTTTGCTCAAACCATTCTCAAGTACTTTCAGATGATATGGCCTGTCACTTTCAGTTCTCCCCACCTTTCATTTGAAGAGTTTTTCTTTCTTGCTTATTTCCAAAATTTTCTGCGGTTCTGCATTCGCTAGATCCTTATTTCAAGGCTCTCATGAGAGGTTGAGTGTTGACTATCAAGGAAAAACCACGAAGATTTTTGGTGGTTGAGGTGTGGTTAAAATAAGCTTATTTTAACTTCTCCCGCGCCAACCATGTGGCTCAACACGTGGGTAATCTATGCTTCCTCCCGACTTAGGAAGTTACTTGTTGTATTCAGGACAACCTGGAAAATCATCATAACTGTTAAATCCATTTTTCTTTATTCGACACAAAATTAATATCTTCACTTTAACATGCATCATAGTAGGCTTAAAGGGCTTGATCTGTAAAGCATTTGAAGAAATTAGATTCATTAAATCAAACATGCATGCTTTACTATGAAATTCATCCATAGAAATGTTGTCCCTGGGCATGTTGAATACATACAATTGTATCACTCATTATAAGATGTGCTATTAGAAGCCAGAATAATGAATGAAGAACTAAAATCTATATTGTTTTGTTGAATAGGCAATATTCAAATTATCTTGGTAATATAAGCATACATGTTTGTGTAGGTGCTGAAAAGCACTAACTTTCTCTTTCTCCCATCCTCCGCTGGGAAATATGAGTTTAGACTTTGTAAAAAGATATTTTAAGCCTCGATACCATCACCCAAAAGTTTTAAAGTCAAAATGTTGAATATAAAAGTGTGAATATTACTTGAGAAAGTGAGGACTCATTTTAAGTTTCCTCCAGCCTGTCAGTTGCTAATAGCTTCAGAATAATAGTCACAAGATTAAAAATGTGCCTCTTGTTGACAAGCACTTCTCCTTGATGTCCCAGAACGCAACTCTAGTAGGTTCATGTTTGAGTGACTGTTGAGAGTGGTTGAGGTTTGATTAGCATTAGCAAAATTAGCTTTCAGCATATATTCTTCCTTTGAGGTATATGTTTGTACGTTCATGTATCACATACTGACTCAGAAAGAATTGCATCATCACAGTACAATAGAAAGTGTTCTTTATACTTTTCATTGAGAATCTCTGTACACATCTCACACATAGTGCAATGTCAGTTGATAGAGATTAGTGTATAATTAGTGGACTGTCTGAGATCTTCATTATCATAGAAAATGTCATAGTAAAGAGATAGTTCAGAGACTGTAGATATCAAGTTTTTGAACATATGGTCAAATATTTAGTTAGTCAAAGTGACACTTTGAGTATCTGAACATGTGGATGCAGCTGATGCAATCACATAGCTATGCTCAAGACATCCAAAGCTTAATGAAACAAGTTTGGAAAGTTCTCAAAAATCCTGAAACATCCCTGATTTTTTTTTTTCTTTTTTTTTTCTTTTCCTTTTTTCAACCATGTTGCTTTAAGGATTTTTGATTAAACACTTGCAAAAGCCAATATGTGTTTGTCTTAAAAGTACCACATATATAAAAGCACGAAGCCATAAAATTAAGATTTCAAATATCCCTAATCCCCCCCTCTTTATTTTTTCCGCTGGGGAGGGAGTGGGGAACAAAAAGCCACATTCAGAGATGGGTGATCACATAATATCTGTACCCGACCAAAATCATTTAGCCATACTCAGCCACAGAGGCTATGTCTCACCTCTGAGTTGGAACAGTAGCCAGATTAGAAACAGAGAACCTTCAAGGAACCCAAATCCAACTTGCAATTCAAACCTCCGTTTATCCAGAGACCCCAAATTTGTCCAATCAAGCAAACCCCAGGTCAAGAACAGGCCGCATTGAGACTGCGTGACAATCACCAGTATTAAAGGGCTAGGAAAGCGAGCACAACATGCTTGCTTGTACATATGTGGTAGCTGTGACGTCAAAGTTAAATGGAGAAACAGAATTTACAAGGAACAACAGAAAAAGATCGGAAGTACACGGAATATCTAAAGATCAACTACTCAGGACTTGGCAAACCTGCCCGACAAAACCTTTCAGTCCCAGCGATCCTGAAACGGAATGAAGTGAGGACGACGATGTTGCCAGAGTTGTTGCAGGCATGGCAAGCACACGGGAATTCAATTCAATCCACTCCACAGAAGAGACGAAGGAAAACGTGATATTGATATTGTCGGATTCATGCGGATTATCGCATGAGCCACCGGTAATGTCCGCAGTTGGCTCGGGATGGCGATGGTGTGAGTCGCTTGCAGGCAAAGAATCACTATCAAGCGGAGAGATCTCTGCATCGCCCACAAGGGACAGTCTTTGGGTATTCCTGTTGGCCTCGACACATGTCACTTTCGCAGCCGCCCTGATACTAGCAATGTAGACAACAGCATGTCCTCCGATAATAAGCGAAGAGGAGAGTGTGGAAGAGAAGTTCGAGGCTGGAAATGAGGCAACAAACCCGGTGTAAAAGACCGGCGCGAGTAGTGAGCTCGGTATCGTGAGCGGGGAGGAAATTGGGTGGAAATCAGCTAGAACCATACCTTTTCGAATTTTCCCTAGGTATGGAATTACATCAGCGCCGTCTATCCCTATTGTGCCGATCTGGTGCTCGAGTAAAGTTGTGACAGGCAGTCGCAGATTTCGGAGACTGACAACACGGACTACTTGCCAGTGAGCTCGAGCCTGTGAATGATCCTCATCTGGAAGGGCATTGTGCAAATAAAATGTTGCAAGTTCCAAAGGAAGTGATCTGCTGAACATCGGTTTTGACTGCGACACCAGGTGAGACGAGTCTATATATGCTTGGGAATCCATGATGAGTGGACCAACAACAAGCTGGTCACCAATCGAGATGTAACCACAGCGGACGCGACCGCACAAAATAATTGCCCTATCATGCTGTCGCTTATTGTCACCCGCTACAGAATACACCTTGAGCGCTGGCATCTCAAACACTTCAGTAATATCGAATAGCTTGGCGGCTTCATGTGGCACATTTGTACCGCTAGTCATTGATATTGGCCTTCTGGAGCTCTTTGCGGGAATTGGAAGGGTTCTAAGCATTGCATGCAGTTTCCCAATCCCTGCTCCGGTAACAGAGCTGGTAATGACGATAGGGACCTTGTTCGTCCAGTTGGTACCCACAGAAGCAATTGCGTTGTCCGCGTCCAGCTGGTCAGAAGCTGAAATCTGTTGAAGGTTCACATCCTGTTCAGTTGTGTCTGTTGGGGCCGGAAGCATGACAGGCGTCCTTCCAGTCAACTTGATCGTTGATAGTATTTGTACCAGTGTTTGTCTTATACCGGACCGAGTTGCCATGTCAAGTTTAGTCACAACGACAATGACAGGAAGTTCTAACTTCATACACAAATCCAAATATGACAGAGAAATATCGATATCGCGGCGCCCATCAATTGTTGCAGAATCTGAGTGGCTATTGGCTGGAACGCAAAGCAGGAGATAATGAGGTTCCCAACTAACTAAACCACGTAGAGTCGATTTGAGGTACTTTGTTGATCCAGGTAGATCAGAAAGAAAGATCAGCCTACCACCCTCCGCAGTCGCATGGATGTCATTCCAGGCAGTAACATTGCCAGATGCATAGTTCACCACATCAGGGGAGGATCCCAAACCCTCAGTATCATGAGGAGAATAACCAATTAGCTCCTGTGCTATTGAGCTTGTGATCCCAGAGGCGATCTCATGGCGGTGTTTCAGAAGGCTGAGCCTGCTCTTTCCTCTGCCATTGTCAAGAGCGGAGGTAGACAACACACCGAGAAGAGAAGACTTTCCAGCGGTTGAGGGTCCAGCAAGGGCTATATGAAGCTGTGGTGTGGAGAGGATAGTCTCCTTCTCAATAACTAGCGGCGAGGATATGGCAGCCACTCGGGAATTGGATAATTGACATCGGTCGCCGACGGGAGGTTGTTGATCGCTCTGTTTGAGATCAGGGCTAACAAGAGCCTCGGCAACCCAGAGTTTTTCAGAGCGAAGCACCATCGGTTTGGTTTCGTCATCCGCGTTCTCATTCCACTCACAATAGCCAACAGCTACTCTCCTTAGAACTTCAACGTTGCAACCCAAACTCGCAGCCATCGCTCGAAGATTTGTAAGACTCTCCTCCATTTCATCTTCAGCAAGACCAACAAATGTGCCATCATCCGAGACTCCAATTTCGTATAAAGCTCCCTGGGATTCTTCAAGGCCTGGAAGAAGCCGGGCAGGTACACTCGGGACATTGAGCATCGGGGTCACCTCTGGCAAAACGGGGAGGACTAGGTCGACAGTTGAGGATGAGTGGAAAGGAGAAGATTGCTGTAACCGCCAGAGAAGCTGGGTAGTAAGCTGCTGGAGCCTATGCTGTCGCGATTGATTTGACAACGTTTGAGTGGGCCTAGAAGCTTGCTCTGGAGATAATGATGGAGACTCAGAATTGCCTGGATGCGATTTAGAGTGACAGGAACCTGAAGTCATATTTCCGGTGGATAACGACAGAAAGGAACGCCGTGAACGCAAAAGAAGGTGAAGCTTATACTCCGTTGGGCCATCCTGTGGTTCTGCATCTAGTTTAGTGATCCCGCACTCTGCTAGGAAGTTCGGGTCAGTAGGATCCAGGGCGCGGAAGGATTCATCTCGGCTGCTCTCGCCTTTAGTCCCCGAAGGAATCGGTCGCGGTGTCGTCGTGCCAGGGGTTGACCATGGAGACGACACCCGAGGCAGATCTGGATCGTAGGTGAAAACTGAGGCCATGGGGAATTTTTGAATGATCGTCAGTTATCTTAAAAGCAACAGGGAAAATAGATTTCCCGATCAACGCTTATAGAAGCTTCCCGATGATGTTTTGATTTAAGGACCGCTCCATAACTGGACTGGTCCGTATGCGAGGTATAAAAGATGTAAATATCGAGAGCTTGTACGAGAGGAAAAGACTTGCAAAACTAAATTTAGGAACTGAATCATTTTGAAGCTCTGCTCTGCTGTATTGATGATAGCTGGGAGATAAAAACAGCTCAAATATGATTTTGGCGGATCTGAAGAGTAAGGGGAACAGGTATCAGAAACAAAATGAACACCAAATTATCAGTTATATCCTCAGCCGTGATAAAATCAGGCAGAAGGCAACATGTTTGTCTGTGTCGTCAAGAAAAGAGTCATATCAATGCATCAATTTTTCGATTTGTTCATCTCGACGTTGATTTGACATTGACAAGCGAGGTTTGGGTTGGCCTGATTTGCCACGTGATCAGGTCGAGCCATTGGGCAAGTCCGTGAAGGGCGCTAGTCCGTAATAGGAAGTCCTGTCACCTTTGACAGAGCGCAACAGCAGAACGATTATTCTATTATTTACTCGGTCTCAAGGAATTCCGCTTTCCCAGATTCAAGCACACCGCGTTTCCCGTCAAGGGGGAGTGTGGGATTTATTTACCCTTATAGAACTGCCTGTCCCGCCTGGGATACCCAGTCAGCAGCCATCAACTCCAAAAGGTTTTCAAGTTGTTAATCACCAGAATCGTATCTCAAAAAATGATAGATTCGGACTATGACACGCGGGCGGGTAGTAGAACAGTCAGCGTACGGGCCGGAAGCCGCTTTCCAAGGCTGCCTGGTTTATATTATAATCCTATCGTGGCTGGCTGGCTGAGTTTTACCTATAGAATCATACCATGGGGTAATCTCTATTCGGATCATTCTACCGAGCTGATGGGCTGCAGCCTGTAGGGCTGAAAGAGTGTTTGCTCTCTGCCCACGACTAGTGTGTTAGGATGACTCCAGGGGACTTTTTAAGTATTGTTTCCTGGCGTCGCTAAATTACGGAAGCAGACAAGGTGTTGGAATGAATGTTACCTCAATTAACCTTCATGTAACTACAACGTGGAGGCTTCTGAGTGTTTTAAGCCCATGCGAAAATGAGTGGAACAGTCGGGCAGCCTGTCCCAACGGCACCAATTGCCGAAGAAAGTGCCGTGTTCTGCTTGCCTCTCTGACTGAATGATCAACCACTCAGCATTACGCTATGAGTCAATCTCTCTTGGAACATGAGGAACCATCAAGGATGAGAAAGAGTAAGTTCATGCGTAATAGCCACCCTATTTGTACATGATCTGGATAACTGTATGCGCCCCTGCAATCGTCGATTGCATAGTTACCCTTTTATGCAGCCATGTGCAACCATAACGCCATTAAGATTTTGAGACCACATGCTTGTCTCGGAAATGTAGCCGCGGCTTTTGAGATCTCCAACATCATACACACTACAAACGCTTCGCTCGAGTATTTAGTTACGTTGCGTCCTTCTGCCCATTCGTTGTTAAGCACCTCGGCAAGCGAAGACTTCCCCCACCCTCATATTTTAACCGTTGATTCATAGTTACAACTTACAAGTTTGATACCCCAGAACTTCAGTTTTTTTTTTCCGCGGCGTATTTAGTTTAGAAAGAGAGGGAAACGAGAAATGAGGGGTTGAAGCGGAGATTTTTCCGAACAAGAACTGGCAGTAACTAATTTGCTCGTCCAGTAAAAATATTCCCGAATGTCAATGTCAAGGTAAAAAGAGGACTTCTCTTAACTGGCCAATTAATGAGGCCAAAGGGCTCCTCCATCCATGAGCATCAATCCGGGAATAGCTAAATAGACAGACCTAGCAGGTTTCCCCTGCTCACATGGCTCTCAGCCCCATCAAGTAATTGTGATGTCCATGTGGAGATGGACGAATTTAGAGCTCCGGCAATGAACGATTGTTCTTTTTAACTACATACAATCCCCGTGTGTGTTCGACGAAGTGCCACAGACTGCTGAAATATTACATGGTCATCATCCATGTACGTTTGAGAAATGGCCGCAGCATTGCTTTTTTTCTTTTTTCTTTTTCCTTTTTTCTTTTTCCTTTTTTCTTTTTTATCTTTTCACTGGCTGCAGAATTTCTCCAAATTGTCCCTGAAAAAAAAAAGGAAAAAAAAAAAGAAAGAAAGAAAGAAAGAAAGAAAAAGAATGGTTTTGTGCATGAACTATTGAACCGTAAAACTCTATATCAACAACAGCCAACCATTTTTCTGGATCGAGAGCCTCAACATAGATCCGCAGTCAGGGAAAGCTAAGCTGAAGTTGAAACCACCCCAAAATATCAGCACAGCGCATCGCAGTCTTGAGAATAATATAATACTCGGTAATCATTGACCACGTCCAGGATAAATTACGATTATTAACCCGGGGTTTGGAAGCGAGACATCGTTAGCGGCATTGATGAGCCCTACCACAGGAAACATAGAACCAATGACCCGAGCGGAAGCAAAAGTACCCGGTAATTTGTGCCCTCGCCTCCAGATGAAGAGAGTGGGTATAACAGCACTACTCCATCCGTCATTGGGCGCCATTTCCTGACGTCTAATTTCTCTTGTTTTTCAGAGCATTTCTTGTTCGGCCTGGCCTGGCCGCGCCGCCTGAATTTGGGCGTTTGCGTGTGCAGCTCCGACATCCATGCATCCATCCACTTGAAATACCCATCGTTATTTTGGAACTCTGGCATATATGATATTTCGCTGTTTTGCGTGGCCTCATGCCACACATTAGATAACCGGGACCAACCTTGACTGCTTCTCAGCATCGTTCGCGGAGAATTTGTTCAGGGTCGGGAGGTCGGTTAGAGTTATGTCGATAATACTAAGTTATCTCCAAGCAGCAAAGAAAAGAAAAGAGACAGCCATTGAACCAAAGAACGAGAGTATTAGAAGAAGGTTAAGGTTGAAATAAGCCACATGCCACGTTATTATGCAAGTAAGTCAGGAATGTCTCCAGCTAAGAACTTTCCTACAACCCAAGTAGGAAATATTTGTCGATCATTCTTAAGATGAGTGTTAAGAGAAAATTGAAGAAGAAGAAAAGAAAAACGAGAGAGCTATTGGAAAAAAGACAAACAAATAAAAATAAAAATAAAAAAATAAAAATAAAAATAAAAGCAATACTATCCATTCTTCTTGATCATTGACGCCAAACCAAGGGTCAGGAAAGCGGTGTTGCCTGCGCTTCCTTTTACCCCTTACGATCGTGATCGTGTCCGAGGGTGGAATTCTCCTTTTATTTATTTGAAGCTGGATCTGCCATGTCAAATACTGAAGAGGGAAGATCACTAAGATTTCGTGGCCCATGTGGGTTAAATATGAAGAGAGATGAAAAGGAAATATCTCTATTTCCTTTCCATTTTATTTCATTTTGTCTCCTAGTGGATGAAAGAAGAGACAGGACGTGTAATATTTATTGCTTAGACTTCGAGATCATCATTCGTTGGCGCGCAAAAAGAAAATGTCGAGGCTGCTGCAAAAAGGTACATAGAAAAATTTTTCTTGCAGCAGCAGCATATGAGTAAATCGTAGCGGATGATGGAATGGGAAATCATATGTAAGTAAAAGAAAATATTCACAACGAATTGAAAGGGAAATCGTAGCTCTATTGCCTGAATGTATTTAAAAAAATGGAGATGAATCAATCAGCCAGTCTCTCCAATGCCCCCTCCGTTTATTCCTGCTGTTGCTGTTGCTGTTGCTGTTGCTGTTGCTGTTGCTGTTGCTGTTGCTGTTGTTGTTGCTGTTGCCGTTTCTCAACTTCTCGCTTCGCCTTACATTTGCCCTGTGCTAAATGTCCATTACGCGCAGTCGTCCGGGTGAAGACCGTTCCGCAATGTGGGCACTCTGATTTGGTAGCGGTACCTGCTTTCTCGCGTTGGTGACGTAGAAGATTGCTAAATGTCGAAAATTCACGACCATTGCATCCATGATCCCAACATTGGGGTTTCGCGCGAGAATTCACAATTCGTATTTGGTCTTCTGGGGTCGGGGACACACTATACGGAGTACCAATGCCATCAACCTGAGCTGCAGGAACTGGAATCCCGGTATCTGAAATGGGGGAAAAGGGGTATTGTCGGGAGCTAGGGTAATAAGATGTAAGTGATAATGCAATTGGCAATGAATACGTGTGAGGTCATTTTATCTCACCTTTGATATGGATGTAATGGGTCATAGAGAGAATGGCTGTGGAAGTGAAGATCGTTAGTCCCTTCTTGTTCATTCCAAATTTCAGATGATAGAGCCTTACGAAGTGGAAAGAGTATGACCGGCAACGTTTGATGGCGCATGATTCACATAGTCCAGCGTGAGAGATGATGTGCTTGGAGATATATTTGGATATGTTTCTGCCGAGGAATGTGACGCAAATGCGGCGGGCTGTAGGTATTCATCCTGTCTACCTCTTGGACTAGAAACCGGCCCCTGTGCTTCCTGCCCTATGGGTGTACTCGATGTTCTATTTTTATGCTGTCCCGCTAAAGGCATTTCAGGTGATTGAAGTGAATACTGATGTCTGTCTGGTGGAAGAATATTTAGGGAGCCATCTGGAAGAATAGCCCCCTGCTGTGAGGAGATTCGACTGTCGAAATTTCCTTGAAATCCTTGCGACATTGAGGATGCATTCCTCGTTCCGTAATCTTTTTAATACTGTTACTATAGGATAAGAGAGGAGAGATTCAGTTCATGGTAATTACCTGGAAGTTGCTGGGAAGGTCCTGTGTAATAATAATTCTGTTGCCCAAAATTTGATGAATGCGGGGAAATGGTGTAATCAAAGACACCTCTGTTTATCCCAAGAGAATAGTAAGCTTCGCAATATATCGGTTTTGCTTTCATCGGGGCCACCGGCTATTCTGCTTCAACCAACCTCATATGTACGGAAGAAAGTTGTTCTTGTCTCACAGGAAAGGAACTGTAAGATATTGGATTGTTGGACACATCAGAACCAAATGGTAGTGACGAGGTATTTGAATCAACTGTAGCCGTCATCTGGAGCGACGTCCAGTCTTGCTGTTCTCGAGTAACTGGAACCCGTACATTTGTAACAAAACTACTCAGGTTGGATGGAGTGTACTCCGGCGTCCGTTGGACGGTGATCGACGGAGGCGGGGTACGGGACGAAATATTCAGGGCTTCAAGTTGCGCCGCGGTACTAGCAGCTTGTTGGTCACTTTGAGCACTCCTAGATCTCTGACCAGATGAGCTTCTTGACTGTTGACGCCTCTGTTGTGACATGCTGTAGTTAAAAAGATTGGCGCTCTGTCGGTCGAAGAGTGAAAGAGTGAGAGTTGTAGTGGAATGCATACATGTGTTGAGCCAAAATAGCGCAGTCCAAATGAAAAATAGATTTTGTAAATGATGCGTTTTTTCGGCTATTAAATGGGCAAATAGCACGACGATCCCACTTTACAATAGAAACAAAGTCACTTTCAATGTTCCTTAACAGGAATTATGACAGCAACATGAAGAGAGAATGAAGACGAAGCTCAAGATAAAAGCGCAAAATGAGGGGAGAGTAGTATTAATAAAAGGAAGAGCTGCCAGCCCCCATACCATTTTAAGAAGAGATCACCAGCCCGGAACCCTCAGCCATATCATCGGCGCCCCATCCACACCAGTCTACCTTGTAGTCCGATTTGAAGCATCCATATTATTGAGGCAGAGCCGCCATCAGGCTTTGGCATGGCGAGATGACAAATGAGAAGTCAGCCCTAAAGAGCTTGTTATGTTTATCCTAGTCTCTGGCACATGCTCAGAAAATTTGGGATGTTAATGATTTGATTCTGCATTGTTGTTCTCTTTGAGATTAGAAATAGCACTGCACACTGGGACAACCATTGGAGATCTCCACCAAAGAAGAGTGCAGCAGCCTGGATGCAGCTTCTTCTCAGGAAGCGTGTTTGAGTTACCTATTCTCATCTTTCTCTATACGCCGATGCATACTACATGAGAGATAATCAGCAAACATAGTCTCCGGGGCATCAAATTGGCATTCAGTAAACCATCAAGATCAGTGTAATTCGATTTCGGATTGAGCACCGGCGGGAGGACTCTAAATGGCGCGGCTAGCTGTACGTTCCACAAGAGGGCGGTCTGAATTCGTAAGGCCCACAGGCATATTTGGCGCTTCTTTAGGGCCAGAAAAACTCGAGTGGGGATCGCGCGCTGAGGAGAGCGTCTCGGTCTGCGATTCGTGAGGATCCCTAAATTGCGGGCTGCAAACCTGGAACGAACCACAGCCAAGGCTAAATCGTAGTTGGGGAACTGTTTGAAGAGGCAAGACTCCGTCCATTGTCCCAGGCCTAGAGGGGAGGGAGTATTTCGAAACGCTTTAATTATTCTGGGGGGCCAGGGATACAAGGCGCGTGTATTTTATTTTGAATAATAAATGGTCCAGGTAGGTATGTACGTACGAGCAGGTAATGCCCCCTAAACTTTTCCCTAGTTAGTGCCAAGCCAGACAGGTGTATTGCAAGGAGGGGGAGAGGGGCGCTGCAGATAACCTCAAGGCGCTAAAACCTTCATTGGTGAACTCAGGCCCAAATCCATGCGATAAAAAGAGTCCTCTGTTTTATGCAGAGAGTTTCTTCGCTTCAAGAGTAGTAGTAGCCAACTCTTGGCTGAAGGTTAAACAGAGGAAATCACGAAAATAATGTGTTTTCTACCCACCCGCCCGTGATGTATGTATGCATGAACATGTCCTGAACTTCCGATGTGGCCAAGAAAAAGAGACTACCATCGCAGGGAAATAATAATTACTTCATCGAAGGTTATATTGGGTCAGACAACAGATCCCGTCCCCAGGGCCGATCCGAAGCTAACTCAACGACTGAAGGTGACGGTCCTTTGGGTCTGAAGTTACCACTCGGTATCATCCATTCAATCCCAGTAACGCTGGTAGACCTGGATTCACTCAGCCATGACCATGTTGGCTATCCAACTACTTAAAACTCATGCTGGCAGCGTCCCCCTACTAGCCCGAGCTAATATGTCTCCCCACCCTCTACCTCAACCAAGACTTCCAATGGCAGGAAGTGGTTCACAATATCCCGTAACACTCTCCCTTGTCCAGTTAGAAACGGCACGCCTCCTGACAGATGATGATAAAGCCCCAGCTGCTTGTTCTAGTGCCAACAGCCTAGTTCTCAGTAACAGCAGTCTGCTTCTCAAAGTGCCATTGTTGTCATTTGCGTCAGCTAAAGGTGACGATGCTTGAAACCGAATGAGCAAGGTTAGCTCTTGGCCAGCACTGAGGACGACGGGTTATCGATAGTCACGCCCACTCTCCAGGTTACCTCTATATAGTCTGTAAGATGGGGGTGCAGCCACTCAGAGCATCCCATTTTCGACGCTGTTTTAAGTCCATTTCAGGCCATGTGACATGAAACCTACGCTGCTTTTATTTCAATAACCCACCTCACGTCTCTTGTCAACAACCATTTTCCACATGCATACCTCAGACACAGTGATAGTCCTGATGTCATATCCACAAGCTATCAATGCTCAGCTTTGTTGTAGGACAGTGATGCTCTACTCCTCACAATGTATAAATTCAATGTCTTTTGCTTCTTTGAAGCATTTCCTTCATTCACTCTCAGTGATATTGTCTCTACTGCCTTCACATCTACTTATTTACACTGCTTCTTTCCAGTTTCCTCTGCTTCCTTCTATTATATGAATGACATGTTTTCTCAATGGACTTGCTTATGAAAACCCTCCAAACCCACCAAGGAGAGCTGATGTACCCAGAAGAAGAAAGTTGAGAAGCTTATCTCAGATGAGTACTATGAAAGAGACACTGTCAGATTGACTCAATTTCAGATCACAGATAAGAAATATGCTAATGTCACAATTATTGTCATTAATCATGTTCAGTGCTTTTGAGATCAGTGAGTCACATACATATCAGATTTATGATGAAATCTGCTGATATCTCTTATGAAGATACTGTTTATTTATAAGAGTTAATATCCACTCTTATCTTTCTATATATGTGGATGAGAACTTTCAAGTCTATGTTGATTGAAGATTGAAAAACTTCAACATCATCAAACAGAGTATGATTTGAATGGAAATTTCTTTGACTGCTCTTTAAGAGAAAGACAGATTGAAAGATAAATGAATTGATGATTGAATTAATCAGTAAAATAGAGTCTCAGTTCAAAACATCAGTCTTCTTTTTTCTAATTCACAGTATTAGTTCATTTTGAGTCCTCTGATCAATAAGTATAATTTGAATCTGTCAATTGATTACAAATTAACAGTGAGTATAGAAGATCTTATAACTATTCTTCACTATCACTGATGTTTAAATATAATATTTATTACTCATAAATGATATATTATGCAGAATTCACTACTTATGTTGTTTATCATCTATATCTCAACACAGTTCAAAGTATTTATCAAGAGTGATTGTCTTTACAGTTTTAATAATACTCTCTGCTATAAGAATATCATGCTGTATATGATTCTCAATTCAGATCAGTTAGATTAGCATGTACTTGTGATGAAAGTATCTCTTATGTTCATGAAGAGAAAGTGAAACAAGTCACAACTGTGAGCTCTATCTGTCTGGTATTTTATCTTCAAAAATCTCACTTGAACAGAACAATCTATATTTTTCATAAATGAGATGACAATCTCATACTTTGTTCTACCTTTCACTTTCTTACCCTGGTGCTGGCTAATGATGCATTCAATACAAGAGGTATTAACTCAGTTGAAAATGTGCTCTGCATTTAGATTATGACACTCTGTAACAGTCTGCATCTAAAATAAAAATCTTATATACTCAATATCTCTGTGTTATATCAAGCTATACACACTGCAGAGGAAATTCAAATCTCTTTAGATAAAACTCTGCTCTCTAATACATTCAATCAGTATCTTCAACACCTAGGACACAATGCAAGATTTGAGCACAAGTTAACACCATATTATATCAAATAAGAAACTATTAATGTGGTTGACAGTGAGTATTATTATCAGCATCTTCACACTTTCATTTAATAGTATTTTGATGTTTTCATGCCTAGCTGTTACAACTACCAGTGAGTGTAATCAAGTCATAGATCATTTCTGACCAGATATCTTTGAACACTATTATATATCAGTAAAAGTCAAATGGGATGTGCAGTCTGCCTACCTTGGCTGCTCTGTCTGAGAGTCCATCATCCAGACTGTTGAAAGGTTCAGTATTATATACAATTCTCATGCTCTGAAAAAACTCAGCAATAAGTAGAAAAAAACAGTTAAGTGGAATTCTCAGCTTGTCAAGCTGTGTGATCAGCAGCATTCTTTGCAAAAACTTATCAAGAGAAAGCATGATTCAGTTCTAAAATTCAAAGAAACAGAACTGCATTACATGTACACAGAGCTTGGAGATACCATCAGAGCTGAGAAACAGACACTCTACTATGAGATATTTGAGAATATGAGGCAGAAGTTCTTCATAATGATTGACATAGTCAAGATCAAGAGGAAACTTCTAGAATTGTTTATTAGTGAGGAGCTCAAGATGAATGCTGAGGACAAAGTCCAATTTGTATTTAAGAAGCAAGTGCAGCTCATTTGAAATCTTTTCTGCTTGTCAGACTGTTGAACCAAAGACTAGCATGAGCTTTACATCTACTAAGTGCAAACAAACCAGGATTGGGGTTCACTCTGCAGCCTATATGAGGGGCTGCATAAGCAGAGTCTCATCTGCTGACTCTGGAGTTGATATTATATTCAACAGCATCATTGACACAGACACCTTTCTCATCTCATGTCTGAGTACTCAGTGCCTCTTCTGTCTTGAAGATAGCCAGCTGCCACACTCTCTACAGATTTCCTTCTTTTTACAATCTGACCACCTTCAAAGACATGTTCAAAATTGTCACCTCCACTATCTTAACCCCAACACTCTGCTCTGGTGCCCTTACCTGTCATGCCCGGATGTGCTGAATAGTGTTGAATATTTTCAGAGACACATACTCATTGTTCATAATATGTATATATGATCGATTGTGGCTCTATCATCTGCTTGAGTGAAGTTCTTATAATGAAGAAAAGCTGTCATTAAGAAATTAACATAGAAACCCATCTATAGATTTATAGTTGAGATAAGTCACTAAACATTTTTCAACTCTGAATGGTCAGACCATAATAGCATGCACAGAACAGAATCTAGAGGGTTAGTTGAACTTTGAATAATGTAGGAGCTGGACATGACTTGGTCAACACATGCTTGATGCCTTTCTTGTACTGTACAGTAGGAAATATTACTGTGATTGCTTTTAATAGATGGACTTCTGCCAATCCTCATTAGTCTTACCCAATCCAAACCTTAGCTTCTGCCACCTTTCCACCCACATTTATTCTTGTGCATCGGAGCCCTCCTGTTCAATGGCAAATGATGGCCCGTGCAGTCAGCCTCCCACAGGTGTATATATTTTCTGCTGCGCATGCACTTCCACACAACCTTTCCCTTTTATTCTTTTTCATTCTCACCACACATCCTAGGAAACCCCTCCTTCACACTGTCCTTCTTCCTCGTTTCTTGACTCGCACACCCGGATATCCATCCTTTCCATCCACCCCAGATCCCCTTAGCGGGCGTCTCTTCACTTTCATCTCTTGAACAGTCTTTTGAGTGCACGGCTGCCTTATCACTCTTCTTCTCTCCCCTAGGAGATTCTTGCTTCAGATGGACAGATCTCCTCTACAAATAAGGATATCCTAGGTACTACATCAGATAAGTTCACTGATCAGGTTGTAGATGGGTCACCTAACAGAGCTAAGTGCCAAGGTCGTCAGATTGATTGTGTGGCATTCAAACTCTGAAAAGGATATTTACTCCTTTGCTCTGGTATCAAGGACTTTCTATCACTGGACAGTCAATCTCCTCTGTAAGCTCAATTCCAGTAAAAATGAAGGCTCGGCGCTTTTGTGGGCCTGTAGGAATGGACAGCAAAGCACAGCACGGCTTTCATTAACATACTCACTCCAGAGTGAGGTGGAAGCCTTCCGTCAAAAGAGCAGCTGATCTGCTTTTCTGTTAGCCTGCAAGAATGGACACGCGAGTGGAATCATGTGGCCAATTAACCCTCATCTTTTCCACTGAAGCTGCTTCAACATCCGGCGAAGCATGGAGATTGCACTGAAGGAATGGAAATGCAACATGCGTTGAGAAGCATTCTTAGTGAGACCATGCAAGCTCAGCTCCTACGTAGGATTGACATGTAGGATTGATATGCAGGTCCAGTGGACTTGACAAGGTACCTTTGGTGAGCGGAAGGTAGACCAGACCAATCGATTTCATGATTGGCCCAAGTTACGAGCTTTCGGCAACAATTATGGCAAAAAGGAAAAGCGCAGCGACAAGGTGCTGGGTATCCTGGACGAAAAATAGTATGACCCCAGTGCGTGGTCTCCTCTTGAAATTCGCCCAGCATTCCTGAACTCCGTGGCCGAATTAGTTTAAGGCTGAGCAGCAGCTACAATTGAATAGGATGTGAGCTGACTGCTGTCTTTGTGTGAGCTATATCCATGTCTCTGTTACCTGAACTAGCTATTTAAGGGCTTCAAAATCGGAGACACGTTCAGATATCACCGATCCTAGCATTTCGCTGTAACTCCGAATCCAGTTATTTAATGCGTTGAGACCCTCAGTGAACCATTCCAAAAACTCAGCATGATCTTGTTTGCTTCGATAGAAGCCGGAATTGATCCTTCACGATGCCTTCTCCTCTGGTGCTGGCCTTAGGCTTCGTGCTTGGAGCATATGCTTTCCTGTCCGCGCTGCTTCATTTGACGCAAGACGCGAAAGAACCGCCCATGATCGAGACTTCCATACCATTCGTAAGCCCGCTACTGGGCCTCATTCTGGGCATGCAAAAGTTTGTGGTGGAGCTCAGGTGAGCTACCTCTGTCCATTGGGCAGGCAACATCCTGCATTGTTCAAGTGTTTGACCCTGTTGAAAACTTACACACCTTTTCCTGTCCGCAGAGACAAATATAATCTCCCAATATATACCCTACGCATACTAGGACAGCGCTTCTACATTGTCAACTCCCCATCACTCATCGGGCAACTACAGCGGTTGAACAAGGTCATTGCGTTTGCGCCCGTCGAGGCCCAGGCAGCGGAGATGGTCATGGGGGTCGGTCCAGCGGGCAATGCCATCATCGGTTCGGACAAAATGTTCGAAAATGATTCTTACCTGTCAACCTTTGTCCCATCGACTCATCCAGCCCTGGCCCCTGGCCCCGGACTCGACGCTATTAGTAGCGGTATGGCTCGACACCTCTCAGATGCTATGGAAAAGCTTAGCAAGAGTAACCCAGTAACGGTTGAGTTGTTTTCTTGGGTCCGTGGAGAGATATTCAAAGCCATCACGGACTCCACCTACGGGCCAAAGAACCCTTTTCGCGATCCCGCGCTTGAGACAGCATGGTTGTGTGTTAAACCCTGAGCAGCATCGTCGCAATACTCCGCTGGCGGATCCACTAATATTATTTTCGATAGCACTTTTGAGCCCGACATCTTGACTCATATGGTCAAAGCATGGCCGAGTTTACTAGCCCGCAAAAGCTTCCATGCGCGAGAACACGTTATAATCCCCGCTCTCGAGAAATATTTCGCTGAAAACGGTCATCTCCGGGGCTCACGCCTTGTCCAGTGCCGCTATGAGCATAACACGAGTCATGGCATACAAGGCAGAGATATCGCAGCTACTGAGATTGGTCAGATGGTTGCGTCACTAACCAACAGCATGGGGAGCGCGTTCTGGATGGTTTACCATGTCTTTTCCGACCCCATTGTCCTCGAGGAGTGCCGAGCAGAGGCAGAACAGCTTGTGCAACTCGACGGGAATGACGTCCAGACTATTGACCTGGCTAAGATCCGATCTTCATGCCCTGTTCTCTTCTCGACATGGCAGGAGGTTCTGCGATATACGCACATTGGTGTCGGGGCGAGAGTGGTAATGGAGGATACCATTCTCGACAACAAGTACCTCCTCAAGAAAGGCGCCAATGTCATGGTCGTCGCTCCAGTCCAAAATACCGACACTTCAGTATGGGGTACGACGTCGGGTAGATTTGACCACCGCCGATTTGTATGCGGTCCTGGTGAAAAGCGTAAAACGCCCTTCGCATTCCGCCCCTTTGGCGGCGGGGCAGTCCTCTGTCCTGGGCGCCATTTTGTCACCGCCGGGGTCTTGTCATTTGTGATTCTTCTGTTGCTCCGTTTTGATCTGAAGCCCGCAAACAAGAATGGTAGATGGTTGGAGCTGCGAAAGAAGATGTCCATGACAACAGCTATGCCAACACCAAAGGATGAGATGCGAGTGAAGCTTGTCCCTAGAGACAAACAAAGGGCGCATCTGGACATTTCAACAAACGCCAGGAGCGCGTTTTACTAGATATCGACTGTAATGATTAAATTAATTAATAAGAAACATTTTGCTGTTAAACCTTTGCAGGATTTCCGTCTGTGTAAAGTGCGGGCCAGCACACTCACTTAGGGTGAATTAGCGGGCGCTTTGCGGAGGCATCTGTTTAATTGAGACAGTTGGCGTTGCTAAGGCTAAAACGACGAGGGGCTAGACCATGTTTTAGCCTTAGCAACGCCAAACCCCAACGACTCAATACCCACCCCGCTTGTCTGTCCAGCAACCCACTGCCTCTTTTGCCTTGGGAACGAGCAGCGGGCATCTAATTCAAGGCCGTTATTCATTGTCACGTCCAGATAAGCTTCGGAGGCATATGTATGATTGCCATCTCCGCTATCTTGCCTCAAGATGCTTGTTTTCCATGTCCCCATCCCGCCTGCTCAGAGAACCTGTGGGGCACCACACATTTCAAGGACCATGCTGCGGTGATACACAAGGTGTACCCTTTGAGCTGTGTGGAAGATTACCTGTAGTTAGCTGTACTGGAGATAGCCATGGAAGCAAAAAGACAGCGCAAGGACGTTCGTCACTCTGTACCAAATTTATGGGAGGCGTAGGTTCAGTATTAGTTGGATAGAACAGTCCATAACTCAAATAGCAGGTTATTGCAGCAGAGATGGGTTTTCCATATTAGGTAACTTTACGTAGACTAAAGAGAGTCCTCCAGTATCAATGAGGTACGGAAAATGCAGTACGGATGAGTCGTTCTTGAAAGCCAATCCAACAATACATCTGGAAAGCAAATAAGGTTGTAAAAGGGAGTGAAATGAAGAGATGACTAAAGGATACGCATAACAGGTCGAGGGTCAAAATTAAGGAAAGGTCTATGGTAGCAGAAGCTAAGTTAGTAGCTTACTTAGATGGAAGGCCACGACAAATGTGTCACCGAAAAAAAGAGCAGCGCCAGGACAAGGGCAGCTCCAGGACAAGAGCAACTCCAGGACAAAAACTGGGGAAGTACAGAAATGTAGATATGAAGATATGATAAAATTAAAAAGGGCAGAAATCTAGCAATCCAGATCGCTGTAAAGGATTATTAGCATTCATGTGACAACACGGTGTGGATTTTCTGGGGCGCGTTATCCATGACCAGGACAGATTTGGTTCTGGCCACATCATTCCAACCACTCAGCCAGGACATTGCAAATTTGCTCTGATGCTGGGCTGAAACTACTCTACTTACCACACTGTTCACCCAAGTCTAAATCCAATAGAGGAATTCTTTGCTGAGCAACCACTCTGTTATAGACAAATCAGAAAATGCTGAGCGATTGAAGTGAAATTGTACTAGAGCAGGTTGGACAGGTTGCAGGTCAGCTCAGAGCCCTTTTGAATCAGATCACCCTCATTGGTTGGTGTAAGTTGTGAGATTATCAAGCAGAGTATAATGTGAATGAGAAGCTCCATCTCATCTCTCATCAACTTGGAACGGCCCAAACTCCTGAATTCGAAGAAAGTGATTTTTTCCCCTTTGAGCAACAACAGGTACATCGCCAGGGCTAAAAATGTAGTCAAGGTACTCTTTGTCATAAGTCCCAATGCTGATGTAGAAGGACAGGAAATCTTGTGCAATCATGAAAGTATGGTAAGTTCTGGGGTTCCTCGGCTACACAGAGGTATTAGCCGTCAAAACTTCCCTTGAGGGAAACGGGAAGGAGAGAAAATTCACCAATTGATCATTTTTGTGTCGTTTCCAGATATATGCAACATGCTCCATTGACTGCTGCCCCACAACAGTAACGCCTTGGCCAGTTCCACAATGGGCACGCTTGGCTTCGAATATCACCATTTCAGGAAGATTTTTGTCCGGAGGCAGGCTGAAGGGGATGCTCCCGTCTATACGTTCTCAGAACTGTACAAGATTTGAAGTGATCGGACCATTCGGAAGGGGGCCAAATTGATAGGTTGTCTCAAAGGCATTAGCCACGCAAACAGTCTGGTAAGCAAGGGGCTGTAAGAGGCATGCTAAACCCCCAAGAAGATTGACCATAAAATCGACCACCAGAGTCTCAGTAGGAGTCCGTGGGTCCGGGATGTCATCTGGAATTTCGTCTAAGGTTTCCTCTGTTAGTTCAATGTTAGGCGGAGTAGAAGGCTCGCTTGGAGCCGGATGGTCATCGATGGCATCAAAATCTCCTAGGCGCAAGCGCTTAGGGTGCCTGGGGTTCGGAGAATCAGGCATTTGGCCTGATGAACTTTGAGAAGCGTTGCAATGCCCCTTTTTTCTTGGCGCGTAAGTTATAGGGAGAGGCTCTTCTCTTGGAGCAGTATGCAGTCCTTTGTCTAGAATTTGCCTTTTTAAACTAACAAGCATTGAGAATGGGCCTAGTCCATCTGCAAGCGTGCATAACCATTCACGATGTGTCTTTGTTTGGGAACAGATGACATCAAACAGAGTGTCTAGCTTGTCGAGTCCGAGAAGTTTCCTATTGATAAGCTTTGTAGCCTGGGCAACATGTTCTTCACTGAAGTACGACCCCGTCCTGAGAATATATGGTAACGCATCCCCAACAGTCATCACTTCTGGCCAAATGCATCGGACAGTGAGGAAGGCTGCTTTAGGCACTGTTGACGCAGAGAAAGAACCTTATCCCAGAGAAATAAAGTTAGGGAACTTCTGTTGAAGTACTTGAGGGGCCTACCATAGGAGCACAAGTTCTGGAGTTTGGCATTGACCAAGCTATATGTTTTGACCATTTCAAGCCACTCCTGCTCAGTGGATGGGATCTTATCTAGGTCATCAACTGCCTTCCGCCTCCATCTGGGAAGCTCCGCCATTTCGAAGAATAGACGCGCGAGTGGGTCGGTTAGGAACAAGGAGGCACTGTAGGACTAGGTTGAAGGTAAACGTTAGTATGGAATGTGTGAAGGACCCACAGCTGAAGACTAGCGACCTCTTCAATCCCGCTTATACTTCAGAAGAAAACGTACTTACTGATATAGAATCCAATGCCGGAATGTGCGCAGCCAAAAAAAGATGGTGAAAAGTCGCAAGACAGTAAAAGATGATAGAGTGGATTAGTTGCTGTATTCAAGGCAGGCTACAGCGGCCTATTGACAATAGGTTGGGGTCACATGCCAAAGTGGTGTGAGAGGCAAAAGCAGATGAAGCTTGCCTTGGTTCAACAACTTCAGCATCACGTAAAAACATCAAGCGTTGAATATTATGGAATGCGTCAACTTCAAGCTCTTCTCAGGCCCGCATGAGTTCAGTGAACTGATGCGTGCACTTTTTCACATGTAGAGGTCAGAAATTCCAGGTCTGATCTCCTTTGACTGACTGCAGAAAACATTGGATTTGGAAGTGGTTTGCAAGGACACGACAAAGGAAGAGGTTGGGATTTCAACCCCGCTGAGTCTTGAACGAGCTATCCGGAAATGTGCGAGGATCAACTCCCCAAATTCCCTGGATTTCCTCTGCCCGCCCGCCGACTATAGTTGGACTGGTTGGATGGGATTAGCTATCGATGACTTGAAAAAAGAAGTTACAATCAAAACTGAAGCAAAGTGAGAGAATAAACAGTTTTCCTTAACTCTATTGATCTACGTTGTGACTCTTTGTGACTTACCGTCCCTTTTTCATACAGGTGTGATGGTCAAGGCTTGGCCGCTGACGTCCACCGCCGCGTTCTTGCGCATCGTCTCTTTCGACACCGGCCAGATCACTGGGGCATTATGATCCGAGATCACTCACCGTTGAACCAGCACAAGAGCTGTAGGGATTATCTTCTTCGAAGTGAAATAATGGGAATCACTTCGATCATATACCGCCAGATGAATGAAGTACGCTGGGATCCCTCGAAATCCAAATATACGGAGCCGGAATTAATATACTCAGGTGGTCCTTTAATCGTATGTTCATCGCCCATTTCTCTTCACTTTTAGATGGATGCAACGCTGACGTTCTTCTTGGCCACGGTTGTGGCCTTTATTCCCAGCAAAGTACGGGTGGTTCAGGCGACTTGCGATCCGTCAAACGCATCCACCTCCCTTACGTTCGCACTGAGAGCTCTTTATAATCTTAGCATGTCTTGCTATGACAAGACCACTGCTCAGAAGGTTCTGAAATGGATTTTTTGCCCGCCAAACCCGGCTCAGGGTCCGCGGAGAGGAAAGACAGCATAACTGCTCTTTTCAGGTCACTCTTATTCCTGCTTAAAAACTGAGGAGTGTAGGCAAATGATGGTGTTATTAATCTTACGAACGCATGCAATTATCAGCAGTTAATACCCCGCTCCCTCCCCCCCCCTCCTTTTTATGATTAACATTCCTGTTTTTGTTGGCTTTGGTTGGCATGTTCTCCTGTAGGGTAGAAGCACCGCAATTTCACAAGTTTACTTGGATGTGCCTCACAACTGTCTGATGTTATCATGTCGCTCTGAATCATTTTCCGCATGGTCTTACTGATGAAAATCACTGAACGTTCTCAGGACCCACGCTTTTAAGCAAGAAAAGATGGCACCGAAACTTTACTATCGAAGCTTGACAAATTCGTGCTACAGTGTACAGTACTCTCAATCATCACCATACCACTGTGCATCGTACTATACCTTGCCATACCTTTCTAACGCATAGAAACTTCAGCCCATGCCAGCTGGGATAATGACGGCCGGACATACTCAGTCATCTTCTAGGATATCCTGAAAATATTGCTCGCCCGGGCATGTCTCTGCTCGCATATGCAGCCCGCTCCCAGATAAACAAAACGCCGCGCGGTTCCACTTCTCACCCCTGTTCCATGATTAGGATCCTGATCCTCAAATACATACGGAACAAAATCCTGACAATAACGCAAACGGAAAATAGAAAATCCGTGGAATGTTCGCTTTGCATCACACCCAATATGCCAAAAAAAAGAGATTCTTCTCTATTCAACATATCCCTAGATCAAGTATTTTCTAGGTCTAGCATCCTCTAGGTCTAGTATTCTCCCGGTCAAGCATTCTCCCGGCCAAGCATATTCTAGGGTTCTCTAGGTCTAGTATTCTCTCGGTTTACCATTCCCTTTTGCACAGTTACAGAAGTTGGCCATGCAACTCTACAGTACCTACAAGCCATCAGTTGTTTCGTACCAGTGACATGAGAGAGCCACAATTTTGGATCACAAAACCGTGGCCTGCATTCTGAAATTGTGGCCTGGCGTTGCAAGCGCCGCAACAAAATGACCGATCACTCGAAATAACCTTTTGACATAAGTGTCGTTTTGAAACGCTCCTTTGGCTCAGAGGCCACCCTTTTTCTGGCCCTTCGCCCGTAGCCATAAAATGAAAGCTCTTCTCATAGGGATACAGTGAGAACAGTCAAGTCTCAGAGCCTTTATTTTCTATTGTGTTCCAGCGACACAAGAAGCAAGAATGACATCCATCACTTAACTTCATAGGAAACCCGCCCGGATTTTATAAGCTCCTCGGTTTTGATCACAGGACTTTTACCGGGGCATCTTGTACCTTGATGTGGTGTGGTTAAATTAAGCTTTTGCCTTGGCGAACCGTTGACAATCTGCGGTGACGGTTGTGGCGTTGCCTAGCGGATCAACCTCACGCACGTGCTCTAGAACTTGATTAAAAGCATGCTAAGTGTCCTCAGCTTGCCACTATCAGGACCGTTTCGTATTTCCCAGCAGGTTCACTGGTGCCATGCGGTCCGCTAGAGATATGGAAAAGAAAGAGACGTCCTTTTACAGATTTAATACTCAAGTAATACTCAAGAGATACGAGAAAGTCAGGCTCCATGCCTGCCATGACAAACAGGGAAGATGATATTATCTCATTTCTTAATTGTGGGTTGATGGCTCAGATATCCTTTTGTTGCATCCCTTCTCTTTGTTGTCCTTTGTTTCTCCTCTTTCCTCTTTACGATTCAACCTCCCAAGAAGATTCCATGGAATACTATGCTATACCTCGAAGTTCTTTGGCAAAACGCCCCAAGGTTCGCGACCGCTTGGTGAGTCCTCTCGATGTGGTTGGGTGGAGATTTTAGTAGTTGCATCCCCCTGAGTTTGACACGGCTGGGTCCATCCTAGATCTTCACACAACCCTCTGGAGGCAGCACCCACCCGCCTTTGACGGAATGCTTCCATTTCACTACAGCAGGCCACATCTGCTGTTTTAATTTGCCGCGCGGCTTTCGGGAGTGTAGCGATTAATTCTTTAAAGGAAGGGAGCTGAACAGAACCATCAGATTCATAGCGAAATTGGCTTTGTCTTGGTGGTGGCATGGACGTGGTAGGAGCGAGGTCCTGTAACCTTTTAATGGTGAATAGACGTAGCAAACAGTGTTTTGATGTAGTTACCAAACCCCACTCAATATGCTTCAAGTAAGTAAAATAGTATTGTATCTAGCTGGTCAAAATTGATGATATCAAAAGGGATCATGATCCTTTCTTCAAGTTCAGCAGGCGATCTAGGTGTACGATTCCTGCAAATTGGGCAAAGTTTAATGAACTCATTAATTAGGTTATGAGGGAGTCTGAAATGTCACAGTCAGCAAGAGCTTTGAACACCAGCTATGTTAATAACATACTTGAAATAGATCCTTTCAACTTCAAGTGAAGTCTTGTGCAGGTCTCCATGTTGGCATTGCTGATGAGCTTGTGTCAAAATTCTAAACAGCTTCTCCCAAATTGTAACAGGTTTCCCCTCGCAGCAGATCAAAAGCTGATTATCGATTAACTTGAGTGCGAACATCTTTTTGCACCAGTGTCTTTAACATTAAGTTAGCCATACTTCTCCCATTGAAGAAACCAATAGAAGAAACAACATTTCATACTGAAACTCTGGTGATTCTGCGGTGGTTTTAGGGCCGAGCACTGTTCTGATCCTGCCATCCATGGTTGCGGTAGAGTCGAGCACTGTTCTGATCCTACTAGCCATGTTTGAGGATATCAAAGCTTCTCCCTGTGTATTCAAATTTTTGAGACAACTACAAATCATCAGCAATTCTCTCAGTTGAATTATACTATTTCACTTATTTTTCAAACTGGTTGACATCCAGAAATCCACAAAGAGGCATTGGTTCCAATGTCATTGAGTTGCTTATCTGCTCTTCGATCCTTGAATCCTGCTTATGATTCAGTGGTGAATTCTCTGCCTGATTCATTTTGTGTGATAGAATTGGGAAGAACTCTGGACTGGGCCCGCGAACAATTCCGCCAGAAAGTAAAAGCATAGGAAATTCTATTCTTTTATACTAGAGTTCGTAAACGGCTGGATTATCCGGGCTGAATCTAAAAGGTCATTTTTCTCTCTTCTGCGCGCATGGCACGCTGCATGGCGCAGTTTTGGCACAATTACGGGATCAATGGAACTCCAGATAGGCGAACCATTTGCGAACACTGGGAACCAGTTGCAATGGGCCTCCAACTGTACAACAAGGCACCAGCACCAAAATTGCGCATGCATGTAACAAGGCAAACTCCTCCTTCCTCCCTTTGCATAAAGGGTAAGAGTGGATGACCAGGCTGCATTTGTACAAGGCAAGGGGCTAGTGATGGTTGTCAAAACAAGCGAGAGACAAAAATTTGGCTTGGTACTTAGGCATCCAAGCTCCAGTGCAGGGGACAGGATATGCACCCGTACAAACCACCAGTTGCAACATTACAACAGGAGCCCATTCCAGCAGTGTAGTTCCTGGGTCAGCAATGAGGCGCCGGTGCCAAAGCATCCGAGCATGGATGAACCATTGCATGATTACAATGAAAGGAGACATTCAATTTTGTGCTTGTTTTTGTCCTCTCTCAGCCCTGCAAGAGAGAGAGAAATTATTCATGCAGATCAAGACTCAGGCCATGTTGCTTTAATAAAAATGGGTTGCTATTTTACTAAGTTTGTCATAAAAGCAAGTCATGTCGTGGTAGTGTATGTCACATGATATAGAGACCAGTCAAAACCTTTCAAATCATCCAAGGAACAGCTTATGTAAGAAATTCTTGGAAACTTAATATCTAGTTAGGTCTGAGAGATCATATCAAGAGAGCAATTGAATTAACATTGGTATAGGGATAAATATGCGGCATATCAAACTGGACAATGACAAACCACACACTCTCAGTTGTTTTAATTCCCAGCAACATCACCACGCCTTATCAGAACAATTGCAAGTAAAAAGAAGCATGGAAAGACAAATCATATTAAACATAAGAAAAACGCGGGTGGTGTCGTTGCAAGCTGTTCTTCAGCTTAGAGGCGCTCATTTTCCTCCTCACTGCAACTGCCATGGCATTCCTTTTCGGATTCGCTTCGGTAGGTGCGATGGCTCTCAACATGTTGATGTTCCATTTCACATCGGTTGGCTTGATGGCGCTGGATGTATTCAAATATTCGGGCTTTAACTGTGGCATCGACATCGCTGGCGTTGCAGAGTTCATTGAGCGTAACTTCTGTTTTGTCCATGCTGCGTTTTTGGTATTTTATGGCATCCTGGACCATTTCCCGAAGATTTTTCAAGTGTTTGAGAGGCGGTGGGTTGAGGTTTGGTGGCGTCATCATTGCATATTCCAACAGGGAATTCGTCAAGGACCTTTTTAATCCTCTCAAGGCGTTCCACGCAGCCTTTCATGTCCCCCATGGTTGTGATAAAATGTGAGGCTGTGCCAGACGGGTCAGTGACACAGCAGGTGATGGCTGCCATTGTTCTGGCGTAAGGATGTCAGTTTGACAGTACTCTGTAGAGGGAAGGAATTTGTGAGAAATTCTTGCAGTGCGATATATCAAAATACAGACTAAGGCATTATGGATTGCTTCTATCCTTTTATGCTTGCAGCAAGAAAGGTGAAAGACTAGAAAATGATGAGGTGCAGGCCTGCCTTTGCACAAGGCAACAGGCTAGTGATGTCAAAACAAGTGAGACACAAATGATTGGACCTGTACAGGTTACCAGTTGCAATGGGAGCCCATCCCTGATTCCAGCGGTGTAGAGCTTCCCGGGTCAACAAGAAGGCGTCCGGTGCCAAAATTGCGCATGCATGTAACAGGGCGCATGCACAAGGCAACCAAGCTCAGGCAGGCCTCAATGGCAATATCCCTCCTCATGCCGCAACTTCCTCCCGGTATAAGTGTGGGTGGCTGCCTGCATTTGCACAAGGGGCTAGAGATGATCATCAAAGCAAGCAAGAATGTCGGGATTATAGTTGCAATGGAAACCCATCCCCAATCCCAGCAGTGTAGTCAGCATAAGTGCTGATGCCCTGCGCATCCCTTGATTCTAGCTGTGTATAGTTTCCCGGATCAGCGGTAAGGTGTCAAGAATATTTTCAATTGTCCAAAACAAGCGAGAACCAAACATTTGGCTCAGTGCCAGGGGCCCCCGATATAGATCCGTACAAGCCACCAGTTGCGATGGGGAGTCGATCCCTTGATTATTCCAGCTGTAGAGCAATAAGGCGCCGGTACCAAACCTGCGCACCGCGGGATCAAAGCGTCCAAGCATGCTGATGTACGAAACAAGCGTCCGCTGCAGAGTAGAGTTTCTCGCGTCAGCAATAAGCAAGGATATGTTGGGAGTTTAACATTTAGATTTGACTGTCAAAGTTCAGGTTCAAGCTGTTTTGTGGTTTGATCTGATAGAAGATAGGGATGAATAGCTTCTGACAAATTCTCCACTCAGCATCCGGAATTTCTAATTTTCCAGGTGATTTTATTTTTGGGTAACCAATCATTTTCCTTTGATTTAACAACTTTATCAACCAGGAACAAACGACGCATGTACTGTACAACAGAAAATCACACAGGGGCCCTGCATCAGAGAGGATTAAATACAGGCCATCAATGTATTTCAAACCCATTCTGAAACTCCCGCTTCAAACTCCGTAAAGGAAGGGAGCTGAATGAAAGTGCGAAGCAAGTATCTTTTCCAGTCAGCTGCCGCAACTGTTTCAGCTTCATTTCCATCTCTTCCAGTCTTGAATCCTTTTCCATAACTTCCCGCTGAAGCCGCGTAATTTCATCACGGAGAAAGCGATCTTGTTTTGTATGAATGTGGTGGATATGATTTATGAGATCTGCCTCTCTGGGAAATCCTTTTCCTCCCCACGGAGAACGGAGCGACAGAACAATTTGATATCAACATGGTACTATCAACGTCCCCGAGCAGACACGTTAAAACACAAACACCATTCAGAGAATTTGTCGCCATGGAAGAAAATGGAACTCTTGAAGCAATTCGCTGACGATTTCTTCCACAGAAGATAGGTTATCGGTAACGCATTTTCACAGCAGACGCCGGGGCTAGGTACGGACCAATAGCAATTAACCGGCATTAAAATAACCCCCTATTTCATAAATAAGTTAGTATCACAAGTTTATGCCCTCATACTCCTCCGTACAGAGATGTTTCTATTACAAACAACGTATTTCTCCATGTCTCACTAGTGTTGGATTGGGCCGTACCTTGAGCAATGCACCCAGCAGGAATTCAAAACTCGCCTTGAAGAATTACCTATGCAGGAAACGACGAAAACTTTTTGAAAGGTTTCGTGCCCTGTATCCGGCTATAAATAGGATTGGGGATTATTATTATTCGTTATCGCCCCTTACCGATGATCGGTTAAGAGCGAACCTCACTGCATCGGTATGTTGGCCAGATCCTCATCTTGGCATCGGGAGCATTCATAGCTTGTGTGGAATGACTGAAATGGAATATGTCAAACCCACCTACTACGGGGAGATCAAAACTTAAAAACAACTCGAACTTTATAAGTTGGATGTCTTTCAAAGGTTTTATAAAAACGACTGCACATAATATGTTATTATTGAGCGAATGAATACATTCAGTTACCCAAAGTAAAGGATGTCGCCGTTGGTTAAAAAGATGCTACAAGGCAGCCAATCAGCAATTAGAATAACTAATCACCTTATTTAACGCTCTGACATCCTCGTTAAGTCTCAGATCGAAGCTAAGCACTTTATTTAAACCCAACACGTCTACTCATGTCTCTCAGAAGGGAGAAACTATACGACACGACACACTTGGCGTATTAAACGAATCTCACTTTTATGTATTCCTCCTCCCTCTGCGTGTCGACTCAAATGAGTTGTCACCGCCTTCGCCAGTTCGTGAGTGGTATTGTCGCAAATGACAATTTCGATGGATCCAGTCACCTCCAACACAGCAAAGGAACTAAATGAAGCGTGAAACTGAAGATGCCTGCCTGTCAGGTCAGTCAACTTCAGCTACATGAATTCATATAGCCATGATTACGAATGATTATAAAAATACTTATGAAAATATCAGTGTTCCTGGGTGTATCCGGAAACTCCGGTACACCTTTTGACGGGGAGGGGGGCTTGGGTAAATGACTGCATTGCGGGGAATCATTTATCTGAGCTGATTTTGCTCTTCTGTTTCCAACAAATTACTGGAATATCGTGCAGTAGTTGAAGTTTATTTCCAGTCTTTATTCGCCTAAGGCCAGTGCGTGCTATGGGATCGCGAAGTAGCAGAAAATGACTTGCAGCTAATTTGAGAAGTTAAAGGATATGAGACCTATCCCCATGCATTTCGGACAACCGCCAAAACCGTTTTGAACTGTTTCCATTTCAACCAGCATCGGAGACAGGATCTTATCGATAACAGATATGTAGAGACGAGAAGCTGGGAGCCTCTTCGCCCTCAGCCCAGTCCCAGAAAACTAAAAGAGTGCCAGCGTTTGTGTCCCGACGCTGAACCCAGCCCAGGATGGTTCTGTGAGCGTGGATACTTCAACCCGATATCAAAAGTTATTGGTTCGAATGCTAAAACACATTCAAGTTGCAGTTGGTCTCCCCTCTGGAATTACTGACCATCGCCCTGATCAACAATGCGGACATGGGGCCGGCTTTGAATTCCGACAGAAAAAACCCCTCTTTCCTGAGATCAATTGCTCCCTTATTGATCCCCAATAGTAGCGCCTTTCATGGACGGTCGAGTATATTCCCGAATATTTTCAATCTCTTTCGAAGCAACATTTAAGCCTTCAGAGAACAAATATCCTAGCGCATTTGCCCATACGCACCTATCTAGCTGGTAACTTTCAGCTTATTAATGGTGCCACCTCTCCATTAACCAACCAGGCTAGGGATGTTGTCGATCTGAGCAAAGCACAATTTGGATGGATAGCCAAGGGAGCAAATTTTTGGGAAAGTTGGCACAAATAATTTAAGGGCTGCTGGACAAGATTTCCACTCTGCTTCTCCTTTCCCTTGTGGCTTTCAGAAGGATCGAATGGAATAGCACACTGCTCCCAATACGTTCCAAACATTTCTTAATCCGTGAGGGTTTAAAACTTATTCAGACTTGCTTATTAAAAGGCTCTGTTGGGAAGTTCTTGTGGCATCAGGAAATAAAATACCTGTCATTTCATCCTCAACCAATTCAGGTAAATAACAAAAACGACTGATTATGAATTACCTTATAAGCAAATATCAACAGCTGATCCATAGGAAAGAAATCGATACCCTTTGACAATCGTGCACCTCAAATTTAGCAGCGAATTATCCTTGGCCGAATGAAACGAAATGGGACCGCATTTAGTTCTTTGGACAAGCTCTTACCGAGGGAATTTGAAAATTCAGTGGCTGAGTCCAGACGAGCAATACGCATGGATCTGGCTCCTTCGCTCATAGTAGGTAGACACTAGTGGCTGGCAATGCTAGATGCTCGCGATGATGAATACTCCATATTTACCTCAAGTAAGTTCCCAGGTATCTCCCTAGGCACTATAATTAGACCCCGTGAATTTATCGCATCAAATTGTGTAGCGACCTCGCCGACCTGAATTGTAAAATTCGGCAGCCTACCCGTCCCTGTGGTAAAGATTCCCATCAACTGCTGTTGACGTACCACATAGCGGGTCGGATAACACAACTGCAACTGGAAACCAACCTTGAAGATATTGCGTGGTGACCACTAGAGAGCCTTTCAGCTAAAACGGCCTCTATTAGCACCAATGATGAGCCGGAGTGTATCGGAAGGTGACTACCCCAGGTTCACAGTGATTCCGCGATACGAAGAGGCTGGGTAACCTCCTTAGGAAAACCCGTGACGGAATTTCTTTATAACTCTTCAATTTCGCTACTCCGCAGATCGATACTCTCAAACAGCCGGTGTTATTTGCATCACCTGTCCTTCAGAAAAACAACGAGGAAATTGTCGGGAAATTTTTAAACTGAATCCGCTGAATTATGCAGCATGATGCAATCCAGCTCTTACACCTGATTTTTGATCGAAGAATGCAACAATGGGGGGCTGTAAGCGTTGCCTGTCCTCCGCCACATCCCGCAACAATAAAAATGGTAAAGCGGATACCCATGGTGCGCACTGGCACCCGGTCCGTTGAACTCCTCTAGGCTGGTGTTGTGGGTCTGGACAATGAGATTTTCAAAAATGAGAACACCATATTATCGAACCTAGGACTTTCTGCACATGTGGATCATCAAGCAAGAAATGTTGGACGGGCTATTCCGGCTCCCAGGCCCCCTGCTATGAGATTATAAACGGATATGTGGTTGCTAGTGGATATAGGACAAAGACAGATGACTGTCCAAGAATAAATCCTGAAGCTCTGGCCAAAAGTCGCGTAAAGGCTTTGGATACAAAAGATATAAGATCAAATGAAAAATAAGTTCTGCCAAGTATAACAGCTCAATGTAATT